AAGGTGAATTATGTCCTATGACCTTGAAATAATTTGTGGATGAGACCATAAAACCACAGTCACTGATTTTTCTGAGACATTGCAGAGAACCAGAGCAGAGCTAGAGTCCTGCAGACAGACAGTCACTGGTCCTGATTTTCAAGAAGGTGGATTCAGATGAGGCCAGCTTTGCTCTCAGGCAACTTTCAGGACCTATTCTGGAATGAACTGTTGATGAGAGGGCCTGGAGCACTGGTCCCTAAGAGGACACTGGGTACTCAAGAAAACCAACCTCATTTTCTTTTGAGAAGAGATTTCTGGACTGAGAAGCTAATTGGTGTCGTAGATGCGGTAGCGGGTGTTTCGCAAGGCACATGTGCTCCCGCGGTGGAGGATGGAGAGACGTAATACGCGGTGCCACAGAGGCTGCACTCGTCCGGACCACGGTTCTGTTCACAGTGTTATTAATTTTCTCATAGTTCTCCACTTGGCTTATTCGCTCCATATTTCATTTATTTACTTAAATTTTTTTTTTCTTTATTGACTTTTGAGAGAGAGGAAGGGAGAGGGAGAGATAGAAACACTGATGAGAGAGAACATCGATTGGCCGCCTCCTGCATGCTCCTCACTGGGGCTTTGGCCCACAACCAGGGCATGTGTCCTGACCAGGAATGGAACCAGCGAGCTCTTGGTGCATGGGTTGACACTCAACCACTGAGCCACACCGGCCAGGCATATTTGCTCCATATTTTAATCAATAATAACTAACTTATAGAGAGAAGGCAATGTTTATTAGATTTGCAAATAATAGAAAAGTTAAAAAATATCTTGAAAGGATAGAATGCATTGTAAAATTTAGTAAGAATTTACAAGTTTCCGAAAGGACAGAAAAGGGAAATGCCACTTTAAAAGTCTTAAGGCATTTCAAGTGATTGCAAACTTATGAGTCATAAGTGACTTTTTCCTAATGCCTAAGAGCCTATGATTTCATAAGCATTAATAGTATTTAACAACTGTAGCAGCAACAGCCACAACAAAAAATATAAACAAACCAAAAGGTCATTGCTTCTTTTGGCTAGTTCTAAGTACATAATTAAAGATCTTTAAAGTTCTAATATTTCCAAACACCATTCCAATAACATTGCGGTTGCATCAAGACACCCACGCAAAGACCGTGTCCATAAGCCCAGGCTACCCAAACATACATGACACTAAAATGGAACAGTCATATGGAAAATTCACTTTACTTTCTGGCTGGCTGCCTCAGTTTCCCCTACTGCCACATAAGGGTGAATAATACTTGCCAACACTGCTGGAGAGGCATAGATCATAAAGATCAATGAATCAATCTTTATCAAGACCTTTGGCTAAATGCCTCGTAGGGAAATGCTTCAGCATTTATCTTCGGCAATTCTTATTCAACAGTGTAAGAGGGTCATGGCTCACCGCCCAAACCTCCCATGAACTGCTCTCTGGTTCCTCCGGAGGATGTAGATGCCCGTCACCATGCTCAGGGTGCAGGCCCTGCGCTGGGCACTGGCCTTCAGCAATTCTTTCCTAAAAGCAAAGAACACAGAGGGTCCAGCCTGAAAGCTGAGGTGTAGGAAGCTCTCAGGAGTGAAACGGAGGCTTCTGATTGGTGCAGCTATAGGTCGCACAGACTTGTCAGGTCCCAGCTGGAAGTGCTGTGGTTTGTTCACATGGAAGATGCCAAGGGGAGCTTTCTGGGAAGAGATTCCATTGAGGTGGCTGGGAGAGGAAGTCCTCACAGTCCACCCAGGGCCTGGATTCAACCAAGACCACAGACAATGGGATTCTCTGCTTTTATTTTATTTTCTCCCTCATTCTGCTACACTGGAGGGGAGGGGGATGGATGGCGGGGGACAATTTGAATCACAGGGATTTATTGTAAAGTCTTCCGTCCTTAAAGAGAGCTCCAGCTTTTCTACTTCTTATTTCCTCTTCTAATGTGGAGTGTTACTTGTTGTTTCATTCACTTTGGGACTTTCTTTTTTTTTTTTTAGAGATTAGAAGGGAGTGAGTGAAGAGAGAGAAACATGAATTGGTTGCCTTCTGCACGCACCCCAACTGGGCCGGGGATCAAACCTGCAACCCAGGTACATGCCCTTGACTGTGAATTGAACCTGAGACCCTCCAGTGCACAGGCCAGTGCTCTAACTGCCGAGCCAAACTGGCCAGGGAGGTTTGGGACATTTTAAACTAATCCATCTTCAGTACAAGAGTTAAAAAATCCTATACAAACTCAGCCCTGAGACTAATGTGCCCAGCCGTGTCCTCTGATGATGTGAAGGGCTTCATGGAAGCAAAAGAACAAATAGGTCATGATGTTCCTCCCCCTGCCTGGGCTCTGGCTTGGTGGTCTGCCAGCAACCTCTACGGCACACCAATTCCTTCTGGTGTGGGAAGTATTTTTAGAATACTCCTTATCCTCAAAGTGTTTATGACTTAATATGGGGGATAATCAATGTAGATAGTCTTGATTAAAAAATGTTACATAGCCCTGGCCGGTTTGGCTCAGCGGTTAGAACGTCGGCCTGCGGTCCAGAGAGACCTGGGTTCGGTTCCCGCTAAGGGTACGTACTTCGGTTGCAGTTTGTCCCCGGCCCTGGTTGGTCATGCGGGTGGCAGCCACTCGATGTGTCTCTTTCATGTCGATGTTTCTCTCTCTCTCTCTCTTCCTCGCTCTCCCTCCCACTCTAGCTGAACAAAAAAATGGAAAAATGTCCTCGGGTGAGGATAAAAAAAAAAATGTTACATAGCATGCCAAATTCAAATATCCAAGTCACAACATTATTTTTTTTCTGGCTAAAATTAGCAGCATGCCCATTTACACAGATCAAACATAGACTATGCAGCCTTGTTTCTGTCATTTTATTATAGGAACCAAGATAAATGTGAATCGTCCCCTTTCCGTGTCTGTGCTCAAGAAGCCAAATCAAAGTCTTTGCAATAAAATATGATAGAAGGAAAAAGTCACACAAATGTAAGAAAGATTGCAAAATTTCCAGAGTTTCTTATTTGCTTTGCTTTCCCAAAACAAACAAAAGGATATAGTTTTTCTTTATGTAGAACAATAAATATATTTCAGCGTCTGAATTCTTCTCAATGACTTGTATAGAGGAAATGATTCTATAGACCGAGGTAGCTCTTCTGTAGCCCATTCTTTCTGAAGAGTTGAGTTATTTAGGATATGTGTGCTGATCTTGTTTCCCTGGGGTGTTCACACATCCCTCTTTGCAGTTACAGAATTATGTAACCCTGTATTGTCTTTTGTTTTATTTCAGCAGGACAAATGTTGGGCTTTATTTCAGAAGATAAACCGGCAAGAATTTGCTTTCTAACACAACATCGGTTTTGGGTAAATCATAAAAGGTTATGAAACATTGAATCGTTTTAAACTTAAAAATCTTGAAGTCACACAGTTGAATAAAAGAGTGTTAATTCTCATTGCTACCTGCGAAACACGTTCTTCATTCTTGTATTTGCAAAGTTAAGAAAACAAGACGTTGGCAGCAGTAGATAAACAGCATTGTTTCAGCACCCACAGGAAAACGCAGGCAAAGCCCACTGTTAGTGAAAGGATTCTAGAAGACTTGCTACCTCCTTAAGAGAAGAGACATGTCACAGAGGGAAAAACACAGAAGGCAACTTTGGGAGCCGACAGGTGGAAAGCAAGGTCCCTCTGCCGCCTGTGAGCTCAGTGATCTCGGGCACATTCTGTAAGGGTGCGGAGCCTGTGGCGGCACCAGCTCAGCGCCCACTTTGCCGAGCTTCCTCTTTGCCTGTGGTGCTGAAAACACCGACAGGCTTGCCCTTCAGGCCTAGCGCCAAGGACAGGTGAAAAGCAAAGAGCACGTTCCAGTCGTGGATTATGTCTTGGAGAAGTCTCAAGGGCTGAAAACAAAAGTGGGACCAGAAAATTATTTTGTCCATTCTGTTAAATAATGTAAGAATTTCTGCTTAAAGGAGCGACATAAAAATGTAAACCAACTGTGAAATTTATCCCTAGCTTTCCGGTATGATTTCTCTTCTATTCATGCTGGTCAAAATTTATAATTATTTGCAAATGGCCTGAAGATTTTACACTCACATGTGTTCGTGTGTGTTGTTGGTGGAGGTTCCAGGAGACAGAGGGGAGGAAGAGAGAGATGAAGAACATTGTAATCGAAAGAAGGTGATGCCCAACACTTGGATGAATACAAATGCAATTACAAACTGTAGCTGGAAGGCTCAATATAATCAAGTGCTTTCCATCTAGGAGTCTTAATGCTTCCACAAGGAGATTCTCTTTCCTGTACGCGCTCTCCTCCCCCCGGAGAACTACACATACAAATTGATAGGGATTTGTCACAGTCATAGCACAAATCACCAGCTTACACCCTGGGTCCTTGAACACCTACTTTCTACCATAGTTTCTTTCTCTACATAAATTTAGAAATAACAATGTGGAAAACTTACCTCTCTTCCGTTCACAAAGAAAACAAGTGCATTAAACTCAGAGTAGACATTGTGCTACAATAATTGGCTGCAAGTTGTGAAGTCCCAGACACAGTGCCCATTGCTGTGCCCACCTGAGAGACTTGCCGAGATGCTCGGTGGGAGGGTGGACGGCTGGATGGAGGGCAGCCCGGGTGGGTTGTGATTTTGGCTTCTCTCTGAGTGTGTCCCTCCAAACAAATCCTGCTCTCAACCCTCTTATGTCCCTACCTTTCCCTGCTAACTCCAGTTTCCTCCTCCCTTAAACCAATTTGAAATTTCAGTCTAAATCTCGTTCTTACACAATGCCCCTTCTCCCTGCCCTGGGGGTGACCCACCAGAATAAAATTTCTTACAGTCAGCCACAAAGGCCTTCTATAGTCAGTGAAATGGAACTAAACCATGTCGATGTAATGAATACACACACGTTTCTAGGTGTTGAATGCGTTTGTTTATTAATTTGTTTTAAATTACAAAATTAATGCATATTTTTAAAAATTAAAAAATATAAAAGCGTATAAAGTAAAAAGTGAATATCCTTTACAGTTCATACTACTAATAAAATCATTTAGAAAATTGCCTTTCCCTAGACAGCATAATTTCTGTTGGTTGATAAAAGCCAAATACAAATCATGTACAAGTCATCATCTTCTATTCCATTCAGCAAGATAGGTTTAAGGGACAGAGTAATGGGGAATAGGAAACCAGTTAGTGTTTATACCATTTAAAATATGATTTCTAAATTGCTTAAGCATATCTATCAAAATCTAAATGGAACGTTTAAAATCAGCATCATATGAAAGCAATACTCTGTGAAACGATTTCTGAACTGTGAAAATTTGTCTTTCAGACCAAGCATCTTACAGCATAGAAATTGGATAGATTGCTATATTGAAAGAGTCACCCAATTTTCTCCAGAAGCTTGTACTTGATTCATATGGATATATTCCAAGGAACATAAGATCCGGGTTTATCTCTTGGAATCTAGAATAGAAGGACAAATTTGTATGTTTGCATTTGGAAACCGTTTGTGACAGGTGGAAAACAGCAGAATATAAAATAAAATTAAAACCCCCCTGAGGGTGACCAGGACCATGGGAGGTCTGGCAACGGCGATGGGAAGTATGGAGGAATCCAGGAGAGGACCACGGGCTGGGGGGATAGAGCAGCTATGAGAGTCATCACCCCATCTTGAAAAGGGGCCTGTGAAAAGTGGAATCAGTCTGTTTCTCCAGAGAGAAGAGGTGATTCATGGGGTTATGAAAGCTATAAGGGGTGCCACAAAAAGCCAGCATGAGAGGAGGGGTGAAGGGGCTCTCCCATCAATATAGAAATAACAAGGAATAACTTGTTTATAGTCAGAGAGATCACTAGGAATGACATGAAATCCTCCCACAATTACAAATCCCCTCACTGAAAATGACTGAGAGCTGAAATGTTTGCCCCGGGAGGAGATGTAGGTAGGATCCTGCACCTGGGGGTTGGGAAAGGGCCGACTGAGTACGTGCGACTCAAATCAGGAGTTGCACACACTCCCGGGGCCTGGCGGGGGTGGACTGGGATGGACTGTCGGAGTGGCCCATATTCTTGGCCTGGGTGTCTTAGATTCAGGGCACAGTTCCTAAACTTCTATTCTGGGCCAATGTGTCCTGGGAAGAAAACAAAACAAGGGAGGAACATATAACTGATGATAAAAAAATAAACCCTTTTTTTCAGTGGCACAGAACTGAGCTCCAGGACTGGTTGTGAAATCTTTCCTGCACAAAGTCACGAACCCACTCACTGCGGGCTGGCTCTAGGCAGGCCTGCTCAGGGCCAGGGCCCCTTTCCGGTAACAGGGCCAGGCTGATGGAAAAATGCAATTCAAGGGCCACCTGCTGTTCTCCTGCTCAAATGCCCTTGGATTCTTGTCACCTTTTCTTCCATGGAAAACCATAGAAGGTTAATAAAACTTGACCACAAAGACGTGACAAAAATCCAGACTTTTGTGAGCAAAGCATACCATTTTTGTGAACTTATCTTCACAGGCCATTCTGATCTTCTCTGGGGTCAGTGGACTATTGAGCGTCAATGGTCCACACAGGCCTCTCTCCCGTCGCGCTGCGTTCACCGCGTCGCGGATGGCGAAGAACACCGAGCACCCCAGGAATATGCCGGACTCTCCCAGACCCTCGAAAGGGAACAGGTACATTAGATGATGACTCTCTCTCGCCCTCCCCCGCCCTCCGTCTGTATATATCTGTATATGTGCATCTATAATTACATGTGTGCATGTATAAAATATTAAGTATTATAAGTGTAATTTTTTCCTTTAAAAAAGTAATCTACCATTTAAACCCAATATTCCAAATTTTAGGATTCCAGGCTAAGGAAATGATCCCAACTGGAGAAAGATGTAGGCATGATTATCACAAGGTAAAAAATCAAATGCAACCTGATGGCAACAGTAGTTTGTGTTAGGCTCCAAGATTTGGAGTATTTTTTTTTTGTTGTATTTTTCTTTAATGATTTTAGAGAGAGGAAGGGAGAGGGAGAGAGAGATAGAAACGTCGATGAGAGAGAACATCGATTGGCGCCTCCTGCACGACCCCCAGTGGGGATCGGGCCCACAACCTGGGCATGTGCCCTGACTGGGAGTCAAATCGGCGACCTCTTGGTGCATGGGTCAGTGCTCAACCACTGAGCCACACTGGCCAGGCAGGATTTGGAGTACTTTAAAAAATTTTAATGCTGTTAAATTGTTTTATAATTAAAATGTTTAACAAGACTTTTTCTTTTACAATCCTGGTAAAAACCCCAAAGAACTAGGAGCAGAATGCAGCCCTCCTCGCCCTGCCTGAGGATCACACGAACATGCATTTATTCACAGAGCACAGCTCACCTTCGATGAATACAGAGTGTTCGAGCTTTGCGATGGAGGCAGGAAAGAGACGTGGAACTCTGTGGGGACGTCGCGGATGGTGGGGATTTTGTACTGGTCTGGACCACGGGTGTACAGGACACCCTGAGGAGAATAATTCAGTTCCTCGATTGTATAAAGTCCCATGCCTTGAATGAATGCACCTTCAATCTAAGGCAAAAAAAAAAAAATTAGAATTTCCATGTAAGAGAAAACAGTCAACAGTAGCATTTTCAACATCATGCTGTTTGTCTGAATGTTTAAAATATAGTGTAGGAGGATTTTCAGCAAGTCTTGAAGACTGTCTCTGGAAGTTTACTTAAAAGTTTACCTAAAAGCATTTCTAAACATCTTATGAGCACTAAGTTCAAAGTCAAAGGCCTTGAGTTCAAATCTCAGCTTGACATGAAAATGTCAAGGGGTCTAGAAGAGGCCTCAGAAAGTCCGTAGCTCCAATGCCCTTATTTCCCTTCCAGATGAAACTCTAACTGGTGTGTCACTGACCCCAGACAGCAGGAAAGGCTCTCTGGCCCTAGAACCTTTTGTCTCCTCTTAACATCCTTGCTTGGGAGCTGGCCGGTCCCACACCTCTGGGCTCAGTTTCCTCACTTGTAACATAAAGGGTCTGGACTGTGCTCTCTAAGCCTCCTGGGTAGCTTTGAAATGCTCCAGTTCTTCGATGTGCTAGACATTTGAGTATTTATGTAAAACAGCTTGTGATTGTTCAATCTTGTCCATTCAAATTTAAATAAAAAATGTCTGTGGGCAAACAGGCTACCTGTCCGTCATTACTGCTGCCATTATTTGATGTTTATTATCCTAGCCCAGCTTCAAACTCTTCGAAGCTAAAGCCAAGGCTCAGCGCTTAGCACTACACTTTGCCCCTGTCCCCCTGTGTGGGGCTCCTCCTGTCCCCCCGAGCTTAGTCCTCCCTCATTCCAGCTTCCCAGGCACAGGCTGCATTTTTCTTCAAACACTGCCTGAAACACCTCTGCTTCCTTCCCTTTTTGAAACAATAAGAGATATGAGTTCTGTGTGGTCTGAACAGAAAGATTCTGACTGCGAGGGTAGAAAGTACGATGATGAATAAGTCAGATGGAGTGTTCTCCCCGAAGACCCCCATCACAGCGCTGACTTCTACAAACAGCAAACGAGGCGAATCGGTTCCACGTACCTGGCCTAGGTCAACGGCTGGATTTATGCTGCAGCCGACATCCATGACAATGTCTGTTCTGATGTTCTAGTAATAAAACAGTTACATGTTTACTGTGATGAACACCACTCAGGGAGGGAATGCTGAGAAATATTCCTGCTAGGATGGCACTGATACAGAATCTTTCTTTGGGCCACATTATATTTCAGGAGAAAGAAGCAATATTTTATGTCACCAAGTGTATTATGTATAAATTTCAGAGTTATACAAACACTCTTAACTAGCTTGAGCACTGATTATTTTTATTGGAAACAATAGGAGAGAAAAGTATTTACTTGGCTCTGATTCCAGCTGAGTGATGCAACACACTGAGTTTAACCCAAGCAGACATGAGTTTTGACACAGAAAACAGAAAAGTTTGTGGCCTTCATGACCCTTGTTGCACAACTTTGTGGTGACCACACAACCCAACATCCAGAGTCCAACTGGCAGCTTGATGTCTCCTGAATCAGAGAACTCAGGATGCGTCAGCAAAAAGTCTTTCAATTGTATCTGCTGTTCTGGGTTTTTCATTTTTAGAGTAGAAGAGAGAATAAATCTAACAATGAAACTTGGTGACTAGAAATTCTCCGAAAACCTACGTATGAGGAGGCGTAAAGCAGGCCCAGCTGGGCTGCTGACAACTCCTCTGCTCTCCAGCAAAAGTTGTGGACTTACTGCTGCTTCTCGTTGTCCTGTGATAGGGCCGGAGAGAGGGGCTTTGGGTTGTGGCTGCCACCCCCAAGATGGCCCTCAACGATCCCCTCACCCTGGTATCATAAGGATAAAGCTTCATGTCATCCCTTCCTACACTTTCCCAGGATTTGTTTATGTGACCAGTAGGATATGGCAGACGTAATAGTATGTCACCCGGTGTTAGTCATAAAAGGCTGTGGCTTCTGTCCTGTTAGCAGACTATGATGCTTATGAAATCCTTCAAGAATGTCACATGATGGCATTTCTCAAAAGTGGTCACCCCTGCCAGCTGTCCCAACAGTAACACAGAAGTCCCCTTTGGGCCGTTTCTTCCTCGAAGGGGTTCTTTCCTCATCCCATTTTAAAGGGCCAGGGAAATAAAGAGGAGAGGCCACACCAAGGCCAGCGCTGAGCTTCTATTTTCTTCTGGTAACGCAGAGAGATTATCTTTAGACCAAATACATGGTGCTTCCTTGTGCTCAGGTAGCTGGGGTGTGGACCTGAGGTGTGTCCAGAGTGCAGCCCGAACACCCTCCCAACTGCTACTGACCTTGTGAGCACCTGTGAGGCAGTCTATCTCAACCTCGGAGCAGGCGGCTCCAAAAACGAAGTACTCAAAAATATCGCCTTCGCCTGTCTCCCAGTTCATGTTCGACTCGTACCCCCTGGAGGAAAGAAAGGTCATGAGCCATGTTGTCATTAGGAGCTGAGCTCCACCTGAATGCACGGCAAGCCGGAGGAGACTTGCACAGAGATGTACAGCGCACAGTGCACACGGAGCGTGTTGAAGAGATCGGTATTTACTTTCTTCTTACGAAATTCGTTCTGTCTGATAAAAACATCCCACTGCTCCTTACTCCTGGAAGTTAACTGCTGACTGTATGATTATCCATCCTATTGCTTTGGGTCAATATTGGCTCCTATAATCCTACTGTCATAAGATTGGGGAAATCCACCTGCTTTTTACACAAAACACCACTTCAAAGGTTCACACTGACTTGTTTATTTGTCTTTCTGGCTCCAGGACTCAGCCTCCTCTGAGAGATCAGGTCCCTAGGCTACTGGCTCCTGCTTCGAGACTACTCCGTCTCCTGCCATCAGCTCATCTTTAAGGACACCAGCTAATTTACCAAGTGGTAAAAGAGAAGCGTAGGCCAGATGCTGCCGGCACTTCCGACTCTTTTCTCCTCTGCTCCCCCAGCCTGGCAGTGGGCATTAAAAATGCTTCCAGTGCTGCCCTGATCGGTTTGGCTCAGTGCTTAGAGCGTTTGCCCACAAACAGACAGGTCATGGGTTTGATTCCTGGTTAAGGGCATGTACCTGGGGTGCAGGTTCCATTCCTGGCTCTGGCTCTGGTCAGAGTCGTTCAGGAGGCACCAATCGATGTGTCTCTCTCACATTGATGTTTCTCTCTCTCCCACGCTCCCTCCCTCCCACTCTATCTTAAAAAAAAAAAAAAATCGATGAAAATGCATTCTCGGGCGAGGATTTAAAAAAAAAGCTTCCACGATAGCTAGCCAGTGCTCTGGGACACCCGTGCCAAAATGCCCCAAATGCCAAAATCAGGTGGGTAAGCCTCTCTGTACCACTCTCCATTTAAATAATTAGATGAATTTCCCCCCAAAGTACATGAGTTCCAGTTGTTCCACATCTTGATAAGCACACAATGTCAAATTTCAGGTCTTTTGCCAATTGGGCAAGTGTGAATGGTACTCACTGTATCATGAGTTTGATGTGCATGCTTGCTCTGCTTCTTAACCTAAGGAACACCCCGAGTTTCCAACACAAGGAAGCCGCTGCTGCAGGTTCCTGTGGTGATCTGCACTAACCCCAGAGAGCCCTCCAGAGCTACCCAGTATAATCTGAATGATCAATTCAGCTGTATTTTATTTGCATGACCATTTTTCCCAACAAAAGTCTTTTTGGACCTTTGGACCAAGTAGCAGCTAAATGTTCTTTATAACAGTGGGTCACTAGTATAAAATCATTTGGTGCTGCAAATCAAAACTACACCTCACACCTGTTAGAGTGGCTGTGATCAACAAGACAAGTCATAACAAGTGTTGGAGAGGCTGTGGAGAAAAAGGTTGGGAGTGTGGACTGGTACACCACTATAGAAAACAGTCTGGCGATTCCGCAAACAATTAAGACTAGAGCTACCATATGACCCAGCAATCCCGCTCCTGGGTATATACCTGAAAAAATCAAAAACATGTAGTTGCAAAGATAAATGCACCCTATGTTCATTGCAGCATTATTCACGGTGGCCAAGACTTGGAGACAACCAAAGTGTCCTGTGATAGAGAACTGGGTAAAGAAGATGCGGTACAAATATGCAATGGAATACTACTCAGCCATAAGAAAAGACGAGACAAAGGTGACGGCCAAGTGATCGTACCAGCAGAAATCAACGTGCCCCTCTGGCATTGAGGAGAGGCAGGCTGGCAGCTTTAGGAACTCGATCTGGCTGTGCCCACCCTACATGCCGGTCAGGGGAGGCAGCACTGCCAGATGTGAGGAGACGGACTGGGCATGGGATATGCCAGACAGAAAAAAAAAAGATGAGAGACTGCCATTTGCGACAACATGGATGGACCTTGAGAATATCATGCTAAGTGAAATAAGTCAGGCAGAAAAAGCTAAGAACCATGTGATTTCACTCATATGTGGGATATAAAAATGAAACATGTGGACCCAACAGCGGTACTGTGGTTGCCAGATGGAAGGGGGTGGGGGCTGGGGGTGAAGAGGGCTGAATGTAATGGTGACAGAAGATGGTTTGACTTTGGATGGTAGAAACCCACACCTGAAATCCATGTGATCCTCTTAACCAATGTCACCCCAATACATTTAATAAAAATAAACGAATAAATAAATAGGTGCCAAAATTTCAAACAGAAATGAACTCTTCCCGAAGATGCCACTGCCATGTCCTTCAGTGTAAGACTGAAGGACTCTTTACCTGAAGTATCCGGTAGCTGAGAGACTGATGCTTGCATCGAAAGCAGCCTGCGCCTGAGAAAGAAGGGCATCATGACACAATAAGGATGCTTGAAGTAAGAACCACGGAAACGTCAGCTTTAACTTCAGTATGCAAAATAAAGTATCAGTGGTAGTAACTAGGAAGCACCACCCCTGACACATCCCTTTCAGCATTCCCCTTCTCCCGGTGTGGTGGCAGCTCTTGTTCAATGCACATCGCCGTATGGACGATGCCGTGGCGTGCTGCACCCACGCCCGGGCTGTGCTGGCGACACACACTCTGCTGAGAAGGACTTCCACTCAGTCATCTGGAAAGACTAAGGCTATTAACATGGGACATTTCAGGAAGTAGTGGGTGGTTGGATGTTTGGTTTTAACATCGTATATCTATAACAGTCAGTCACAAGAGAGGTAATGTTTTTGCTAAATTGTACCATTTAAAGCAATAGTTCTCCTGACTTTGCAGTTGACTAGTAAATGGAAAAATGGGGGTCCAAGTCCTCAAGTCTGAGAAAAAAAAATATAAGAAGTGCAATCATTACAGAAGAATGGTAGCATTTCGTGATGAGGGGGGACTGACCCCCTTGCACTGCACCTCACCCCAGTGAGATGGTGTTTCTACAACCAGGCTCTCTCGGCCCTCCTGGTCCCAGGCAGCACAGGGCAGACAGCAGAAATAAATATGCCCCAAAAGGACTGAGAACTCCCATAAATCTGAATTATAGAATGAGCCCTAACTCTATAAAATAGAAGGAACCATTTCTAAGTAATACTTCCCAAATGTTATTTCCTCCAGACCGAAGCTTTTAATGTGACATTCTAGAACAGTGATCACAGCACATACTCCCAGCCACTGTTGATGTCCATTCCGTATCATCTGGTACTTTAGAACCTGTTCCTCTGACTAATTTGCTAGTTGACTTTAGCATGTGTGTTTTCTCTTCCAACTGTATCATAAGCAGACCAAAGGAAGCAGTTGAATATTTCCATTCCATTTCAGCTACTGGTTGAATATATACCCAATGGGTTTATACTATATTATTTCATTTTTATAAAACTGTAGACAAAGCAAATTGATCTCGAGTGACAAAAAGCAGATCAGTACAGTTGGGAGAGTGAAGGAGAATAAGGAACACTAGAAATCGTTTTGGGGTGATGGAGATGTTCATGATCTTAACTGTGATGATGGGTGCATATATGTACACATATCAAAATTCATCAAGTTGTACACTTTAAATATGTGCAGTTTATTGTAGGTCAATTACACCTCAGTAAAGATATTTAAAATTTAAAAAATATATATATTAAAACATTTTAAACGAGTTCTAGACAGACAAACCATCTTTCTCTCTAACAGCGGATCCTCCCAGACGGAAAGGTTCTTCCGTCACACCATGACACAATTTCCATGTGCCGAGAGCCAAGGGTGCTCTGCGGATCCCTGTGTCACTGCAGCACCTGTTAACGTGCTCTTCCTGCCGATCGTTAATCCACACGCATCTCTTTCACTTCCCCTCTTTTTTCCTAACAGAAAGCACAAGGAAGTTCTCACCCAGTCCTTCCAGGAGCCTCGAGGATTCTTGCTGATAATGGGTTCCAGGCGCTTCAGGAGAGTTTGACAAGCATCCTAGGGATTATTCTTTAGTTAAAATTATGATCATAATTTCATGCAAACACTGTTATCAAAGCTGCATGATATGTGCCACTATAGGCTCACTGCAGAGGCCGAGGAACACGGAGAAGGACGAGGCTGATCCTAAGCAGGTGGTGTGGCAGGTGTCTCCAGGGGGGCGGAAGTGGACTGCCCAGGAGGAGGACCCCCTGAGAAAAACTCGGGACTTAATGGAAAAACTGCTGGCAAGCCATCAGCCACTACTTTTAAACACAGGGTGGTCAGATGTATTTTGTGGGAAAGCTCACTCTGGCAGCGTGAAACCAGAGTGAAAGGCAATGGCCCTGGGTGGAGAGAGCCCGCAACGGCCCTGGCAGGAGGTGTGGGTCTGAACAAAGCGGCCACACTATCAGGACGTGGCAGTGGAAATGTCTCTTTCCGCAGAGGCGTTTCTGCGCAGAATCGGAATGGCTTGCTGCCCAGGGAGATGTCAGGAGGGAGGGAGAAAAAGAGGTGGCATTTCCAGCTCAGGAGAGCACCTGGGCGCCACACCACCGAGACTGGGGGAAGGGCAGTTTTCACTGAGAGGGTGTGGGAAGGAGATAAGAGCTGGATTAATTCTCAACATCTTCTGAGTGCCGCCATGTATTGGTCCTGGTGGGGTTAATGCTTTGGACGCCACTGCAATGATTCGTACCTTCACTGCCAGCCCATTGAGATCTGCCACCACAGAACCTCCGGAGACGTTCGTATTAGGGACGGTTTCTGTGCTTGTTCCACGCAGGTGGATATTAGACAGGGGCATCCTTAATTCGTGACTGGCCACCTGGATTTCAGAAGAGAGTTGTTTTCCCAAATACTTCGGTTAGTCACTGCCCGTGTGCCTGCCCACACGGTAGCACCTGCGTGGGGCCCTGATATGTCCAATGGGGACGAGTGGGCAGAACCACAAATTCTTCAAGCTGCAAAAAGTTCTTCTTTACAAAAACCCTGTATCCAGTCTGGGCCCTAAGCCCTGAGCACATTTTCTTTTTCTTTGACAGTCTTACATGCAACAGCATCAGGAAGAGAGAACAAGGCCCCACGCCAAGGTAGGAAGAGTGCTTTATGTCTTTGTCATCATGAAGTTAACACCTTTGAGGCCTCTCCTCCACCACACTCCGCACAATTCTAGAAAAGCCAACCTTATCAGTGAGGGGATCCTTACCCACATTTCTGGAGATGCTGCAGGGAAAGAGCTCTTTTGAGAAAGAACAATGGCCTTGTTAAAGCAGCAGCACAAGCTCGCAACCTCAGAAGGAGACGGTGCCGCCCAATACAGGACTTGGCTGGCTGCTTTGTTCTTTCTTTAGTTTTAGTGCTAGGGAGCAAAATCATATTACTAACTTCACCTCACCCAAAATTCTCCTCTTTCCTGCAAGCAGCATAGCTTAATAGAATTTGTTCATAGCTGTGACAAGGACACAGTCAGTCATATGGAGTCCTTCTATGCTGTTGACTTTCAGAAGGTCATCTACACAAAATGCATAAGTTTAGATATAAAGGTTTGGTGGCCCAATAAAGAAAACACTGAAGTCTCAACCCCTCAAATGGGCAAAGATATGACCAGACAATTCTCAAATGACTAATAACATGAAAGAAAATATATAGTCAACATCTCTCTAATCAGAAAAATGCAAATTAGAGCAATAATGAGGTGCTATCATTCACCTACGGATTTATCTGAGATTTTAAAACAACCTGTAACATATAATGGTTAGTGGTGTAATGAGATGGTTACTTTCTGGAAAACAATTTAGTAATATGTTCAAATGATTTAAGATACACTCTGTGACCAGTAATTCCATTTCTGAGAATCTATTCTAAGAAAATATTCATTGATGTGATCACAGGTTTATGTAAAAATATTCATTGAAATGTTCAACAATCGGGGAAGGTTAAATAAGTTATGTATACATCCCCATGCAGCCTTTATGAGTCATGAGTGCAAAGAATTCGTAACAACAAGAGGGAGTGCTCCCTCTATGTCAGGACCGGTGAAAAAACTGGGCACAAAATTCTATAAACAGCATGTTGGCAATTTTTGGAAAAATAAAAAAAGTCAAGATGGGAAAGAACCCAAAACAGTGATTATTGCTAAAAGATGGAATTGTGTAGGATCTTCCAAAAAAGAATGATTTGCTTCTTAGAAATGTTTTATAACCTGTATTATTACTAGTATGATTAGCAAAAATAGAAACAGTACCTAAACATTAATCCAAAGTAAATAAGCCCAGAGAAAACTGGTAGAGTTTGGTTAGAAATATCCAATGTGATTTATATTATCAATTGTTTAGTCCTTACTATAAAAAAAAAAAAAAAAAAAAAGCCAGGAATAATGCAGTACAGCAGAATTACACATCTTTCTATTTCCCAGCAAAGGTTTAAAAAAGACAACTCTTGGTTGGAGCATCATCCCATACACCAAAAGGTTGAGGGTTCAATTCCCGGTCAGGGTACATAGCTAGATTGTGGGTTCAATCCCCCATCGAGGCAGACAGGAGAGGCAACCGATCTGTGTTTCTTTCTCACATTGATGTTTCTCTCTAAATATTTTCTTGGGTCAGGATTAAAATTAATAATAATAAAATAAAAATAAACCCCTTAAGCAATAAAAAATAAATAAATAAAAATAAAAAAGACAACTCTTGTTCACATGTCCAAAGGAAAGCGGCAAATAACCACACAGTCTTGTTTAGCAATAAGACAGCCCAAGACCCTTCTGCCACATTCTTTTAAGAGGGTCGGACTAGCTTGTTTACCCAGTTTCTGCTAATAGTTGAACAGTTTAAATGGTCAAAGCTAAAGTCTCCTCTCCTTTTCATTCGGGAACAGAGAATGTCCATTCACAGTTTCGCTCTCGTACACACATCTGTAAGTACACATTCAATGTCACCGAGTTGTTTGCATTCTTACCTGAATCATTTTGGTGTGGACCCCCTGCCCCATTTCGATTCCACCATGAGTCACCAGCACAGACCCATCTAGATAAATGTGAACCAGGGCAGCAGCCTAAGCAAAAAAGATACAATTTCCATGATCTTTTTGACTGATATTATCATATGTCTTGTCAATTCAAACATTTTCCCTGGAAACAGTCCCCTCCCTTCCATCTCCTGCCCAAATATACACAGACACTTTTCCTGTCACCCTGAGAGCACTGAGCAAAGGCTGGGCGATGCTGGGACACCTCAGGATCACCCCCAAGGGGCCAGATTGTTGCTGGAGAGCTTTGAGACGGGCGGGACTATGATCCGTGAGCTACTATTTTCTCATTGGGATATTTGAGCTTGCTGGTGGTGCTCTTCAAGGATCCCTGGCGTGGATGGAACAACAATTTAGTTATGGGTTTGTTTTGGGGAGGCGGGGCATCAGTTTTAACATGTAAAGTTAAATGCAGATAGTTTGGGGGAAAGGGAGAAGAATTATCTATGCGAGCACATATTCTCACAGTTTTAGGTTGTTACAGAGAAGCAAAAATGAAAATCCAAGTAAGATAAAACAGACATGCATTTTTTTTTCACTGCAAAGTGAGCTAAGCTCTCTCTAAATCATCTTGGCACAGAATTACAGAGCTTTAGTTGAAAGGGAACTTGGAAGGAATCTTATCTAACTATACAGCTCCCCACAGGGATCCAGAAGGAACCAAGCTGCTAACAGAATTAAAGACTGCTGTAATCAGAAACATCCAAACTCTAGACTAAACATGTTTTACAATTAACAAGAATATGCCATCTTGGCTGCTCATGCTAAACAAAGGGGTTATGGAGACATCTCAGGAAACCGCAGAAAACAAGGATGTGTCCTCACTTCGCGTCTCCAGTGTGAGAGCAATATTAACAGATATGGTCTTAAGAAAATGCTTCTAACTCTGTGGCTCAGGAAGCCCAAGGCCCCCTTTGCAGCGGTTGCCCTGGGAAGTGCCAGTCCCAAAGGTGTGGTCTGGAGCTGCCAGGGTCACTCAAAGCTCCATCAGCTAGGTTTCTTAACAGCTAAGCTTCGATCCAGAGTGGCATAGGATTTGTAAAGGCAGGGTTTTAAGAAAATTCTAGTAACAAGCAAATTTCCATTTAGTACAGCTAAAATCTTAGTAAGCCTTTATTACTCACTGAGATTACTTATGAACAACCCTGGTCATAAACCAAAGTCAATGAATCACCAACTGCATTAAGGAAAGGACCTCATTCCTAGATCGATTCTTTGCCCACCAGAATGACCTTCGTAGCCACTTGTGGGCCACAGGCCACACTTGGAGAATTGCTTCTTTATTGGTGTCCAAAGGTTCCCATTACTTTAGCAAATAAAGAAAAAAGTCAAGATAGGAAGGAACCCAAAACAGTGATTATTGCTAAGTGATGGAGTTGTGTAGAGTCTTCTAAAAAAGAATTACTTTAATCTTAGAAATGTTTTATATGCTGTATTATTATTAGTATGATTAGCAAAATAGAAACAGGACCTAAAAATTAATCTAAAGGAAGTGAGCCTAGAGAAAACTGGCCTTAGAAATATCATGTGATTTATATTATTAACTATCATCCCAAATAAGACACTTTGACAGTGAAAATGGGCTCTAGTCACCTGGTCACAGGTGTAAACTAGGGATGTATTGGGAAAATAGGGACACAGGAGTACCGTTTCTCTGAGGACAAAGGCACAGCCCAAGGGAGAGTTTTAGAACCTTAAGAAAGGCATGTAACCATATTAATCAGCCCAAGGGCTTTGGGAAGATGTAGCAGAGTGTGTTTTACTGTCTGTTGACACATTGCTCCCGGAAACACTGCCTTGTGCTCCTGCCATTTATTCTCAGAACAATAAAGATAAGGAGTGGCATTCTCTGCAGAGAGCCCAGAGCTGGCTGCCCAGGGGTCGTGCATCGGCTGTGGCTGGATGCCAGCTCAGTGGCTGCTCCTGGGCTCCATTCTATGGCACTTCATTGTACTCTGCTAGAATGTGAGTTCCCGGAAACACGAACCACGAACCACGGTCCTAAGGCATCCCTTGCAATGCAACATAGTATTTCACACCCAGTAAATGCTCAATAAAGGTTTGTAAGTGAATTTGAGACAGCCTAGCCATTCAATCTGTTTCATGAGCTTGTAGGCTCTGGGTTTGGTCTCCTTGGCTCAGCTAGCATTTTAGACGTTGTGAGTGAAATTTGCAGCTTATGCATGTGACTGAGTGACAATTATAGTGGACTGTGCATTTCTTACACTCTGTGACCCTGTTGGCAGTGGCACTCTGCCTGCCTGTCCAGGACAGCATTTCTATCCAAGACTGCTGGGTAATTTGCTCCATGTGCTGCTGCAATCTCCTCGGGCCATTTAAAACATCAAATTTGGTTTCATTAAGTGGCACCACCGGATGGTTCATTGTTAGCACCACAAAAGATAGCTCCACAAAGCTTCATCTACAAAATCAGCACAACTGGAGTATTAGAGCAGATGGTTCTACAACATAAACCGGGGACTTAGTCTGTGAAATTTAAATCTTCAAGCAACGGCTGCTGGTATTGGTGAGAAGTTTGCTTTGGTCCTACAGATTCCCAAATGTCTCAGCCATTCAAACATTTGAGTTCCTACTCTGTGCCAGGATCCATCCGAGCACACTGGGAAGACAGAGGCTAATTAGATGCTGTGTGACCTTTGGTGTCCATTAGAAATTAAACATAATGTAGGTGAGGAATGTTTGCCCCTCAGCTGTTGGGAGCACGGGGGCCACTCCTGCTCAGGGAGGTGGCGTGGAATGATAAGGGCACATGGGATCTGTGTCCCAACAGTTCTGAAGTCAAATCCTTGTTCTGTCATTCACTAGCTGAATGTCCTTGGGCAAGAGAGCGAACCTCTGTGGGTTTTAGTTTATAAAATAGAATCGCACCTACCCAACAGATAGGGGTTTGATCAAGTGGGAAATTACAAGTCATTCAGCCTAGGGCCTTACAGAAGGCCTCAAATACCATTTCTAGTTCCCTCCTCTATTTGTTTGCTTCAGAATAGCCTTTTAGCATATGGCATCCAGGAAGCAGCTTGGCTGGTCTCAAATTCTTTGATTCAGCCCTAAGCAAATGTTTTAAACATGGAAGCTGGTTAGTTTCTGGAGAAAGATGGGAGGGCCTGGTGGCTGGGCAGAGCTTCTCAGTAGCCTTTGAGAGTGAAGTTGTATTGCTGGCTGTCTGGTTTCTTCCCAGCTGAGCTGAATCCCACCCCAGTTCCCACCAAAAGGCTCCACAGAGGGGCAGCTTCAGGTAGCTGAGCAAGCACAGCTTTTGGGGCCTCTCAGACCTGAGTTCTAGCCCTGGCCCCTCCTCTCACCAGATGTAGGATGTGGGAAAGTCATTTAAGCTCTCTGAACCTCAGTTTCTTATCACTAACTTAAGGCTACACATCTTGTAGGTTGCCCTAAGGATTTAATGTGATAAAATCTAAAAGAATTTATAACATAGTAGGTGCTCAGTAATCATCTTTTTATAAATCTACTTTTAGAGAAATTTCTGATGAGGGACATGAGACTGCCTGGTCCACCAGAGGCCAGATGTTAAGTGATAACAACCATTAAACAGACAGCTGCCACGTCTACCACAGCCTGATACCCAAGGATCTTCATGTAACCCACAAACAACGGAGACTGTTTTCCCCGTGAGCCTACCAGCCTGCTCAAGGACAATAGCCCAGCCTGTTTGCTAGCTGCCCACGAATCAGTTTACCCCAAACTGTATACCAAGATTCCCTGCTCACTATCTCTTTTCTAGTGATTCTTACCTCTTCTTCTTTCCTTTTGAATAACCTTGTTTTTGCCTTTATTCCTCAACCACAGCATCTTGACTGTCTCTCTCACCTGGGTAAATTGGGTGCAGATGACTAAATGACTCTGTGTTGTTTTTGTCATCACAAATAGGCAAGAGATGGGCTGGCTGTAATTAAGATCACCATTTGGATTGTTGCATTGTTCCTCTGAGCTAATCCAGCTATAATATTAACTGCATGAAACGTTCTAATGATTACACCAAAGCTGAACCAGGATGAGCAGGTGAACAGATGACTATGGGAACGAGAGAAGGACCTTCCCACCCACTTCTCTTGGTCTCCTTTGTTCCCTCGACACCCAGTTTACACACTAGTGCCCCTCACAGCTCCACCCCCATTTATTCCTATTCGGTCATCACACACATCTTCATCATGGCTCAGCCAAAGGTGTGAACTCTGCACAGGGGAGTGACAATCATTTTGAGGGCTCTGCCATCTTATCCACATATGTGTACATATACATGCATGTATATGTAAGAACATAGATAATAGGGCTCCCACATCACTGGTGTACAATGAACTAGAAGAGAGCAGTCCTTCACCAGCTGTTTGGGGAAGTTTTTCAAGAATGAAGAGATAGATGGACATAGCAAGTGGGATTTAGTAAGCAAGCAGGGAGTTTATTTAATCAATTAAAGAAATTAATCTACAAGAATAGATTTTGTCTTCCCCTTCACACTTTGAATGGCTATGAAGTGAACACATTCCTAAAATTGTTTTTAAAATTCTTTAAATGATTTACCTATCTAGGTTTAGTTTACTTCAACCCACCAAAAAGTGGTGATGGTGGGGGTGGATCAAGTGCCTCAAAGCTTCCTGTTTTTATTACTTGGGCCAGAGACACAGGCTCATAGAAGAGTTGGAAGGGGAGTCTCAGGAATCACTGGGTTCACCTTTTACTTTATATTTGAGCAACCTGGGGCCCAGAGAGAGTTGACTCAACTGCTTAATGCCAAGGCCAGGAGTAGAAACCGGGTCTCCCAATTTCCCAGGAGGGACACTTATCCCCAATCCTGGGAACAAGGGTAAGAAGCTCTTGTCTCATCTACAGAAAAGCTAGTTTGATTGAGCACAACTTGGGTGAAATTCAGCAACCAGATATTGCCACCATATGGCTAATTCACCTAATGGAACATTTCCTGAATACCTTTTGATTTGCCTTTTTGGAGAACTGACCTGACCAGCAGCTCGTGAGCCAAGGCCAACAGGATACTTCAGGGGGACCATGGCCAGCCCCTTCTTCTTCCAGTAATTCTCTGAGTTGAATTTTTCCACAGCTGCTTTCCTCAGGGAGTAGGAAGACATGGTCATACATTCTTTCCAGCACCGGATCAGGTTCTTGGCATTAATCTCTTGTTTGTAGGGTGTCTGATCAATTTCCTTGTACATGTTTATCATTCGGACCTATGAAAGAAAAGAAAAGGAGATGAAGAGAGTTTGGGGGTGGGGGAGACTTGGCAGACAGACCCATCCATTGTCCTCCTAGTCAAAATCTGCTCATCCTCTAAGGCCCAAGCTGAGTTCCACAAACACCTTGTTGAAGCCTTTCCCAATGCATAACAGTGTCTTCATCTACTTGGAACCTCTATCAGTTGTTAGGACGTCCATGCTGCTCTTGTGTAAGTTCAAAGGAAGGCATCCTGTCCTTACATTTCTTATATAACTCAACCCAGTGTAGGTACACTGTAGACTCTTAGCATTGGATACATTGGTGAATAGCTGTTGAAAGGTAATCCTGAAGTTAATTTCCAGGCTACCTGATCTACATGATTTGGATGATTCAGATGCTGTGATAAGATTACTTACTTCTCAGGGAAAAATATAAAGTTTGTTTAAATATAATCCATAACTAGGATGAAGAACAAATGGAAAGATTCCACCCCCAGAATGTCTGAAGCACTGAGTAGAATTCTTCCTGAATTCCCAGAATTGGAGACTAAGACCCACAGCTGAGAACAAAAGGTCAAGTACCTCACATTCTCAGTTGAGAAAACTCAACAGTTGAGGCTAGCCATCTCCTCAAGCCAACAGGGGCCATTGTACACGTCTAGTCTCCCATCTCCCTAAAAAGATTCTCAGAGCATTATAAAAGGATGGCTGGAAGTTAGTGAGCTGTGCCATTTGGGCAAGGCAGTGTTCTGAAGGGTGCCTATTCTTTCCTCCAACTTCCCCAGGTAGGAAGGGAGGTCATCCCTAGTGCTACCAAATGTGAGAGAGCATCTGAGAGAGGAGCTGTGGTGAAATGGCCAGGAAGGGAGAGGCAAGGATCCTCCACAAGTTCAAGACACATAAAGAGATGGTTCCTGCCTGTGATCACAGATTCTCATGCTGGGGGAAGAAGTGAGACAAATTGAAGTCAGGGCTTTCTAAGGACCAAGTGGCATGGGGTACAGAGGCGTGGCATTAGGGAATGCTAGTGAGGGGCTAGCTGAAGGGCTGATGAGACTGAACACGCCTTCACAGGGGACAGTTGATTTTCAAGAGAAATGGAGCTCAGGGACAACAGACTTGAAAAGTGGCTTCATCTAACCAAGGAGAAGACAGAGAGCTCTCGCTGGGAGAAGTCACATGGGGAGATGCTGTCTGATTCCCTGGTCCCTCTCTTCTTCCTGTCCCAACACTGCAGCAGAGGGCACCGAGGAGAAGGGGCAAGAGAGCACACCTAACTCTGCTCCAGGATCCTGGGTAGAAGAGGTGCCAGGAAGGGGACAGAGCTCGTCAATGATGGCGCTGAGACGGAGACTCACTGAGAACTGAAAGAAGACCACTGTAGTGACTGACGTGACCAAACTTTACGACAGCTGCCTGAGATGTTAAGGAAGCAGGGGAAAGAAGGGTGGGGCAGAACGTGGCAGTAGCAGTTATAGCCCCAACCAATGGAGACTTCTCATAAACAAGTTAGAATCCAACGCTCACTCTTCAGTATTTTCTTGGCCTCAGGATTTTTTTTTAATGCCCTTGGTTAGAAAATGGTTGCAATAATACATAAGAAATATGATATGTTTTAAAGGAGATTTCATTGTTGTACTAAAACTTCTGATAGAATTTTGGGCTTTATACCTGGAAGATATAGTAGTGATCAACCCTCTGAATTCCTCATTTTATAACCAAGAAAAATGAGGTCCATAAGGAGTTATCTTTTTTTTTTTTAATTGTTGACAGTATTACAGATGTCTCCTATTTTATCCCCCTTTGCCCTGTCCCCATGATTTCTGAGAAGCAGCCTGAGTAAGACAAGGATCACTGAACTTTGGAGTCCTGGCTCTATGTTAACTAGTGAACTGGGTTACCCAGGGCAGAACCTCACATTCCTCAGCATGAATGGCCCCGAGTGGCCCTCCCATCTCTAAAATCAGACAGTTTTTTGATATATGAGGCTAATTTAGTGTTACCTCCTCAGGGGGCAGCCCACATTTGGCTGCCACTTCCATGATGCAGGACTCGGTGATCAGCCCTGCCTGAGGGAAGCCGAAGCCACGCAACGCCGTGCTGGATGGGAGGCTGGTTCTGCACGCCCGCCCTCGGCAGCGCAGGTTGGGAAACTTGTAGGCGTTATCCATTTTCAGGAGCCCCTGTTCTATCACCTGGGGAAATCCAGAGTGGGTGTGGTGAGACCCTCGTCCTCCTGTACTCGTGTCACCATCCCAAGACCTCAGACCGAAACCAGGCCAGAAACGACCACCCCTCTCCGTCACATCAAACACATGGAAAGAGACCCAGAGCTCAATTTAAATGTGTCTTGACTGTAAAATAATATTTAAGAATTTCAATAATTTTTCTTTTGAAATAATTTTTAGTTCATATTTCAGAGCAAATGCCTTTTTTCCAGGTTTCAAACATTTCCAAAAACCTCTGAAGCATTCGTAAGCCCTGACCACTGACTCTATAAAATATAATAAATATAAATAATATCTTAGAAAACAGAAAAAAACATGTTTTGGCATTTGGTCTAATGCATTGATTCTCAATGAGAGGCCATTCTGCCCTCTCTTCCCCTGGGATATTTGGCAACGTCTAGAGACATTTCAGGTTGTTAAGGCTGGAGGGTAGCCATGCCACTGAAATCTGTTGGGTAGAGGCCAAAAATACTGCTAAACATCCTACAATGCACAGGACAGCCTCCACAACTGAGCATTTTCCAGTCCAAAATGTCCACAGGGCTGAGGCTGAGGTCGAATGCTGGCATCTGAGAAGAGAGCTGTCAGTGTAGGGGACATGGAGACAGCACACAGAGGCAGACTTAGCCAGTAACTCTGGGCTCACTCTGGGGGCACCAGTAACATGTGGCTACTCCTCCAATGAAGGTCTCTATGCTTTTATAATTAAATATTATTTAGCTATTGAACTTTTTCTGAATGAAACCATTTTATGTAACACTTTCCAGAATGTGAACTTGCACCTTAAAACACTTACAAGTAATGACTCATCCAGGGAGAAGCCTCCATTGCTATAATGTTCCATATCCAGGGCCAAGATTCTGCCGTCGTTCATGAATCCAGCCTGGGGACAGAGAACCGACCTTTGATCGAGTGCTGGGGCCAACTCTCTCCAGGTGTACTTTGTTACCTGCGAACCCCCTACACATAGGCGGAAAGCTTCATGACACTGGATTTGGTAATGATTTCTTGGATATGACACCAAAGGCAGAGGCAACAAAAGAAAAAGTAGATAAACTGGACTACGGCAAAATCAAAAACTTCTATGTATTGAAGGACACAATCAACAAAGTGAAAAGACAACCCAGAGATTGGGATAAATATTTGTCAATCATATATCTGTTAAAGAGCTAATATTCAGGATGTATGAAGAACTAATTCAACACAAAAACAATACGAAAAAACAAACACATGATTAAAAAATGGACTCAAATAGGGATTTCTCCAAAGAAGATATACAAGCGTCCAATAAGCACTTGAAAATATGTTCAGCATTACTAATCATTAGGGAAATACAAATCAAGTCACAATATACCACCTCACATCCATTAGGATGGCTACTATGTAAAAACAACAACAACAACAACAAAACAAAACAAAACAAAACAAAACAGAAAATAGTAAGTGTTGGTGAGGATGTGGTGAAATTGGAACCTTTATGCACTGTTGGTGGGAATATACAATAATGTAACTGCTATAGGAAACAGTATGGCCGATACTAAAAAAATTAAAAATAGAGCTACCATATGATCCAGCAATCCCACATCTAAGTGTTCATCTAAAAGAACTGAAGGCAGGATCTCAAAGAGATATTTGTATACCTCTGTTTATAGCAGCATTATTCATAATAGCTAAGTGGTAGTAGTAACTCAAGTGTCTACCAATGGATAAACAAAATGTGGCATATACATACAATGGAATATTATTAAGCCTTAAAAAGGAAGAAAATTCTGACACATGCTAAATATGGATGAATTTTGAGGGCATTTTTGTTTTTATCCTCACCCGAGGATATTTTTCCATTTTTTTGTACAGATAGAGTGGGAGGAAGAGAGAGGAAGGGAGAGAGAGAGAGAAACATCGACGTGAAGGGCCACATCGAGTGGCTGCCACCCGCACGACCAACCAGGGCCGGGGACAAACTGCAACCGAAGTACGTGCCCTTAGCGGGAACCGAACCCGGGTCTCTCCGGACCGTAGGCCGACGCTCTAACCGCTGAGCCAAACTGGCCAGGGTGAGGGCATTATTTTAAGTGAAATAAGCCAGTCACAAAAGAACAAACACTGTATGATTCCATTGATGTGAGTAGTCAAATTTATAGAGATAGAAAGTTGAAGGTGGTTTCCGGGGCTGTTGGGAGATAAGGAATGGAGAGTCATTGCTTATTGGGTGCAGAGTTTCAAGTTTAAAAGATGAAAAAAGAATTTCAGAGACAGATGGTGGTGACGATTGCACAACATTGTGAATGCATAATGCCACTGAAATGTACACTTAAAAGCAATTAAGATAGTACATTTCATGTTATGTGTATTTTGCCACAACTAAAAATAATAATGGAAAAGGAAAAAAGGAAGGGTAGAGAAAGATATAAAAGCAAAGCAAACAAACAAAAGCACCTTCTGTTTAATCCATCACCACTGTTCAATCCTTTTTTTTTTCCCTCCTAGAGCAAAGTAATGTGCATCTGCTGACCTATCATTCTCACCTCCCGTGAATGCTGGCTCTCATCCTCACATTTCTACAAAATCTTCTCCTTCAAAGCCGCTGGTCTTCTCCTAATCTCAAATCTGGTGACTGCCTGTAAGGCACTCTGCACATTTTTTTCACAGAGCCCGATTCAGTCAAAACTCTCAGCAACATGTGGTGCTGCTGAAGGTCTTTTAAATAAATATATCCAACATTCCTGTTTTCTGTCTGCACACTGCTTCAATATCTATAAACTTATTGAAGTTCACTTTAATGATTTCTATTGGATGGTGCCAAATCCAAACCAAGGGCATGGCCTCTGAATTCTAGTAGTTTGAGTTTGAGTCCTGGCTCTGCTACTTAACCCACTCTGTACCTGAGGCAAACTCTACATCCTGTGACTGTGAAATGGCAATAATTATGATAATGCATGGTAAATCAAAGGCAAGTGACTAAAACACAGCAAATGTTCTAAATATATTTTATTAATATTAACGGTATTAATAAATTATAATACCATCTTCTGTCCCACACCACCCTTCATTAGAAACATTATTTTCTCATATTTTTAATCTCTACTATGCTGATGACTTTTATAATCCAGTCCGCTCAATAAAGTCCTATGTTAGAGAAGGATATTTCTACTTAAATGTCTCGCTGTCACCTCCTCTCCAAAACGTATGCAAATAAACTTATCACTGTCCCTCCAGATTGGTTCCTCCTTCCAACCTGGCTCTTTCTACTAGAAACCTCCAAGTCATGTGTGTGGTTTCATTCTGTGTTGTATTTTGCCAAGTGTGTCACCAAATTCTGTTTTATTTGAGATAATAGTGGTTCTTGGACTCATCTCTTCTTTTACTTCTTACTATTGTAGTTCAGACCCCAACTGCTTCATGTTTGAATGCATCAGCTGCCTCCAGGTGGTCCACCTGCCTCCATCCTCTCTCCTCCCTAGGTCATCTTGCCCAGTGCCATGATATTACTCTCCCCAGTGCACCCACATTTGGTTGGGGCATTTGACTGCTCAAGGATCTACTCAGTTTCACTCTTTCTCATGAGATTCTGGGATTCTCAGGCTCCTCTCAGTCTGGCATCACTTAACCCAGACAGTCTTGTTTCCCATTGCTCTCTAGTAAGTTCTCTGTGTTCTGATTCCCATTCTCATATCAAACATGCCATGTTCATCCTACCTCTGCATTTTTGCTCTTAGGATTTGTACCATCTGGTATTCCTTCTTTCTGCCTATCCATTCTTGAAAGTCATTTATGTTTCACCTTTTCTTCTTTTTCTTTTTTCTTTTCTTTTTTTTTATTTTTTTATCCTCACCCGAGGACATTTTTTTTGATATTTTGTTCAGATGGGAGAGAGAGAGAGAGAGAAACATCGATGTGAAAGGGACACATCGAGTGGTTGCCACCCGCACAACCCAACCAGGGCCGGGGACAAACTGCAACCGAGGTACATGCCCTTAGCGGGAACCGAACCCTGGTCTCTCGGGACCGCAGACCGATGCTCTAACCGCTGAGCAAAAACGGCCAGGGCTATGTTTCACCTTTTCTAAGTCTCCTGTACATACTCCAACTCATGTTCATCTCTCTCCACAGTTTTACTATGCGCGCCTCATCTTTTCACCCGAGGTTATTGTTTTCATAAGACTTACACAGTGACTTCAGATGTGTAAGTCATATTTCTCTCTCAACCACTAAAATGCAGTCTCCTTCAGAACAAAGCTTCCTGTAATAAATCTTTGTTGAACTAAACCAAAATCAAATGATAGCTTAGAGTGAATGTGAATTGAAACAGATACATTTACCATCTTCTAAAAACATGTATGCAGGTACACCAGTTGTGGTAGAAATGAAGCTACGTGTTCAACAAATCCTGTTGTCTTTCATCCTGGCCCCACAGGAAGACTACATTTCCCAGCCTCCTTTGCAGTTTGGTGGCAAAGTTCTGGCCAATAAGGTGCAATGACACTTTGTGCTTCCTTTCTTCCCTTGTTTGCTGCCCTCTGCAGAAGATCCAGTGGAGGACTGAGTCCCTGGGGCAGTACCATCCAATAGAACCTTCTGTGATGTTCTATATCTGCATGTCCAATATGGCAGCAAGTAGCCACATGGTGTTCTTGAGTACTTGAAATATAGCTAATGCAACTATGGAACTAAATTTTATTTAATTTAGTACACTTAAATTTAAATATAGCCACGGGTGCCTAGTGTTTCCTGTATTCAATAGTGCAGTCCGAGGGGAAGCTCAGGTCCTGCATGATTCTGTGTGGCAGATCCTCTCCTCTCCTCCGCCCCCTCCTCAACCCCCACCGGTTACCTCTAGCTGTGACTTGGGCAAGAATGAACACAGTAGAGGTTTAGATCCCTGAGAGCTGTTAGTTGTTTGTTAGAGCCATTAGCTCATTCTGACAAGTAAACTTATTTCTTATAAAGCAAAAAAGAAAATAATTATTTTCTGCTGTGGACAATTTTCTGGGACGGAGTTTTACAAAAATACCCCGGTATACTTAAAAATGAGTAAACTGCTGACAAATAATTATAATCTCATGTAACACTGTTGTTATAGAAATCATTCTATTTTTACCTCTTTTATATGTGGGAATAGCATGATGATCAGATTGATCAGATCTACTTTCACGGACCTGCAGACTCATGTTTTTCAGTACCAGCTAGCACTTTTCACAAATTACATCTTTGAGCCAAGCAGAAAAGCTTCATTTTACCAGCCAGTAATCAAGCAATTAGCACAAGAAACAGGAAGTTAAACAGAAGAACAATTTGTTGATTTGCTTATTGAGAGATAAGCAAATCATTAGAGAGTAGCCTTGTGCTGCCCTCTGCATTTATGGAATGTTCTATTTACAACATGAATCCTCCCCACCCCCATTCCCACCCCCCTTCCTCTACTCACTTTGTACTTTCCAAGGTAAGGGTGGCGGCCTGCAGTTATTAACATGTCTTCTCCTCGTTCCAGAACGCAGCGGACTGCACGGCCATGTCTAAAACAGAAAAAAGCAAGAGAGGTAAACTCTTTTACCAAGTAGGTATTATCTGTGGTTTATGTAACCCCTAGTGACAGCTTGAGTGGCATCCACACACATTATAGAACAGCAGGACTGCTCCCTGAACCCAGGCTGTGCTCATCTCAAGCACACACAGTGGATGAGGGCACGCTGGCTGGCATTCACTGCCTATGGGAGGGAGGCTCAGGGGTGCCTGAGGCTCTGTTTAGAGTGTTGTTTTGGGGGTATTTCCCACTGTGACAACAACCTCTGCCTGTCATTGGCAAATAGTCCAAAGGCAACATTAGAGACTGGTTACAAATGGAGGAACTCAGGCAGTGATGATTGCCAAGTGTTCCCAGAGAGGACAGGGCTGTTTGTATCACGGGACAGAGGAACTGGCCTATAGTACTCAGCAAAAAAATGAAGCCTTCTAGGTGTGCCTGCTCAAGGATGATTTCCTATGGAAATATTTTGAGATTCTTGAAAAAAAAAATGGTGATATGAATAAAGGTAAGCATAACAAAAGCAAAACTTCAATTTAAATCAAGGAAACACACACACACACGCACATGCACAAGTGCTAAGGGTAAGTAACCTCCACCCTATTAGGACCTGTTTCTGTCTCCTCTCCAGGTATTATAGTATTTTCACTGTGGTTTTATTCTTTTCAGTAATTGATTCTCATTTTGGTTCTTATGGTATGTAGTTTGACAATATAAAATAAGAAAGTTATTACTGGCAGCTTGTATGTGTATTACATATGATTTTAAATAATCTTAACCCCCCCCCCAAATAATCTTGACCCAGACTCTTCTTCTGTAATTCTGATATTGCTAATATTCAGCATGACCTTATTTTATTTTTAGTCTATTTAGCACATTTTTTTCTACTTACTTGTTTGCTGCAAATGCGGTGATAGCTGCTAGGACGCCAGTTTTAAACGCCTTCCCCCCAAATGCGCCGCCAACACGCTTTACATGACACATGATTTTGTTAGCTGGGAGCTTCAAGACTGAAGCAACTATGTCCTGTAAATGATAAAAGTTCTCATTAATCTGATCCATCAGCAGCAAGAGAGTTGAGACAGCCCTTGCACGTTTTGATTTTATAATGTACATGATACACATTCTATGTGGTTATACTAAATAACAGTACAATTTTCAATAACCTAGGCATGCATCCATGCTGATCTCAGTAGTATTTGGCTACAACAACATTGCCGAGACTATTATTAATACTGAGTAGTCCTTCTGATAGAAAGGAGATATTTCTGTGCTAACAATTTTTACAAATGTTCTCCATGAACTCTACCCAAAGTATAGTTTTCACACTAATCCCCAGGGGTATGTCTCCGGAAGCAGTGAGGTGCGTGGCCTTCCCACCCTCTGTCAGACTGGGTCTCTCCCAGCACTCTGCTCTTCTCCACTGCAGAATGCACCCCTCTCACCTCCCATCAGGGTCACTGCTGCAGTTGGCAGGTAGGTCTTCCTGGATGCAGGTCTTGCTCTTTATTTAAACCATCCTAATGTTTAGAGGTCAATTCTTTTTAACAATTCATTTTTATGGATGGGGAGCCCAAGAAGGATGAAGTGATGGGCCCGACATCACCCAGGAAGAGATGAGCAGAACAGGACTGGGTCCGAGTTTGCCCGACCTTTCTTAGTGTTCCACCTTCTAAAGGGGTCATTCTCATTCCCACATTCCTGCTTGCTCTGGTAACAACACTGCTCTTTATGATCTAGGAGCCAGGACCCCTCTGCTATGTTCCCCTTACTTTCATCATGATGCCTAAACTAGCCACCTCAAAAGTACATCCTCCATTCCAGCTTGGCAGTCCGTGCACTATCCCTTCTTTGTTACATGCATGCTGCGTGGTATATAGGCACTAAGTGTTTGCAGAAGAGACGGGCGAATGAATGAATGAATGAATGAATGAATGGCATTTGATCTTATTGTGGAATTGCCTGGAAATGGCATCTCTTCTCAGCATCTAGATAAACCTCATTTGCAGTATAAATCCAAACTTAAGACTTCATCTTTGTGGGACTTTCTTGGTGATTCTAGCTCTTAGCAGCCCTCTGTTTTCTTAATGCATTTATATATGTAAATTAGCTGATTTACATTAAGTTACATTCTCCTCAGTAAGAACCCTAACTGCTTCATGTGAGTTGGATACTATAGACTTTGGAAGGCAGGCCTTCCTCTTTTTTCTAGTTTTATTGAGAAACAATGAACATATGTCACTGTAAGAGTTTAAGGTGTACAGCATGATGGTTTGATTTACATATGTTGTAAAATGATTACCACAACAGATTTAGTTAATATTCATCATCTCATAGATACAATGGAAAAAATTCTTGAGATGAGAACTCTTAGGATTTACTCTCTTATCAACTTTCCTATATTACCACTCAACAGTTCAAGTGATAGTCGTCACTCCTGTTATATCCTTAACAGGGTCAAGAGTACAGCAAAAGAAACCTGCTGCGTCTGTATTGTTTTACAGATGCAGATCTACAAACAGAAGGCCTCCACTCTTACAATACTAACTTAAAAGCTTTATAATGTAGGGTTATTAAAACCCAAGTGGATATGGCTATTAGTACTCCAAATTCTATCAGTTTCTGAAATGACATCTTTGTCTCTAATTGCTCTTGGTCTATTTTGCTGGCAGAAACCATTTAGCTATGTTCTCTCCTTAAGGGCCCCATGCTACCTGTATGCCTCTAGGATACTGTGTGGACACGTAGACATCCATTTCTTGATCCTCTCCTTTGGGAACAGCAAGCATGCTTTGGGTTTCCATATAAAAATGTTCTTGACCTCCCAGACGTATTTCACCTGTTGGAGGAAAATACACCAGAATCAAAAAGGCTGTCAGATAGGACAGGTAGCACCCCCCAGCTCTTTCCTGCTGGGGTGTAGGCTGCATGGAGAAGGGTCACAAATAATACTCTTTGACTTTTGTTATACCTGCATATTGGAAATAGAGTTCTGTAGAGGAACCTGTCATGTCTGCCAATACAGTGGGTCACTTGGTCCTAGGGAAAGGTGTGCAGAGTCAAAAGAGTATAACAAGGAGACTTCTAGTTCTAAGACAAAATGGTATAGATGCATGTCTCCCTGTGCCTTCTGCTAACAACCCTGGACATCATATATGAAAGAAACATAAGACAACTCTCAAAGATAGAGAGGGAAAGGCACCAGTTAGGGACTTTGAGACCCAAGGAAAGATATAATGACAAGTTCAGTGGGTTATGTTGCTGCTGTTTGTTTCATATAGCTTATACTTGGTACCAGAGAAACCAGAAATCCCAAAACACTGCCAGGCAAGGACAAGAAAAACGTCTCATGGAAAGCCTACTTTCTCTAGACAAAGGAAGACAGAAAGCTTTTATACAAAAACTACTCTACTCCAACCAAACACTACAGAAAAAATTGTGAACCTATCTTTATCCGCAAAAGTTGTGTGGAGTGCCTGGACTTCTACCCTTGTCAGGTTGTTATGAGGTACCCCAAACTGTCTGCTGTGGTGGTGTCAGTGGAGACCATCTGGGGAACCTAGACTTCCACCTTCTACCTGGCAATAACAAGATATCACCCCCCCCCTTTCCCCACCAACACAAGGCCAGAGGAGTCTTGATAAAATAGAAGAATCAAATAAGATCCAAAGTCTTATAACATAATACCCCAAATGACCAGGATACAATAAAAAAATCACTCATCATACCAAGAACTCAACTGGAATGAGAAAAAAAACACTCAACAGATGCCAACACTGAGATGACACAGACTGTGAAATTTTCTCACAAGGATTTTAAAACAGCCATCATTATAAAATGCTTCGATGAGCACTGACATGAACACTTAAATGAAACAATAGAAAGTCTCAACAAAGAAAGAGAAGATATAAAAAGATCCAAATGGAAATTTTAGAACTACAACAACCAAAATATAAGAGGCTCAGTGGATGAGCTTAACAACTAAATAGAGAGAACAGAGGACATTATCAATGAACAAAAACATAGAATAGCAGAGATTTCCCAACCTAAACAGCAGAGAGAATATAGTCGGAAAGAATCTGAACAGAGCCTAAGGAACCTGTGTGACTGAAATAAACGATCGAACATTTGTATCACTGAGGTCAAGCATATGAAGAAATAATACTGAAAATTTCCCAAAATTGGTAAAAGATACAAACCTACAGATTCAAGAAGCAGAGTAAATCCCAAAGGGATAAACCAACAAAATCCATGCCAAGACATCACAGTTAAAGTTCTGAAAGCTAAATACAAAGAAGATGTCTTAGAAGCAGAGAGAGAAACATTACCTCATCTATAAGAGAAAAATACTTCAAAAGACAGCAGCGTTGTCGTCAGAAACCAGGAAGGCCAGAGGAACTGGTACAACACTTTTCTTCACGTGCTAAAAGACCTGTCAACTTGGAATTCTATATCCAGTGAAAATATCCTTCAAGAATGGAAAAGCAATCAAGACATTCTCGGATGAAGTAAAACTAAGAGAGTTTGTCTTCAACAGGCCTATCCTAAAATAACAAATGGCTAAGGGAAGTTCTTAAAACAGACAGAAAATGATTTAAAAAAAAAAAGATCTTGAAACATCAAGAAGGCAAGAGAGCAAGGGAAAGAATAAAAGTACAGGTAAATATAGGTAAACACAGACTTTCCTTTCCTCTTGAATTTCTAAGTGTTTGAAGCAGAATTACAACATTGCTTCATGTGGTTCTCAATGTGTATAGAGAACATTTCAAAGACAATTATATTATATATGAGGGAGTGTATCTCCCAATAACAATTATATTATATATGCGGGAGTGTATCATCCCGTAAGGAATGTCCCATACGGTATCCAGGTGTGGTCGTCTAGAAAATGCAATAAGGATGAAATTCACCAAACAAGTTTTATATATTAGTTACCTATATATTTGTCACCACTTAAAAAAATCTATATACAGCCCTGGCCAGTTTTGCTCAGCGGTTAGAGCGTCAGCCTGCGGTCCACAGAGACCTGGGTTCAGTTCCCGCTAGGGGCATGTACCTTGGCTGCAGTTTGTCCTCGGCCCTGGTTGGGTCGTGTGGGTGGCAGCCACTCGATGTGTCCCTTTCACATCGATGTTTCTCTCTCTTCCTCTCTCTCCTTCCCGCTCTATCTGAATAAAAAATGGAAAGTGTCCTCGGGTGAGGATAAAAAAATAAAAAATCTATATACAGTTCATGTGGATGAGGATTAATCAGTGATTGTCAAATAAAGACAAAACAAAACAAAAAAACCCACTACTGATAAATCAAAATGGAATTCTAAAAAAAATGTGTAAGAATCTCATTGAAAGGCAGGGGGAACAATTAAAAACAGAGATGAAAACAAAACCAAAACCAAAACATAGCTATGACAGTCATCATGCTAGCTGAGAGGCAGAACTTTTAAAAATTAAAAATGTACCCAATAACAGTGATTTGTAAATTGTTTCAGGAAGATTTCCCCCAAAATTTTTTGTACTGGAGTCTGGACTTCCTATCTTATCTGAAATCAGAGTATAGAAGAAGGAGCAGATTCTGCTTCATTTATAAAATAAAAAAAAACTAAAATGTCAAGAACTCAGATCTCAATTTCAATGTAAGCTTTTATCAAAGACTGTACCTTGAAAATCCCACTTAACAGTAGGCTCAAATTCATGGTTTGCAATATTAATGATTACACTTATCCACTCAGAATTAATTTTGTTAAATATCTACTTCGCTCAAAAAACACAGAACTAAAAAAATAAAAATACCAGACAGAGCTGTTTCTGCTTAAACCCGTAAGGTAGGCGAGTTCTAGAGCCCGCTATGCCGTGCTGCCCATCCCCACAGCCCTACACCACGGTGCCCTTCTTCACCCTAGGGTGTTGCTCTCAACTCTCTAGGTTGGAAACCAATTTGTTCAACTAATCTCTGAGATACAATTTTATCCCAGTATAAGTTTAGGAGTGATTCCTCCAGGCGTATTTACATTTTAATAAGGGGCCCTTAAAGAAGGAAACGCTGTTCAGATATGAAGGAGTTTATCTGTACTGTGCCCAACAGGACAGGTTGTGGGGAAGATAATCTCAGTTCCAGTGCTTCCAGGTCTCTTGCAAAACTTGCTACTGAGATTGTCATCTACCTCTCCAGTGCAAAGCCCACCCCAGCTAAAGAGATAAATGAGAACTAGCTTAATGCAGAGGAGAGAACGTGCTAACTGCAGAATTGGAAAACTTAGATAGATTTGATTCCTGCTTAACCACATGCCTCTCTGGCCTCAGCTGGCTCATTTGTAAACAGTGTTCTTTAATGCCTATGACACCAGGGTTACGGAGGGCTGAAATCTATCTTCACAGCTGGTAAAAGCAAATAATAATATCACTGTCTTCAAGAACACAGTCTAAGACTTGATGTGATGCTCCTCATATTTTATCTTTTAAATATTCTTTGTTTTGGGAGCACCTATTTCCTATGGGGCAGCTCTGGTGCTGTGATGTTCATTACCTCCCATGACCTCACAATGAAACAAGTAGTGAAAACATTTTTAATCCAGCCCTGGCTGGTTTGGTTCAGCCAGTTTGGCTCAGTGGGTTCAATTCCAATCAAGGGCACATACCTCGGTTGTGGTTCATCCCCTGCCCTGGTTGGGGTGGTGAGGGAGGCAACCAGTTGATGTATCTCTCTCACATCAATGTTTCTCTCTTTCTCCCTCTCTCTCCCTCCCTCCCTCTCTATCTGAAGATAAATAGAAAAATATCCTTGGGTGAGGATTTTTTAAAAAAGTTCTTAATCCAAATGCCAATTGCAGATGAACAAACCTCAAACTAGTGAATTAAGAGAATGAAAATGTAAAAGTCCTTCCCTGTGCCGTGTCTATACTCATTACAAGGTGTGACGCAGGCAGCAAGTTAAAATTAGAAGGAGACAGATTGAACACATTACCTAACTGAACTAAATAATTAAATAAGAGGTCAGGAAAATGATAATAATTAAATCCTTACACAAAAGCACACTGTGGTACAACTGGAGGAACCCCCGAAATACGGATATTTCCAAGATGTTCACACCATGGACCCTCTATGCTAAATATGCTCCCTCTTCTCCTCCCAAAACTAAACTCAGCCTTTGAGTGTTTGCCACATTTTAATAATCCTAAGAATCACCTGAAGCACTGTTAAAACTGGTCAAAAAACAGATTTTAGGGGTACCCTGGATCCTCCAACTCCAGAATCCCAAGAAAGGGACACAGGAATCTCCAGGCAGATTGCATAAGCATGTCATAGTGAGAAAAACGGGGAACACAGGTTTTGATAAATGCACGCCTGCCAGTGTGTGAGCTCAACAATAGATAACCTTTTCTAGAGAAGAACAACAAAAACATCTTAACCTAATAATAATTATTGCTCACAGTTATGGATCTCTTACTATGTGCCAAGCATACATTTCTTATCTCTTATCCTCCCTATAATGAATTTTTGAGATCAGTATTGTTTTGTCCATATACAGGCATATTTTATTTTATTTCATTTTGCTTTATTGTGCTTCACAGATGTAGCTTTTTATTTTTAGAAATTGAAGGAGAGCCCTGGCCGGTTTGGTTCAGCGGTTAGAGCGTCGGCCTGCAGTCCAGAGAGACCTGGGTTGGGTTCCCGCTAAGGGCATGTACTTTGGTTGCAGTTTGTCCCCAGCCCTAGTTGGGTCGTGCGGGTGGCAGCCACTCAATGTGTCCCTTTCACGTCGATGTTTCTCTCTCTCTCTCTCTCTCTCTCTCTCTTCCTCCAACTCTGTCTGAACAAAAAATGTCCTTGGGTAAGGATTAAAAAAAAAATTGAAGGAGAGACCCTCTACAGTTCACTTAATTGCCGTGGTCTGGAGCTGAACCCACAGTATCTCTGAGGTATGCCTGTATATATGCGGAAGGAAGGAGAAAGGGAGGGAGAGGGAAAAGGAAGGAGAGAGAAGGGAGGGAGGGAGAAATCAGAGAAAGGATGAAAGAGAAAGAAATATGGCCTTCGGAAATCATGAAAAACAAACAACCAACCAATTCCAAGACCAGCCTTGTCACTTGTAGCTGTTATATGAACAAGGTCAGGTTCCTTAACCACTCTGAGCCTCAGTTCCCAACCTGTAAGGTGGTTATGAACAGAAAAACATCTATATAACAATTATGGCCCCAACTGCTTCTCCTTCATCATTTTTTTCAGGTAGTTTTACCTTCAAGAATTTGATCAACCATTTTAAATCCTTCATCAACATTTCCATATTCCAGTTTCCTTTTAGGGCAAGTGGTCACTGCATCGGGGCTGCCATGGCCCAGGCCCACTGTACCTCCCTGCTGTGCCACACCCACATGCACACACACATGCACACGCGCACACCACAGAGGATGTCAACGAGGTGCTTGTTCCCAAAGTGCAACATTATAGAAGATTTGCATGGAGGGCTTCAGGGTAGCTCCCCCTCATCATATTTTTTTCAGAGTTTTACCTTCAACAATTTGGTCAACCACTTTAAATGCTTCATCAACATTTCCATATTCCAGTTTCCTTTCTGGCTCAAAGAAGGACTTGTGCTGTATAGCTTCCTAGAAAGAGAACAGAAAAGTGAGGCTACCTGGGCATGACATCCAGCCCTGCGACAGTGGCCGCACGCCATGGGCCTCCTCAGGGTCTGGGCAGCCTCTCTCCTCCTGCTCTGGAATCCGTGCGCCTTCGGCAGGATTGCGTACCTGAGCTAAGAACCAGGCTTCAGAGAGACTCCCCACAGAGCAAATGCAAATGTCCTCATTTAGCCAAAAGAGAGTGTGCTCAGGAAAAACCTGGCACCTACTTGGTCCCAGAATGGAACTAATATTTCCCAGGCAGATTATTCGCTTTATTCTGCAACCCATTTTATGCAGCCAAGGCCACACAGAGCTTGGGCTCTGGACCCAGTCGGAGTGGTGTCCATTTTTTCCATTTATTAGCTGTTTGACTGTGGGACTATTACTTCACCTCTCTGAGCCTCATCTGTCAAAATGCAGGTGTCGTTGTGCACATAGGGTGTGAAGAGGATAAAATGAAAGGAGGCACGTAAAGGGTTTACATGGCATATAACCAGTGCTCAGTTCATTCAGGCTGAAGACACTCAGATGCTAAGGATTACGGCAGCCCTGCCGGCCGGCCCCATGCTCCTCCTCTGGGGAGATGAGCACAGCATTTGCACAGGGCAGAGCACCTGGGACCTCCAGGCCTGAAAGTAAGATTCCCTTACCAGCCCAGCATGGGTACCACAAATCCACTTGCACACTGGTTCTCAGTGCCTTCCCCTGGGTGCCCAGAGGAGGGTTACACAGCATCTGGGATGCAGCTGAAATAATCTAGGTTGGTTTTCTTACCTGTCCGGAGGAATTTATCTGCTGTAATCACTGTGTCAGTGGCACAACGCCACATGCCAACCCCTGCAGCTTTATCTACTGACTGCCCTGCCATGGAATCCCAACCCACTATCGCTGGGAATTCTCCTAACTCTGGTCCCTTTAGCCACACAAGTAGGTGTCTGTCAACATACCTTACAGGGACATTCTACTGTGATCCTGACGGTTCCTCCACCGCAGGGTCCAGGTTCTTCGACACAGTGTGTGTTGGCTGCTTCTATTACTGACTAGCTGTGTGACCTGGGGTAGCCATGTGTTTTAGTTTCCTCATCAGAATGGGGATAATGGCCGTTTTTGTCCCATAGCATTGTCGTGGGCATCCAGTGAGCTAATGTAGGAGGGCTGCTATGAGCTCTGTAACTACACGGTGAGCTCTGTGTGGGAATTAGCTCTTGTTGCTGATCATGATGACTGATGAAAGATTCTGGTTAAGAGCACACCTTCCTCACCATGGTCATTAACCTGACTCTTTGAGCCTAGAGTTTTCCCACTGAAACCATTAAAAACTCTGAAAAGCACAAGCTAGATTAAACCTTAGAGATTAGTGACAGAGATGCATTTGTTTATGTCCTATTTTGATTAATAACACACTTTTCTGCTGGCATCAATTCATGTGATTCTGTTATTAATCTAAGGCTCAGATATTTCAGGTCGAAAGCAGAAGTTAAGTTTTATAGATCCTATTTTTAAAAGTTTAATCTTTTTCCACTTCACTTGCTGCTTGCTTTTTGAGTAACTTTGAGTCAATTTGCTGAATATTTTCTGGCCAGAAAAGTGGTGAAAGAACTTTAATGTGTAGGGAGCTGGGCATATTTACCTGCTATAAATAATTTTTTTTTTATCCTCCCCAGAGAACATATTTCGATATTTTGTTCAGATAGTGTGGGAGGGAGAGAGAGAGAGAGAGAGAGAGAAACATCGACATGAAAGGGACACCCACACGACCCAACCAGGGCCGGGGACAAACTACAACCGAGGTACGTGCCCTTAGCGGCAACCAAACCCGGGTCTCTCCAGACCGCAGGCCGACACTCTAACCGCTGAGCCAAACCGGCCAGGGCCCTGTTATAAATGATTTTGACTAAATTCACTCTAATCTAGTTCATTGGCCTTAGAGAACTTAATCTCTGATAAAAGCAGAGGTAGCCCTGCTCCACAATGTCAGAGCTTAGTATCTGATGCTGGTTCTCTGGCAGACAATTAGCGGTCTGCTGACTGGATCTGGGAAGACAGAGTAGTACCTACGTACTTATTTGGAATTTTATTTGGTTGGAAGGTGGGGGTAAGGAAGGTAGATAGTTAGCCACTGGTATTGGGCAAAAGGTTACAAACAAAATTTTTGATGAAGCATTATGTAAATATTTTTCTAAGAAGAAGTAATTCTAACTCTGAAACAAAATGTTGGGGAAGAAATATATTGATGTAAGGAAGCAGAACAGGCAACATATGAGTGAAAAGGTCTGAGAAGGGAACACATGTTTGAATTTGAAACTGGCCAGGAAAATTTAGAGCCCCAATCAGAGAAAGACAGATATCACAAGATCTCACTTATTTGTGGAATATCATAAACAAAACAAGCTGATGAACAAAATAGACCCAGAGACATAGAAGTAGGGTTCAGACTGACAAACCTCAGAAGAGGGGGTGGGGGGAGGGAAGAGATAAACCACAGAACTTATATGCATGTATGCGTAACCATGGACATAGACAACGATGCTGGGGGTGGGGGCAGGAATGGGAACAGGAGGAAGGTGTCAATGGGGGTAAAAAGGAGAAACATCTGCAATAAAAATAAATAAATTTATATATATATATATATATATATGGAAAAAAGAAAATTTAGAAGTCCTAATCACTCTTTGATTTCAATTAAACTTCTTTGTATTTGTTTTCTTGCCATGATTTTAATTTTAAAACACAGAGGACATTGTCCAGAAACAAACTCTGAGCCCCTAGGCATGAAGCAGCATGATGGTCCGACTCTTCCTGGAGACACTCACCTTGGCCAAGTCACTTCCTCATTTTCTGCCTCAGGGCACACTAGTGCCTGGAGAACAGTCTATCCATCATGCTGTGGAGATAATACTGTATTCCCAGAGTACATGGAGTCCACATGTACTGACTCTCATCTGTTCATGCTGCTCTCCTAACTTTCATGCTGATATTACTTAGTAAATCATAAGAACCAATGACTTTATGCGAAACACTTATCGTTGCATGGAGATGAGTCTTACAACTTTTATAAATTTCAAACTCCTTTCTAAAAAAATAGGATAGAAAATGTATCATAGGATCTATTTCTCATACTCATTTAAGATATACATGAAAGGATCTAAAAATAGTGTCTCCAATATTCGCTTCCTAGAGCACCTTACTGGTCTCACTGAGCCGGGGTGAAGAGTGTCTAGGTGAGTCTGGTGAAGATGAATACAGTAAGTCCTCACTTACCATCGACAGGTTCTTAGAACTGTAGCAAAATAACATATAATAAAACCACTTTTACCAAAGGCCAATGATGATAGAAACAAGAGTTCAGTTCCTAAGGCATCTCATCAATGTCATCATGAAACAACATTGAACGAACTGATGTTATTCAAGGACCTGCTGTACAGAGTCATAGGGTATGTCTCCTCTCTGGGACATTGCTGGTTGTCCATCCAGCATTCCTCTCCCCTGTCCTTCCCCAAACAATGCTCAGATTTCTGTTTAGGTCTCCACTGCTCCCCCATACAGGCCATGCACTTCAAAGAAATCTCACCTCCCAGCACTAATCAACAGCTCTCCATTCCTCTGGTCAGCCACTACCTCCAAGTTGAATATGTGACTAAGTGACCTGATGAGGCTGGATTTCAGGACCCAGGGGACACTGGGACAATGGTGTTCTCTTTTGCTTCTGGGATATGAGCTGGAAGTTCCTGGCTGCCATCCTGTGACCACAGGGGATAAAGGCTCTACTGTGGGAGCCGGGGGAAGAGTGGGAAGATCAGGTTTCTTGCTGACACTGATACAGTTTGGGGCCAACCAAGCCCCCCGTGTTTCAGAAGCCACTGGGAGTCAAACTTTGTTTCCTGTTATTGTAGCTGAAAGCATTTTTCACTGATACTAAAATCTGTTCTGGCTCTGCCTTGAACTCGTTACCTCAATGGTCAGGATCACTGGCTCCAGATCTTGGTAGACAATCTTCACTCGCTTTGCAGCTCTCCTTGCCTGAACCTCAGACTCTGCAATCACAGCACAGATGAGCTGACCCACGCAAAATACCTACAACACAGAAAACACCTTTGTTTTCAAGAAGGGCAGGCACCAGGTGCTCTCCTCTCGTTCATTTTTCTCCTTCCTCCTAAGCACAGAGCTAGACACACAGTAAATGACCCCTTCACATGCATCTCAACCACAGTGCCATAGTCTGCAAAGGCTTTGGCAGGACGGTGCATTTGTCTGAGGGGCCTGCTGCACCTGGCACTGGGAGGTATGGGTCTTTTTGCTGCATCCTTGGCTGTGGTGGCTGAAGAGGTCGAGGGTGGTGCTGCTTCTGGTGCAGCAGACTCAGGCTCCATCCAGGCCAAGACTGCAGAGCTGCTCAGAGGCCAGCTGGCCGAGGAGAGCCAGTGCCACGGCATGACCTGTGGCTGCCATGCCATGAATAGGGCCATTCCGAGAGACAGCTTTGGCCGTCATAGACAGGGAAGACCAGAAGGTTACAGCCTATCTCACCCAGAGATGAAGGGGAGAGAGAGAGAATGCAATACTGCTGGTGAGCAAATCTCTGTCTCAAACTGTGGTGGAGCACAGCTTTTTATGAGGGAGCATGAGACTACGAGCCAAGGGGTGCCTGAGCACAGAACATTCATCATCTCACCTGCAGGTGGGTCGGCTGCCTACAGAGTTTACACGGGGACCAGGGCAGAAAGCTAATGGAAAACCAAACCAAACCAAGACTCCAGAAAAGTCAAATACTCAGAACTGGGAGGAGTCACCAGGACCATTCTGTTCTTTCTCCCACCTTATACCATGATCACAATGAAAACTTAATCACTTATTTTAAAAATCTACACCAGACTAGGTCTAATTAGACTAGAAAGGACCTGTAGACTAGGTCCTTTCTACAGGGAGCATATAGTAGTTTTATCATCAGAAAAATGGTAGTAAAAAAAAGTTAAATCCAGAACACACACACACACACACACACACACAGCACATGTTTGTTGGGTATGGGTGGGTGGGGGTAGTGGGGAGATAAATGAAACAAGAATGGGAAAATGTTGATAATGTTGAATCTCTATTTTTGTGCATGTTTAAAATTTCTGCAATAAAAATAATTTTAAAAGACACAACGTTCTACAGACAAACGTTGAAAAAGGAATTGAACTAACAAAGGCAGTCATTTACAATGGTTCTGTTCTCTGCTCTCCACAGACACCTGGCTTTGCCTCTGTGACCCAGTACACAGACATAGCCCCCAGAGGCTCATAACCAACACATCCACACCTCAGAGAGCAGGCACTATCAATGCAGACAGGAATGGTTTTGCTTGTTTAGTTAACATTTATGCAAAGACCACAATTCTCATTCTCTTCTGCCAAAGCTACACCATGATGTCTTGGGGGAGTTTCAACCTTGAATTGAAACTCTCAGTCATCAAACTTTCATCTTTATCTGCCAGCAAGAACCAGAGGCAGGGACTGCCTCAAATGATGAAGCTCTTTGGGTAGACACTGGACGGAGGAGCCTGAGTTCTGCACAAAACCTGCTGAAATGCCTTTGCTGCATTTTCTGATGACTAAAGATAACAGCGGCCAAAATTTTCATCTTTTGAAACGTTCAAATAGCAACAATGCTACTCTTGTTGCTCTGCTCATTTACCCTGCTACGTGGGAAGCAGTGTGTGGAATACATAGGTGAGTCAGACACTGGGCCTCATTCAAGGACTTTTACCAGGTAGGGGAAATATATAAGGCATAGAAATAAATAAATAAGCTTAATACAAGGTAGAAAGTTTATTAAAGGTTCACTTTGCCTTCTCCTCTAGACTTTATGCTCTGTGAGGGCAAGGACCACACAGGTCTTGTTCAGCTATAGTGAGCAGCCACAGTACGTGCTCACTTAAAAAATGCCTGCTGAGCCCGGCTGATGTGGCTCAGTGGATTGCGCAACATCCCATGGACTGAGAAGTCCCAGTTCGATTCCTAGTCAGGGCACATGCCTGGGTTTCAGGCTTGATCCGCAATAAGCGGCATGCAGGAGGCAGTCGATCGATGTTTCTCACATTGGTGTTTCTACTCTCTCTTCCTAAAAAATCAGTAAAACTATATTTAAAAAAAAATTCCTGTTGACCTGGAGCTTAAACTTGAAGGAGGAGTCAATTTGCCAAAGTGAATGAGCAAAGAAAAGCTGGACCCAACGGCCCTGCAAACCTCCTGCCCTCCAGACGATTCACTGCCTTCTGTTGACAAAACGGTTCGCAGTCCCCTGGAACCAGAGCTCAGCTCCAGCTCCCTGTCTCTGCTGGAGTGAACACTGAGAAAATCAGTGACTTCAGTGTTGCATCTCACTGCGTGTGCCACTAATGGATCTATTCTCACCCCATTGCCCAAAATGAGAATTAGAGGTCCAAGACAGAGCTGAGAGTGGTGAATAACTAAGAGCCACCCCAGGATGCAGATAATGAGAACCCGCCCACCCCCCAAAAAAGTGACTGGTGATCGATCCTGCAAAGTTCCCCACACACGAGGGCAGCAGGCATGCACAGGTGGTGAGGGGATGTTGCCTGACGTCAGACCAACCATCAATAACTATAAGGCCTGTGAACGCCCACTGCTCTGGAGTCGTCCAGGAATCTCTGTCTCTTCTCTTTTAAAAATATAACTTACTAGTAGTTATAACTACATGCATACTTACTAATATCAGTGTTTTCTCAGGAGATTCTGTGTACGGTCGATCTGTTAAAGTGACCAATACGTTTGCGTACAAAGGTGACTGATTATTATGGCTCTATTGACTTTTCAGCTACCATGAAGTTCCCACCAGTCAGTGAGACCTAACATGGAAATTATTCGTTGTAATGCTTATGTGTCTTGTAGATATTTGATCAATGCATTCCTGTCCTGTGCTTTTGTCCAACTGTGGATTCTGGGAAAGTGTATATATCTCCATTTCTTTTCATATTTGTGCATTTCTAAGGGAAGGGGTCATATTTATTGAACTTATTTTACACAGTGTTAGTTCCATGCACAAAGCATACATAAATAATCCAGTGTAAAAAATAAATAAATAAATAAAAAGCCCGTTAAATACATGGCAGCATGAATGGATGATTAAAGGTAAATTTAGAAAGGGAGAGAGAACTCCTGGATTAAAGGGTGATGAGAGGCTTCAATGGGGAGACAACACTTGAACTTGGACTTGAACTTAGGACACTGACTGGGGCAATGGCAAGAGATTCTCAGAAGAGAGATTAGCAAATAAAAACTATCACTATTCTCTCCTCATTCGTTCTTTCATACTTGTTAGTAGCACATTATATTACTACTAGAAGATGGAAAACAGGGAAGTGCCTTTTATATAACTGGTCAACTTCTTTACTTAAGTGGAAAATGAATATATTTGAAGTCATTCGCCATTAGAAGACGGTGTTTTATAATAAGCATTCAAAGACTATAGGGACCCTTTACCTTGTGCCAGAGCAATGCTATCTTTAAGAAACTCAGAAGTGACATTATGGACGAGGTTATTATTCAAACAGAAAGGAAAAAGGCAGTACCACATTGGACTCTAGAAGTTTCTCAGGTTTGGTCAAGAAGCAGAAGGAGTTGACGCCTTGAAGATGTTCCTCAGTCACGATGTCCACCACGCCCGGCAGGCTGAGAGCTTCCGACAGATCCATAGACCTGGGAGAGACACACAGAGCAGGGATCCTCAGAGCCGCCTGCAGCCCGAACACCCAGGGGACCGGGCTTGATTGGGGAATAAGATATGAGAGAGGTAAGATAAGCCAAAAACACTCCAATGGTTCTCTGCCAGACAATCGGGAAAAAATCCCTGGGACAATGAAGCTATTAGATAGAGGGACTGACTGTAGTAGATCCTACATTTCCAATCCATATCACCTCTAATCTGCATTGACTATCACCCTCCTCATACCACTGCTTGTCACTGATGTGACTGAGATGAAAAGTCATTAATGTCTACCAGGTAAGAACTTTATCACTTACACTATTTTAGCATGAGCTCTGGAACTTGTTACAAAAGCCAGGAAAAGTTCCCTGTCCACCGCAGGCATGTCGTCACAGTATATGGCTTCACCCGTGGCATGCTTAACACCGGACAGGTGCATGATGGGATGGCCAACTGGGTCTTGAAGAAGCTGTTTTGGGTCTACATTCTGTTTAATCAATAACCAATATATTATTTTTATAATCATATTATGCACATCTCCCATAAGATGGTAGCTATATAATTTACATCTAAACCAGAACACTTTTGAAAATGAAAACTATCACTGTTAATAGTAACACCAGGACAATAAACTTCTTTCAAGAATTCAATAGGGAAACTGGGATAGATGTGTAGCCATGCTGTTGCTTTATTTATTACTTATTTTTTTTTTTTTATCACTATTTATCCCGTCTATGCCCTCTTCCTCCTGCCGCCCATCACAATCACCACACTGTTGTCCACGTCCATGAGTTTTCTCTCTTTTTTTTCTTTTTTGCTTAAAGCCATCCCTCCCCCCAGAGCTGTCTGCCTGCTCTCCGTCTATGAGTATCTATTTTTCTTGGTAGTTCAGTTTGTTCATTAAATTCTACATGTGAGTGAAATCATATGGTACTTGTCTTTCTTTGGCTGATATAGTTTACTTAGCATAATGTTTTCCAGATCCATCCATACTGTTGCAAAGGGTAAATTTTTCTTCCTTTTTATGGCAGAGTAGTATTCCATTATGTAAATATACCACAGTTTTTTTTATCTACTCATTTATTAATGGGCATATGGGCTGCTTCCAAATCTTGGCTATTGTAAATAATGCTTCAATGAACATAGGCATGCATATATTCTTTCAAATGAGTGTTGCCAGTTTCTTCAGATAAATTTCCAGAAGTGGAATCACTGGGAAATAAAGCCATGATGTTGTTCTTGCCCCCCCCCCTCACTTTTTTGAATATAGACCACAAACATCTCTAATATGAATTCCATTTGTATAAGTAAATGAATATATCTTGCTTCCTGGTAACGTAAACTTGTGTCTTTTTGCTAATGCTCATGTATTTCTTTAAATTTTACTATCAAGTCCTGGCCGGTTTGGCTCAGCGGTTAGAGCGTCGGACTGCAGTCCAGAGAGACCCGGGTTTGGTTTCCGCTAAGGGCACGTACCTCGGTTGCAGTTTGTCCCCGCCCCTGGTTGGTTGTGCGGGTGGCAGCCACTCAATGTGTCCCTTTCACGTCGATGTTTCTCTCTCTCTCTATCTTCCTCTCTCTCCCTCCCACTCTATCTGAACAAAAAATGGAAAAATGTCTTAGGTGAGGATAAAAAATAATAATAATAAAATAAATTTTACTATCAAATTATTTTACTGTTTGTATCGAAACATATTTTGCTGAGGAACACAATGATGGCATGACTCTGTTTGTAGAAACCATGGAGGGCATGTCTTCCACTAGAGGAGCCCTCTTTTTCTATTTTGAGTGAAGAAGCTTGCCAAAAGATTGAAGAAAAATCCCAAAGTATATCTTTGTCCTCTTCTATAATCAAATACGAATGTGCTTATTTTAGCTGAAGACATAACACTTTACTTGCTTCTGCTGGTTCTGCGGCTAAACATACCTCAGAGGAAAGAATGCTGTCCCTCAAACTGCTGATCTCCTGAAGCTGGGTCAAAATCTTCCAAAGCAAATGAACTGACTTGAGGAGAAAATGCTTGTCCTGAGCACTGCAATTGCTCTAGCAATGTGGACGTGTGTGTGTGAAAAACCACAGGGAAAATAGGAACGAAACTCATCTGTGTGGGAGATACCTGGCTTCCAACCCTTATCTTACAATCCATCATAGCAAATTCTCTTTTAAGGTTATCAACTTCGTGAAGATGGTCACTTTTCTTTGAATGACTGAAATGCTCATTAATTTGTTGTAGTTCCTTTCTAAAGTTTACTCCACTGCAAGGTGAGGTGTTTATAAGCCAAAGGTTGTAGCTGCCATATTTTGCAGGATACCATGGAAGGTGACAGCTGTTTTTAACAGTCAAAATAATCACTTTCAATGAAGTTTGGTGTATTTGCATTTTGAACATATTAAATCTAAAGCCTGAAGGATACACATCAACTTCAATGTTCATTACAACATACGGTCGGCTTTTATAACTAAATCCAACAACATATTCAATGTTCTTGACTTCATAAAACCCTCAAGGTAAAGCTTCTTAATAATAATTTCAAGGAAAAACACATGAACTCTTATCCAATTTACCAACAGGATGACTTTAGGTGATATTTTTATGATGTTTTGGCAGAAAATTCCATTTGGAAGTTATGAAGAATTTTGTTCTCTCTGATAGTCAACTTTCATTAGGGAAGCTAGACATAGCTTTGAGGACTTATGTTTGATGGAACTCTAACAGTAACTCACAGAATGGGGGCAGAGTATATTCATAGTCAAATAAAATAAATTAGCATATCTGTTAAAAAGTATTACTTCATTTCATCAACTTTCAGGGCCTGTGTTTTCTGCTCCTCTGAAAATAAATTCAAAGCAGCCCATGGCCCTGACACGGAACGTGACTTCGGCTGTGCTCTGACTTCCACGCTGCCAAGGGCAGAGCGGTGGCAAGCTGGCCAGTTTGTTCCCATCGATGGTACAAGGCCACAGAACAAAACACACAGCCTTCAAGATTAAAACAGACATTTTTAAAAAAGTACCATTGGTAGCTTTGTTTTCAGTCACAATTGTTCATTAATTCTGAAATTTTAATAAACACGAAAGAAAGCTGTGAGTTCACCAGAAGGGGAGCTCGGGCGTCTGAAGCTGGAGAGTTACTGAGGGGTCAGGGGGAAGGTCTGAGTGAAGGAGTTACAGCCCAGGCCCTTTGAATAATAATTCATATTAATAAGCCACTAACCTGGTACTTCAGTGTGCTCCTGTGATGCCTAGAATGAAGGTCTTCTAAAGCGCTCTCATACTTGTCTGCAAGGCTAGGATAGTGAACAGGGTCCTAAAAAGTAGAACCATTGTAGATACTTAAAATGTGCCCGAGTGGTCCTGGAAGGGAGGCTAGAGTGGTTCTTAGCCAGCAGCTCTAATCAGAAGTCTAACATTTTGTGAGGACTCGCCCTGTCCAGAACCCTGGAAGTATAGCAGCCCCCAAGGACACATGCCTTGGGAGGTCCACACATTATGAGGAGCCAAGTGTATCTAGTAGATCACGACCTTCCAATATCTCTGTTTCTTAGGATTCTCTAACCAGTAAGTCCTAATTGACCTGAGGACTCAGAAACCAACAAAACAGGAAGATAGAAGCTAAGTAAACAAAATGGAAAGGAGTAGAATGTTTAAGCCAGGAAAAAGCCAGAACCAAAGCAAATGAGCATAAAAATCTGCTCTGACCACCTGCCAAGGAAAGAGAAAGGAAAACACAGAGGCTACATCCCAGCAGCAGCCCTGCCCCAGGAAACATTCCGGGGCCCAGAGGGAACACTTCTCAGAATCAAGGAAAATGGATCATTGGGTTTTTATCTAAGGCTTTAAACAATCAGTGGATTGAGCGTCCCATGGACTGAGAGGTCCCTGGTTTGATTCCCGGTCAGGGCACAAGCCCAGGTTGCGGGCTCGATCCCCAGTGGGAGATGTGCAAGAGGCAGCTGACTGATGTTTCTCTCTCACATGGATGTTTCTGTCTGTCTCTCCCTTCCTCTCTCTCTCTCTAAAAAATCAATAAAAAATATTTTTAAAAATTAAAAAATAAACAATACACCTAATGAATATTTTTATATTAACATTTTTAATAAATAATTAAAGCCAATAAAGTTGATTATTTTTAATAGCAGAGGAATACTAAATAGAGTCAATTGAACTGAAAGTATGAGACTACAAGGCTTTGAATTATATCACTTGATTTGCCCAAAAATTTGTATTAGTTTGCGATTAATCAGAGGAGTCTACAATTGATGTTATTTTTTCTCTTGTGATTACCTGGTGATAATATGTCACTTATATATAATTTCAAGCTTTTATTCTCAAACATGTGATACAACTGTTCTGGTTCTTAGTTGTTCCTATATATAATGGAAAGATAATTACTCCCAAAAGCAATGATAAGAGAGAACTTTATGCCTCTTATTTAAAGTGATCATACTGCCCTGGCTGGTTTGGCTCAGTGATTAGAGCATCAGCCTGTGGACCAAAAGGTCACAGGTTTGATTCCTGGTCAAGGGCACGTACCTGGGTTTCAGGTTTGATTCCCCAGCTCCGGCTGCGGTTGTGCAGGAGGCAGCCAATCTATGTGTCTCTCACATCGATGTTTCTCTCGCTCCCCTTCCCTCCCTCCCACTCTCTGTAAAAAATATAAATAAATGGAAAAATATCCTCAGGTGAGGATTAACAAAAAATAAGATAAAATAAAAAAGTGATCATACTAATTTCTATATCACATTAAAAAAGTGCTTGGCTTCTAATCAGTTTGTTGGTTCAAGTTCTCTTTGGATCCAGCAATTTTATTCAGAAAAATTCTTTAGTTGTGTCCTCCCGAGCCAACAGTCTTATAACTAGTAGTTTGTCAAAAGTGAGACCAGGCAAAAGAATGCCTGATTACTACTATTATTGAGACTGGTACCAGGCAGTCTTCATCAGGTTTCTCTGAAGCCCTGGGGACTGTGGTAAGCCCTTGTCCCATGACGGCCTATTTCACAATAACCTCCTGGAGCAGCTGCCCTCATCATCTCACAGGCGAGAGAAATGAAGCTGAACCAGAGAAGAAGGCCAAACGCACGAACATAACCCTAAACAAGTGGAAGAAGTCCTGCCTAAACCATGAACAAGTTTTCTGCACGTTGCCCAGACAATCAAAGCATCAGAAACCAAATAGCTGAGTGGTGTTAGACAAAATCCTGTACAACTCCATCTCCACTTGCACTTCTTCTCCAAGCTGACAAGCCACCACAGACAGCCTGAAGGGGTCCAGCAAACCCATCTGTTTCTAATTTGGGTTGTCTTTTCTGTTTGGGTTGTTGCCTCCACTTTGGGTATCTCCATTGCTCCTAATACTGGGAAAGCTAATACGTGGTCAGTTCCATTTACCATCCTCTTTAAAATCTGTGACACTTCCAGGTAGAACTTGAAGAGGAAGCTGATGATGAGAGTCCTCTTGAACTCCACCTTCCCACCCGGAGCTGAGCCTGGGAGGGAGACTTCGTCCAGAAGCAGCCTGCAAGCCGCGTCCAGCATCTCTTCATTCCAGGGCCTGTGAGAGTTTAAAAAGAAGATTCCTTGCCTGACTCACTACCTCACAGGCTCAGCTAGTGTGCAAGACAAATAGCTACAACTTAATGCAGGAATTATGAGTACAAGCTTCACAGTCGGGCAACCCACGTTCAAACCACAGTTCACACTCTCAAGGTGTTTGGCCCAGGCCTTCCTCTTCCTCATCTGTAAAAGGGAAGCAGCAGTATAGCTCACCTCGTGGAATGGTCATGAGAAAGAAATGACATCCTGTGTCAAGTCCTTAGTCCAGGACTTGAATGTTTACTGCAAGACGGGTTTTTGTTTTAAGCACCTTATATGTATTTATTCATTTAATCCTCTCAACTGTCCAATGTGGTGGGATGATTGTCCCCCTTTGACCTAAGGAAATTGAGCTATGGTAATATTAAATAAGCTGACTGGGATCACATAATTAATAAGGTTGAACTGAGATTTAAACCCAGGCATTTTGGCTCAATCAAGCTTATATTTTTAGCTATTAGTCTCTATTACATAGGAAATGGTAACTGATACCTAGTAAGTATTCAAGAAATATTGAATATTAATATTACCCAAAGATATAAAAAGTCAGGTAAGCAATATATTTAGCAATTTATGATAAAACAAACTCCCCATTATCTGTTTTTCATTATCTGTTTAATGGTAAATTATTTTCTCAATAAAGAATGCAAATGTACTCATTTGGCTTACTGTATCTATGTGCTATTGGGATATAGGCTCTCTCTCTCTTACACACACACACACACACACACACACACACACACACACATAAACTATATGACCCATTTCATAATTCACTAAAATTAAGACATATAGAAATAATTATAAAATCTTATTGGAATTTCATGCTGTTAAATAAAAAGGTAATAAGCATTTTTCTTCTTCTAACTGTCTTTTGTCAAAAAAAAAAAAAAAAAGGAGCTGCTGTTACTTGGAGTCTACAGCCACAATACCATACCTTCCGATGAGTTTCTGGCAGGAATTCTTTGCACAGACAGTGGTTGGACCAACACCTCCATACGAGATGGATAAGTCTCTAATGATGCCATCCCCTTCTCCAAAAAAGACTCTCATTCCTGAATTAACTATGGCGAGCGCATTCTGTTGCCGCTGGGCTTGTCGGAAGGCTGACACGAATTCCCACTGGAAGCAAAAATTACGTGGCACATATAGAAACACATCGAGTTTCTAGAGGCAGCTTATGCATGTGGCCTCAATATCCTTTTCACACTGTGCTATGGGCTGCATTGTGTCCTCCCAAAGTTAATGTGTTCAAGTCCTAACTCTCAGGACCTCAGAATGTGACTGCATTTGGAGATAAGATCTTTAAAGAGGCAATCCAGTTCAAATGAGGTAATTAGGGTGAACACTAACCCAACATGGTGGTGTCTTCATAAGAAAATTTGGACATAAACGAAGGAAAGGCCATGTGAAGACACAGGGAGAAGATGGTCATCTACAAGCCAAGGGGAGAGCCCTCAGAGGAAACCAACCCTGCAGACACTTTGAGATCAGATTTCCAGCCTCCGGAACTGTGAGAAAATAAATGTCTATTGTTTAAGCCGCCCAGTCTGTGGTGCTCTGTTTTGGCAGCCTGAGTGGACTATAGCACCCTCAAAGGCAGGCTTGATTACTCCCTTTATATAGATGAGGAATCTAACTAAGGCCCGGAGTGAGTCAGTAATTTGTTCAGGGTCACAGTAGATCTTGAAACCAGGATTCAACTTGAGTCTAACTCCAAAGACCTTTATCTCATGATGTTCTCTTGCAAATGTATTTTTTTAGCCTCTTTCAAACCCCAAGATTTAGGTAGAGATATATTTTCAAGTTTTACTTAAGGAAAAGCTTCATGGCACAAAGATTTTTTTAAATTAGTAAAAAAATGACTTTAGAATTGGGGTGGGGGAAGAGTTAGGGATAGAGGCAGAGGCAAAGGTCTCCTGATTCCAGGAATAATAGAAGATTGCATAACACATATAAAAAGTAACTACAGCTTGGCCAGTGTGGCTCAGTGGTTGAGCATCAACCCATGCTCCAAGAGGTCACCAATTCGATTCCCAGTCAGGGCATATGCCCAGGTTGTGGGCCAGATCCTCAGTGGGGGGCATGCAGGAGGCGGCCAATTGATGTTCTCTCTCATCAATGTTCCTATCTCTCTCTCATTCTCCCTTCCTCTCTCTCTCAAATCAATAAAGAAAAAAATGTTATTTAAAAAAAAGGAACTACAGCAGTCACCAGAGACTTGAGCAACCTCAGCATATGATTTTACTTTTTTTTTCTTAAGTCAAGAACTACCTTTTCACTTGAGAGAACACTCACGGCTTCTCTCGGGCACATCCCAATGCCAGCATCACTACTCTTGTGCTTTGAGGCCATTATTAAGTAACATAAGGGTGACTTGAATGCAAGCACAGGGAGATCACAGCAGTCCATCTGCTGACCTAGACGGCCACTATGTGACTAACAGGAGGCGAGCGTGGACAGCGTGGAGGCACTGGATAAAGAAATGATTCATGTCCTGGGCAGGACAGAGTGAGATGGCTCAAGATTTCATCATCCTACTCAGAACAACATGCAATTTACAACTTGTGATTGTTTATTTCTGGAATTTTCCATTTAATATTTTTGGACCACAGTTGACCACGGGTAACTAAAACTGCAGAAGTGAAACTGCAGATAAGGGGGGTGAGTGTATTCACGAGTCCTCAGAATCTCTCCTGTAAACACAGCACACTTTTCCTTAACCCACTGTATGTTGGAATTAACAAGCTGCAGGCTCACAGGTAAAACCAAGGAATTGAAAGGACATTCTCACCTTCCTCGAGAAGGGGATGTTGACCGAGATCAAGATCTCTTCAGGCCTAAGGTCTGCACTGGGGCACTTTCCAAGAAACTGCTCATCTAAAGAAATCTGCCGTTTTCCTTCTGTGAAAAGAAATGACACTTTCCCTGGAATCTGTACTATTAAAACATCAAACTCCCAAAACTTGGGCAATAATTCTACCAAACATTGGAGGAAACTGATTCTTTGGGAAAAGAAGTGACCTTCCCATGCTTAACAAATCTTTCTCCCTATAATGGCATCTTGCAATGTTTCTTCCCATCTAGGCTCTACCTTTTCTTTCTCTTTCCTTTCTTTCTTTCTTTTCATTTTTTTCTTTTCTGTTTTCTTTCTTGGCTTGTAAATAAAAATATCTAGCAGAGCAGCCCAGAGATCAGGAAGGACAGGACCGTGGCAGCCCTGTTCTTGAACAGCATAATTCATTTTGAACTTTGTAAACAGGAAGTAGAAAGTACGTGGTACCCCTTTTAATATTCCAATCAAGTCATTTGACAAACATTTATTGCTTATCTTGGGACCCCCACTGGGTACAGCAGTAAATAAGTAAATTGTCTTAAAATATTTTTCTTTATTGATTTTTTATTTTTAGAGAGAGAGAAAGGGAGAGGGAGAGGGAGAGGGAGATAGAAACATTGATGAGAGAGAACATTGATTGGCTGCCTGCTGCATGTCCCCAATGGGGGATCAGGCCCACAACCTGGGCATGTGCCCTGACCAGGAATCGAACCAATGACCTCTTGGGGCATGGGTTGATGCTCAACCACTGAGCCACACTGGCCAGACTAAATAAATTGCCTTTGATGAATTTTTATACTAGTAAGGTCATATAATTTTGTTTATATCTTTCTCCAGCACCTAAAGAAATTGTGTTTTTTAATCAATATATTTGTTCTTTAATCAATATATATGTAAACATATATATATGTTTACAGCTACAATGAAATGTGACTTTGGGCTGAAAGTTAAGAAGCTTTTGATTTTTATATTCACACCACAAGCTTCTTTCTCATATAATTTTTAAAAGGAATGTTACATAAACTAATAATTCTAAATGCAAATTTTCCTCCTTGGGACAATTTTGTGGTTTCAGTGATATGAAAAGCAGGTATTTAACAATGCAGATAATAGAAAGCTAGTCCATATATTTTTTTAATTTCCTTTTTTTCTTTTTAAATTTATCTTTATTGTTGAATGTATTACAGATGTCCCTCCTTCTTTCCCCATTAACTCTCTCCTCCCCACTCCCACCCACCTCCTGTCTTCCCCACACTATTGTCTGTGTCCACTGGTTATGCACATGTGTGTAGAATTTCTTTGGTTTATCTCTTCCCCTCAACTCCTTCCCTTTGAGGTTTGTCAGTCTAACAACCAATTTGTACTTCTTAATCTCTTCAACTTTTTCACCCATCCCCCCAACCACTCTTCCATCTGGCAACCAACAAAAAGTTCTCTGTAATTATGAGTCTGTGTCTGCACTGTGTTTTCATTTTGTTTGTAGATTCAATTGTTGATAGATATGCATTTATTGCCGTTTTATTGTTCATATATTTGATCTTCTTCTCTAAGAAGGCCCTTCAACGTTTTATATAATACTGGTTTGGTAGTGATGAACTCCTTTAGCTTTTTCTTGTCTGGGAAACTCTTTATATGGTCATCGATTCTAACTGATAGCTTTGCAGGATAGAGTTATCTTGGTTGTAGGTCGTTGCTTTTCATCACTTTAAATATTTCTTGCCATTCCCTTCGGGCCTGCCAAGTTTCTTTTGAAAAATCATCTGACTGTCTTATGGGAGCTCCTTTGTAGGTAACTAACTGCTTTTCTCTTGCTGCTTTTAAGATTCTCTCTTTGCCTTTAAACTTTGGCATTTTGATGATGATGTGTCTTGGCGTGGGCCTCTGGTTTCATCTTGTTTGGGACTCTCTGTGCTTCCTGGACTTGTATGTCTGTTCCTTTCACAAAGTTAGGAGACTTTTCTGTCATTACTTTTTCAAGTAGGTTTTCAGTTTCTTGCTCTCTTCTCCTGGCATCCCCATGATGTGAATGTTGGCAAGCTTGAAGTTGTTCCAGAGGCTCTTTACACTATCCTCATGTTTTTGGATTCTTTTTGCTGTTCTGATTGGGTGTGTTTTGCTTCCTTATATTCCAAATCAATGGTTTGCTTCTTGGCTTCACCTACTCTACTATTGATTTCCTGTAAATTATTTTTTATTTCAGTTAGTGCATCCTTCATTTCTGACTGGTTCTTTTTTATGCTCTTGAGGCCCTCACTAAGTTCCTTGATGTTCTCACTAAGTTCATTGAGCATCCTTATAAACAGTGTTTTGAACTCTGCAACTGTTACATTGCTAATTTCCATTTCATTTAGTTCTTTTCCTGGAGTTTTGTTCTGTTCTTCATTTGGGACATGTTTCTTTGTCTCCTTATTTGGGCTGCTTTCCTGTGTTTGTTTCTTTGTATTAGGTAGAGTTGCTATGCCTCCTAGACTTACTAGGGTGACCTATTGTAGTAGGTGTCCTGTAGGATCCAGTGGCACAGCCTCCCTGTTCACCCCAGCTGGGCCCACTAGGTATATCCCTCGTGTGGACTGTACCATCTTCTGTTATCATTGAGTCTTGATTACTATTGGCACATCAATGGGAGGAATTTACTCAGGCTGATCAGCAGCAAGGACTGGCTGTGCCCACTGACCACCAACCTCTGACTCTCTTGGAGGATCAGCTGTGTAGGGGCCCACCACACAGAACAAGTCTTACTTTAGCAGGGCTCTGGTACCCACTGAGTCCACTCCTTGAGTGTGTCACTGGTGGAGGTGGTTGGGTGGTAGTGGTTTGACATGGTCTGAAGCTGGCCACTGGGTGTGCTGGCTCTGGGAGCAGGCCAGCCACTGCCTGTGTTCTACCCATGGCCACCAGGCATAAGTTACAAAGCAATCTCAGATAGCTGCTCCTTGTGCTGGGCTTGCAGGTGCCCGGCAAAGCTAAGGTATGAACCAAGGCTGGCTGCTTCTGTTGCCAGGTCTGGGGACACTTAGCAAGAGGTATGAGATTCACTGAAGCCAGATGCTGCTTGTTTGAGAAAACTTAGGAAAATCTGAAGCAGGAGTCAAGACAGGCCAGTCCTATGGTAAAGCCACTGGAAACAGCTTGGGTGGGCCTGAAAGGTGGGTGGGGCAAGGCCTCAGGGAATCACCAGGGCGGGGATACCAGTGTGAGCCAGGTTGCTGGAGTCCCAGATATGGAGGCTGTCTGCTGCCCCAGGGAAGGGCTCACCAAAGGAACAGCAGCCTCCACCAGCACATCTGTCTGGGAGAAAGCTGCCCCTCCAGCTCTCGTCCTGATTCCAAACAACTCAGTTCTTCCCTATATGTTTCTGGTGCCTTTCAAGGTGCTTTCACCACACTGGAGCCTGGAGAGAGCAAGACCCAGTAAGTCTGTGCGCGGGCCCTTTAAGAGGAACTACCTGGGGCTCTAGCAGCCTCAGCCTCCCTCAACCTCAGTTCCTGCTGGTTATTATAGCCAGAAATTTTGGGGACTTCTCTTCCTGGCTCTGGAACCCTGAGCTGGAGGTCCTGGTGTGGGACAGGGACCCCTTGCTCTTCAGGGAGGACCTTCAGAGCCTAGGTATCCTCCTGATTTTTGTCCGCCACACCTGGGTGTGGGACCAGTTGTCCATGCCTCCGCCCCTCCTACCAGTCTCGATGTGGCTTCTTTTTTAATTTTGTAGTTGTAGGACTTCCATTCAGCTCAATGTCAGGTGGTTCTGAATGATGCTTGTTCTGTAGTTTAGTTGTAATTTTGATATGGTTGTGAGAGGAGGTGAGTACTGTGTTTACCTACGCCACCATCTTGACCAGAAGTGGCCTAGTCCATATTTTTTAATTAAAAAAACAAAAAGATTTATAGAGGACCAATTGGAATTTCCTACAATTGTTGACTAAGTTGGAATAAGAAAAATAAATGGAAAGTCCTGAACTTAGTTTCAAAAACAAAACTCAAAAAAATAAATATAGAGTTAAGCCTAAACCATTTGAGGCTTCCATCCATGACAAAGTAAGTAGGAGCCCACAGCCCGGCGTGGGGCCACCACGCTCCCGCACCACCTGGGGAAAGTCTCCAGCAAGGGCCCAAGTGGCTCAGCAGCCTGCAGCTCTCTCCACTGCTCGCACCACACCCGGACACAAGTGTGATCAGTGCCGGATGACCAGGATGGGGAAATATCCAGCACTTGTCCTCAAAAAGAGAGATGAGGACATAGAAAGTGTGCAGTATTAGGACCAAACTGACCAACTTCCCAGGTTCCAGAAAGGCAGAGAGAATAGAAATGGTATAAAGAAACTGGACTTTCAAAACTGTACTTTCTGCATCCCTGAGAGACAAAGACAGAGCAGATTTAACAGCCCTGGAGAAGGAGCCGCCACTTACCTTTTGACAGCAAGTTGAGGGTACAGTTTCCTACAGCCAGGAGCGGATTTAGGTCTGAGTCCAGGTGCCTGCTCACGATGTGACCCCCTAAAGACTGTTAAAATAAGGAGTTATTCTCACTCCAGTTGTGTGATTATAAAGACACAGGTGATAAAATAAGAACTAAGCAAGACTTTGGAGAATTATTCTTTTTGCCTGTTCCAAAAGAATGAAAGTTCTGTGATTTGTCAGGGAGGGTCAGTCATTCAAGGGACACACACCAATTTGCTGTCATCAAATACATACAGCCATGTTCCTGATTTGGGATCCAGCCAGGGTTCCCAAATGCTTCAAGAGAGCGCGGCATGTTTGCGTCCTCTCCTCTGGGAGCTTCAGGATCGCATCAGTCAGGACGTCCTTCACCTGAGCCAGGCTGAGGCCGGCACCTAAGATTAGCCCTGAAAGGAAATCATTTGTAAATAATAGGATGTGATCTCTGCTGACCTGGAAATGTCCATTCGATTTCAGACTATAAGGTCTTTGTCCCGGATACATGCTGCCCTGCTCGTGGGTGGTGACGGTGGTGGCGAGGAAAGTGGAGATGGCGGCTCAGTGTTTTGAACACTCACTGTGTCAAGCACTGTATTAAATGCTCCACAGAATCTCCTTGAATCTTAACAAGGCTTTGAGATATTATTTGCCCTGCTTCACAGATCAAGAAACTGAGACTCAGTTAAGTAACTTGACTAAGTTTTTACAGCTAATATATGACTTAGTCAAGAATTAGACTCCAGAGCCAGACTCCAAACTATCATCGATATTACTTCTCATCATTGCCATTAAATCAATTTCCTTTATCAGAATGAAAACAACAAACAAACAGTCTGTAAGCTGCTTCATACACAACTTGCTTTGTCGACTACTGTGCTTCTGGAGAGCCAGGCCTGTGTTCTACTCATCTTTGTCTTCTGTCCAGCACTTGGCAGGGCCCTTGGTTGAATAGCTGTTACATTTCTCCGATATGGCTCACACAGAAGGTTCTTCAGTAAAAATCGGACTCTTCAGACTATTCGTATCTCATGTAATTATAGATAATTTGTCCCTGATCCTTCCCCAGAATGATATCATTCTTATAGAAGCATATCTCTGTATACTATAATTAGGAATAATTCTTTTTCTAGTTATCTGCTGGACAAAGAAAATAAATTGATTAATGCATTTTAACTAAGAAAACAGGCACCTTGAGAACTCACCATTATGTGCATAGTTTACAACATTCAGTTCTTCAATTCTATCAGGAGAAATTATAACTGGGTGAAAAACGCCTTTAAATTTCACTTTAGGCCCTAAAGGATTAGAGAAAAAAGAAGAAGATGACTGGGATAAGGAGAGCAGACTGCCTTGTTAATTTTGAAATTGTGATTAAAACTGATGTCTTTAAATATACAAAAAATACATATCTTTCTACTGGTTTGTTCATTGCCAAGTCACAGAGAGAATAGCCAGATAGATTTTTACCACAGTGGGGGACCCTTTGGACTGTCAGCCTTCAAACCAGGCTGATGAATCCAAGACATTGAGCGGCTCCAGCACAGACATGGTCCTCAGCAAAGAATAACGCCCTTTGGGAGGACTGCAGGAGCGTCCTCACAGAAGCATGCTGTCAAACCAAGTTTGCAATGGAGACAGCTGAGAGACCCTGTAACTGCTGGGTCCACCTACTGAGACACCACTGGGAGAGGAAGCAAAGCCATTTCAGGTCCGAGCCTCGTCACCTCTGCAGGGAAAGAGGACTGTGCCCACGGGAGCTGCTCCGGATTTGTTCCGAAGCAGGCCCCCCGCATGCAACTCTGGGCGGGCCTCCCACTTGGGACGCCAGGAATCCACTTGCGTAAGGAAGTTGTGAAAGTCTTTTGAGCAATGCTGAGGAAGCCGTCTGAATCTGGCTGACTTTCCTGAGACATATAGGAGGTTCTTTCCCCCAAAGCACTTTTCCTAGGTTTCCTCATAAGAAGTCCCTGGGATTCTGCATACCGGTAGAGGTGTTCCCCATGATGACAGGGGCCTGAGGGTACTTGACTTTAGCTTCTAGAAGTTCCTTCAGGGTCACTGGGGAAATCCATGTCATCCTATCACCACCAAAAATCCGGGTTCTTGGTGGTTGTTTCTCAGCCATTATCTATTGAAAAAACAATAGGGATTTGAGATTATTTTATGACAATATTTCCACCTGCTTTTGCTCTATCTTTGAGGGAACAGAGAAAGGAAATAGACATTAAAAAAATAAAATTCCATTAAAATGACCTAAAACTACAGCTTCACTAGAAATTAGAATAAAAATGTGACAATATTTTACTCCTTCTGGAGACTGTTCCAATGTCTCCCTTTGGTGCTTTTATATCTCAAAGAATTTCATTTCAATGTTTAAAATATTTTAATTTTGCCAAAACATCCTATGGAAGAATAAATTCAGTTTTCTATAAATGTTCTGATGTCATCATAACATTTTTTATAGACAGTAACTGCTGCTTCTTCCATCCAAGTGTCTCCTCGAGGTGGCTCCACCCTCACTCCCCCATCTCTGCATTGGTCCCATACTCTTTAGACCTTGAGGACGGCAGATGGATATTACCTGTTTGCCACTCAGCCTTTGAGAGGATCCATAAGCAAATAGCCTTCCTACCATCTCACCATGAGTTTCTTTGGGACAAGCTCAACTTTGCCTTTTTCTTTTTTATCCTCACCCGAGGATATTTTTTCCATTTTTTGTACAGATAGAGTGGGAGGGAGAGAGAGGAATGGAGAGAGAGTGAGAAACATCGACATGAAGGGACACATCGAGTGGCTGCCACCCACACGACCAACCAGAGCCGGGGACAAACTGCAACCGAGGTATGTGCCCTTAGCGGGAACCGAACCCGGGTCTCTCCGGACCGCAGGCCGATGCTCTAACCGCTGAGCCAAACTGGCCAGGGCTCAACTTTGCCTTAACTTACCATTAACTCGGGAGGAAAAATCAATTCCTGAGTTGGATCCAATGGCAGAAACTCCTCTTCTGAGAAAAGTTTTAGACTTGCCTTAAAAAGAGAAAGTACCAAAAGTTATTGTCATCAGGTGACTAACTATAGTGCTTTAAATCCTCTGTGGATGAGCTCAGCAGAAGAGAGACATACAGCACCCAGACAGAAAAGCAGCTGGCCAGCCATGATCCCTGGGCTCTAGGTCAAGGGCCCCAGCACAGACATGGTCCTCAGCAATCAGTGCAGATGTCAGTGCGCCTCCAAAGCTCTGCTCTCGCTGAACATTCCCTTGGAGTCTGGGGAAAGCAGGGGACACAGGCGCTGCCCCAGAGCCAGCTGGAACAAGAACGTTGTCCTGAATGTTCTTCCACCCCCCTAACATCCTGCTTTTCTTCTGGCTATTGAAAAAAGACTTGAAGGAGGCTTTTTTTTTTTTTTTTTTTTATCCTCACTCGAGGACATTTTTCCATTTTTTTGCTCAGATAGAAGGGAGAGAAAGGAAGAGAGAGCGAGAGAAACATCGATGGGAAAGGGACACATTGAATGGCTGCCACCCGCATGACCCAACCAGGGCCAGGGACAAACTGCAACCGAGGTACATGCCCTTAGCGGGAACCGAACCCGGGTCTCTCTAGACCACAGGCCAACGCTCCAACTGCTGAGCCAAACTGGCCAGGGCTTGAAGGAGGCTTTTTTAAAAAAATTAAGAAACACTAAGATATCAATGTATCTTCTCTCCTATAGATTGCTGCACTTTGAATGAGAGTAATATCTGGAATGAGGAATGAAGTTGTTGGCGTCACACACATATTTTTGTGTGTGTGTGTGACACAGATAAACAATAGGAAAGGGGACATGTGGACACCCCTCAAATTAATGTAACTCGGGCAGCTATTTATCCTTCCTAAAAGTCAGTTGGTCTCTGATCATGTCCTGAGAAATCCTTATAAAAAATGTACATCTCACTGACCTTATTTTCTTCCTCAAATTCTGGTAATCCATTTAGGCCTTGATTCAAACAGCAAAACCCATTTTCTTTACTTTGACAGCAGCCAGAAGTCTAGTGGGCAGAAAAACAAATAACTAATAATTTGTTGCTGATTCTACTAAGAATTTTTTTCAGCTTCACTGAGGTACAATTGATAAATAAAATTGTATACATTTTAAGTATATGATGTGATGACTTTACATTTGTATATTTTGTTAAATGATTACCACAATCAGGTTACTTAACACATTTATTACCTCACATAATTATCATTATGTGTGTGTGCGTGTGTGTGTGTGTGTGTGTGCATGTGGTGAGAACACCTAAAGTCTATTCTCTTAGCAAATTTCAAGTACACAACACAGTATTATTAACTATTGTCACCATAATTTAAAGATCTTATAACAAAGTCTGGAACAGTAATAAATATTAACAATGGTGTATTTGTAATATTAATATTAAATATTTTATTAATAACAAATGTTAGCAAGTATTATTATCATTCTGTCTTATTTATGATGCTGATTTTGTAGTTTAACTTCCAGAGGGCAGTCTTATGTCCCTCATTTCAAGGTCATTTGTTCATTTACTCATGAAACACATATTGATCGAATGGTTACTCACTCGGTGAATGGTGACCATCCCTGGAGATTCATGGCCTAAACTGTCAAGAAGACCAACGTCTGACAAACAGACAGAAGAGCAAATGGGCAATTCCCCCCTACTTTGACCACCACTGCATTAGAGGCATGAACAGAGAGCTGCAGGAGGACCAGGCTGGGTATCTGACTCAGACACACAGGTCAGGAACAATGACCCACAGCCAATATCCAAGTGCTTCGGTGCTCCTTACATGACAAACTTACCAGGGCAAACTCAGTGAACGAGGGTAAGCACCCTGCCCAAGATCAGATTACATCAATAACAGACTTTGAGATAAAAAAAAAAAAAATAGCCCTGAATCAGTACAAATGGCTATTCCCCTAATCACACCCAACAACCCCTACTGTTTTGTTTCATTGTGGAAAAAATATACTCAGAAATATGTTCCTTTCTACTCACATTACAGAAAGTCTTGCACGCTTCGATAATGGGCCTGTATCCAGTGCAACGGCACAGGTTCCCTAAAAGACAAACCAGCTTGTTAGTCGAGGGCCTAAAGAGAGGCACAGACTGCCAAATGCAGGATGGAAATAAGAACCTCCTCCTAGAAGGAAGCCCTATTTGACATTTCAGTCCACCTAACATCCAGAGTCAGATTTTTCTCATCAGCAACTTGAGATATTTGGTTGATATACAAAGTTATTGCAAAGAGTAAATGAGATAACCTTTTACATAGCATTTAATGCAGCACATGGCACATGGCAGGTGTCCAATATTAGTGTTCATCACCATCATCATTATTTAAAAATAAAAGCACACGCACATACAACCTACCACCAAGGGCATCAGTTAACTGATCCAGCGTGGGATGTGGGTGGTTCCTGAGCAGCGTGTACATGGACATCACCATCCCCGGGGTGCAGAACCCACACTGTGTGCCGTGACACTTGGCGATCCTCTCCTGGAAGCACACAAAGATTAGAAATGCAGAATCTGGGGCCCCACCCCAGACCCCCTGAATCACAACCTGCATTTTAATAAGATCCCCAGGCAAATCGTATGCACATTAAAGTTGGAGAAGAGGCCCCAGAAAATCCTTCTCATCATAGGTGTCTCCCTTTCTTGGGCTGGGTGGCCACGAATTGTGGTCTCTGATAGCTTTTGAGTTTCATTCAAGGTTCTCAGCCTTCAGAATCAACAGGGGAGTTTAAAATTTTCCAAAAGCAGCACCCAAGATCAATTGACTGAGAATCTCTAGGGGTGTGAGATATATTTTTTAAAGATTCCCAGATGGGCCCTGGCCGGTTTGGCTCAGCGGTTAGAGCGTCGGCCTGCGGTCCTGAGAGACCCGGGTTCGGTTCCCGCTAAGGGTGCGTACCTCGCTTGCAGTCTGTCCCTGGCCCTGGTCGGTCGTGCGGGTGGCAGCCACTCGATGTGTTCCTTTCACATCGATGTTTCTCTCTCTCTCTTTGTTCCTCTCTCTCCCTCCCACTCTACCTGAACAAAAAATGGAAAAATGTCCTCGGGTGAGGATAAAAAAAAAAAAAAAAAAAAAAATAAAGATTCCCAGATGGTTCCAATTTGTAATACTGAATGGAATCATTAAGATAAAGGTAATTCTCTGGAAGTCTTTCAGAGAAATGAACTTATTTATACTCAAGTTGGGGGGGTGGGGAACAAGTATTTCTCAAGTATCTTCATCTACCCACTACACTTCCCTAATGCTTTGGCACATAAAAGTCTGTTTACAAAACACCTTTATTGATTCTGAAAACAATCAAGAAGGCAATATTACCTTTATTTTTTTTCCACCCCTTTCCCCCCACCCCAGCATGCTCTCTTTGGAATCTAACTTTGAAGCTTCAGCCTCATTTTGGAAGCTGTCTTCTGGCTACATGGCAACCAGAAGCTTAGCAGCAGTTACTAAGTGAAAGTGTGTTTTCATGCCTGTGGATAGCAGTCTCATCAGGGTGCCCAGGCAGAATTCACTCCCTGTAGGGATGGAGGTTACATGGAATGTAAACAGAACCCAAGATTCCTTCCAAGAAGTCAGTCATAACACATCCACACGGCCCAAGTTTCACTCCTGGTTCCCAGTTTGATTTCATCGGTTGGCTGACCAAGCTGGTGGGCCCAGATTGCTCTGTTATATTAATCTCAGGGGCTCATCATGACATTATTGGTTTTCAAAGCCCAGAAATCCTATGAAGAGGCTCACCCTCACCTGAACAGGATGAATCCTGGTCTTGGTGCTGCCTATGCCTTCTACTGTTGTGATGGCAGCACCATACACAGAACAGATGGGCATCATACAGGCGTTGGCTGGATAATGTCTTCAGAATGCAAAAGAAAGGCACAAATTACATTGTAGCCAATGGGAAAGGACATGGAATACAATGTGGAAGGTTTGGAAATAATATCCCAGACTTTGCATATACGTTTTATCCTTAGCTCGTGTTCATTTTACAAAAGAAGACTCTGAGGGTCAGAGGGAGTTGCTTAGAGATACAGCTGGAATATCAGAGACAAGATTCAATTAGATTTTCAAATTCTAATTCCAGAACAGTTATCACTAATTTTGTGTTTGTTTTTTTTCTCTTGGATTAGGAGCTGACACTCTCCTCTGTAGTCACGTGTGATTTATCACTTAGCGCATATTTCCTCTTCCAGGCAGGTGCCAAGCCAGGGGTTGGCTGGGGAACAAAGTGAATTTCAAATTATGCTTCATAAGAAGAAATAGGGTGTGGGATACAGGACTCCTTAATCCCACAAACCTGCTGCTTGAAAATGTGCAGCTCAAAATGACTCCTAAAATGTTCTCATTCACCAAACATGGCCGGTAAATACATGAAATAAATGTTCAACTTCAAAATAACTAAGAGCAATTTATTTAAGCAACAAGAAACATTTTTATCAAAGAAAATGACAAAGATTTAAAAATATTGCAATATGGTCCCGCCCTGGCCAGTTTGGCTCAGCGGTTAGAGCGTCGGCCTGCGGTCCGGAGAGACCCGGGTTCGGTTCCCGCTAAGGGCACGTACTTCGGTTGCAGTTTGTCCCCGGCCCTGGTTGGTCGTGCGGGTGGCAGCCACTCGATGTGTCCCTTCATGTCGATGTTTCTCTCTCTCTCTCTCTCCCTTCCTCTCTCTCCCTCCCACTCTATCTGTACAAAAAATGGAAAAAATATCCTCGGGTGAGGATAAAAAAAAAAAAAAATAAAAAAAAAAAAAATATTGCAATATAGTCCTGGCCAGTCTGGCTCAGCAGTTAGAGTGTTGGCCTGTGGTCCAGAGAGACCCGGGTTTGGTTCCCGCTAAGGGCATGTACCTCGGTTGCAGTTTGTCCCTGGCCCTGGTTGGGTTGTGTGGGTGGCAGCCACTGGATGTGTCCCTTTCACATTGATGTTTTGCTCTCGCTCTCGCTCTCTCTCTCTCTCTCCCACTCTATCTGAACAAAAAAATGGAAAAATGTCCTCGGGTGAAGATAACAAAATAAATAAATAAATAAAAATATTGGAATATGCATTATTAGCAAAGGTTTGGAAAAATGAAACTCGTGTACTGTTGAATAAGAGTGTAAATTGATAGAGCTCGTCTGGGAGAGATTTCACTAGAAGGCATAAACACCTTTCAGATGCCTAAACACTTTTATCCTGAAGTTCCACCTCTATGATTATATTATAAACTGATACATTGCTTATACTAATGAACAACTGAAAACAATCAAGTGATCAGTATTTGGGGATTAATTTTGGTGCATTCAAGCAATGGAACATACACAACCATTACAATTATATTTACCATTTTCAAAAGATATTCATGAGAAGTTAAGCAAAATATGCAGATTTCTAAACAGTATATGCAGTATGCTTCTGTATGCACACACACAAAAGAAGGATCAAAAGGATATTACTCATTTATAAATAACTGTAAATATTTATTGAGTGCCTACCATGTGCCAGACAGAATTCTAGATATTGGGATTCACTGGATAAAATCTCTTCCCTTGTAGAGTGTATATTTTAGTGGAGGGAAGAGAGACAATACCTATGTACACAGGCAGTACATACTTACATACATAAATTGAGATGGTGAGAAATGCTGTGAAAACATTAATATAGGCTAAGGAAACAGGAACTTACAGAGGTGAGGTGGGGGACTGTTATTAAGGGGTAATCAGAGAGGACAGAGAGTAAAATACTTTTGCTGAAACCAGAATGATTTGAAGGAACCAGATACGAAAGGCCCTGAGGCAGAAATAAGCTTGGGACGTTTAAGGACAGCATGAGGGACAGAGAGAAGGCCAGTGAAGCTGGAGCACTGTGAACACAGGGGAAGTGACAGAATTCAAGGCGGAGAGAGGCAGAAACAAAGTAGGTAATGGTAAAGGACAGGAGGGACAGGAGTTTGAACATTGATTCAAAGGCAACAGATTGTTCAGTTCAGACGTAGAAAGTTGTAAGAGACATTTCACTCTCATTTTAAAAACCTTAACAAGTCATATAAGCTTTATGGCCATAATTTTTTCTTTTAATTCATGAGATGCTGAGTATGTAAAGAAAATGAAATGAACTAAACTCTGTTAAATACAAGCCCTTCATAAGAGAGAAGAGATATAGCGATTCTCATCTCTAACTGAAATGGACAGAGGAGAAGGAATCTGCCTTAAACAGGAGTAAGAAGAAACCAGACCAACTTTCTGCAAAGTTTTAATAGCTATATGTGGGCTGATGTGACAAATTAAAATACAAATCTGGACTCACTATTCTCAAACTCTTCCCCACGGATTTCATTGAATGCTGAAGATAATACCCTAAATGTGGAGCAGGGAGGGGGTGCTGAAAGAACCTTCCAGGCACATTGGCTCTTAGTCAAGGAAGACTTGCTTGAGGAGAGCAGGAGAACTGAGAGAAAACCATAGGCCCTCGGGCTGCACAGAGTGTAGGGCAGTTGCCACCCTCCAGAGGCTACAGACGGGTGGCATGGCTGCAAGAGAGCTCCCAAAGCATAGAAAGTGGGACAGGAGAGCAAGGAGAACTTCCCAGTGACCAAAAAAGTGGGCAGCCAGATTGTAGAGCTGGGAGGGGGATGTCCCAGAGTTCAGGAAAAAGATGGCTTGGCTGTGGAACACAGGTAGATCTCTAAAACCTCACCAGCGCTTAGATCCTTTGCCCTTGATTGAGATCTGTGGACTGATGTAAAATGGTCTAATGTATGCATAATTGGAGTCCCAGAAAGAGGTGAGGGGAAGAGAGAATAAATAAATATTTGAAGAGATAATGGCTTGAGAAGTTTCCAAAGCTGATGAAAGACATCAACCTGCCGATCCAAGGAACTTGACAAATCCGAAGAGTAAATATTAAACATGAGAGATGTTAAATGCAATGGGAAGCTATTGGTGAGTTTGAAGCATTAGAGTATTGAGATCTGATTTATATTTGAAACAGATCTCTCTGAGTGATGTGTGAAGAACACAGTACATGGGGGCAAGGAGATCGTTAGTAAGCTGTAAGAGTATATGAGTGTGGTGATGGCATTATCCTTCCCTGCCAATTCAGCCCTTGCTTTCCTTCCCAGGCAGCACAGGGGGTCAGACGGCCTTTTAACTTTCAACAGGGGATTCTTTGGCTATCTATTATCCTCATTAATAGCACATTTTTTATAATCCATCATTTCCTGGGATAATGTTTGTCTTCTTCATCACCATATCCTCAGTACCTAGCATAGTTCCTATCATGTAGTAGGTGCTCAATGCATGTTTACCAAATAGAAAAATAAAGCAAAGTTCAAACTACAAAAATTCAACCATATCTGCACTTTGCTGCAAGGTACCTTATCTTCTTGGTAATGGGGTTATATCGTGATACCATCACTGTGCAGGCACCGCAGCCTCCCCCTCCACAGCCATACTTCGTTCCTGTGAGCCGAACTGGAAAAAGCATAGTTAAGGATAATGTATTTTCCATAATTCTCTTTCCAGAATAGCACTGATCTTAGGAGACAACACTATCAAATACTTAAATATATAGTTAAATTAATACATAATTATCAAATGATGGATGTATGCCTTAGCTGCTATTATTTAGAATCATGTAAATTCTTTTTTTTAATCCTCACCTGAGGACATTTTTCCATTTTTTGTACAGATGGAGTGGGAGGGAGAGAGAGGAAGGGGGAGAGAGAGAAACATCGACGTGAAGGGACACATCGAGTGGTTGCCACCCGTACGACCAACCAGGGCCAGGGACAAACTGCAACCGAAGTACGTGCCCTTAGCGGGAACCGAACCCGGGTCTCTCCGGACCGCAGGCCGACGCTCTAACCGCTGAGCCAAACTGGCCAGGGCGGAATCATGTAAATTCTTAATTTCCATTTGTTTTTATTTGTTTGTTTATCCTCACCTAAGAATATTTTGCCATTGATTTTTAGATAGAGTGGAAGAGAAAGAGGAAGAGAGAGAGGAGGGAGGAGAGAAAGAGAGAGAAGCATCAATGTGAGAGAGACATTTTGACTGGTTGCCTCCTGCACAACCCCAGCTGGGGCCAGGGTTCAAACCTGCAACCCAGGTACATGTCCTTGACCAGGAATCAAACCCACAACCCTTTGATCTGAAGGCTGTCACTCCAAGCTCTAACTGCTGAGCAAAACTGGCCAGGGCCATAAAACTAGAAATCAATTGCAAGAAGAACATACAAAGAAATCTGAACACATGGAAGCTAAATAGCATGTTATTAAACAATGAATGAGATCAAGGAAGAAATCAAAAACTTCATGGAAACCAATGAAAATGAAGACACAACAATACAAAATCTATGGGATGTAGCGAAAGCAGTTCTGAGAGGGAAGTTCATAGCACTACAGGCCTACTTCAAAAAACAAGAAAAATCTCTAATAGACTATCTAACCTCACAACTTAAAGAACTAGAGAGCAAACAAAAACAAAACTCCAGAGCAAGTAGAAGGAAGGAAATAGTAAAGATCAGAGCAGAAATAAACAACATAGAGACCAAAAAAACAATTCAAAGGATCAATGAAACAAAGAGCTGTTTTTTTGAAAAGATAAACAAGATTGATAGACCCTTAGCTAGACTCACCAAGAAACAAAGAGAGAGAACCCAAATACACAAAATCAGAAATGAAAGAGGAGAAATAAAAACTGACACCACAGAAATACAAAAGATTGTTAACAAATATTATGAACAATTATACAGCAACAAATTCGACAATCTAAGCAAAATGGACAAATTTCTAGAAACACATAGTGTCCCAAAACTGGACCAGGAAGAGATAGAAAACTTGAACAGACCAATATCAACAGAAGAAACTGAAGATGTAATCAAGACTCTCCCAGCAAACAAAAGCCCAGGCCCTGATGGCTTCACGGGGGAGTTATACCGAACATTCAAAGAAGAACTAACACCCATTCTCCTCAAACTATTTCAAAAAATTCAAGAAGAAGGAAGACTGCCAAACTCGTTTTATGAAGCCAGCATAATTCTAATTCCAAAACAAGAAAAAGACACTACAAAGAAAGAAAACTACAGGCCAATATCCCTGATGAACATAGATGCCAAAATCCTGAACAAAATACTAGCAAATCGGCTCCAGCAATACACCAAAAAAATTATCCAACATGACCAAGTGGGATTCATCCCAGGGATGCAAGGCTGGTACAATATTTGCAAATCAATAAACGCGATACACCACATAAATAAAATTAAGAATAAAAACCACATGATCATATCAATAGATGCCGAAAAAGCCTTCGACAAAATCCAGCATCCATTTCTGATAAAAACGCCCAGCAATGTGGGAATAGAGGGATCATATCTCAACATAATAAAGGCCATATATGAAAGACCTACAGCCAACATCATACTCAATGGGCAGAAACTAAAAGCATTTCCCTTAAGAACAGAAACAAGGCAAGGATGCCCACTTTCACCACTCTTATTTAACATAGTACTGGAAGTCTTAGCCACAGCAATCAGACAGGAAGAAAAAATAAAAGGGATCCAAATTGGAAAGGAGGAAGTGAAACTGTCATTATTTGCAGATGACATGATACTATACGTAGAAAACCCCAAAGACTCCATCAAAAATTTGCTAGACTTAATAAATGAATTTGGCAAAGTAGCAGGATACAAAATTAATGTCAAGAAATTGACGGCATTCTTATACACCAAGGATGAACTCAAAGAAAGAGAAACTAAGAAAACAATCCCATTTACCATTGCGTCAAAAAAATTAAGATACCTAGGAATAAACTTAACCAAATAAATAAAGGACCTATTCACAGAAAACTACAGGTCATTGAAAAAAGAAATAGAGGAAGATATAAAAAAGTGGAAGCACATACCCTGTTCATGGATTCGGAGAATTAACATCATTAAAATGTCCATATTACCCAAAGCAATCTATAGATTCAATGCAATCCCCATCAAAATACCAACAGCATACTTCACAGTATTAGAACAAGTACTTCAAAAGTTCATATGGAACCAAAAAAGCCTCGAATAGCCACAGCAATCTTGAAAAGGAAGAACAAAGTTGGAGGAATCACATTACCAGATTTCAGCTTATACTACAAAGCCACTGTAATCAAAACAGTCTGGTACTGGCACAAGAACAGGCATATAGACCAGTGGAATAGAACAGAGAACCCAGAAATGGACCCAAGGCAATATGCTCAATTAATATTTGACAAAGGGGGCAAGAGCATACAGTGGAGTAAGGACAGCCTCTTTAATAAATGGTGCTGAGAAAATTGGACAGCTACATGCAGAAAAATGAAACTAGACCATCAACTTACACCCTACACAAGAATAAACTCAAAATGGATAAAAGACTTAAATGTGACTCATGAATCCATAAAAATCCTAGAAGAAATGTAGGCAACAAAATTTCAGACATATACAAAGCAGAATTTTCACTGATACATCACCTAAGGCAATAGAAACAAAGGAGAAAATAAACACATGGGACCACATCAAACTCAAAAGCTTCTGCACAGCAAAAGATACAATCATCAAAATGGAAAGGCAACCCACTGTATGGGAGAGCATAATTGCCAATCGTATATCAGATAAGGGGTTAATTTCCAATATATATAGAGTGCTCATACAACTCCAGAAAAGGAAGACAAAGAACCCAATTAAAAAATGGGCAGAGGAACTAAATAAACACCTCTCCAAACAGGACATACAAATGGCTAAGAGACATATGAAGAAATGCTCATCATCACTAATCATCAGAGAGATGCAAATTAAAACAACAATGAGGTATCACCTCACACCTGTCAGAATGGCCGCAATCAACAGATTATCAAACAACAAGTGTTGGCGAGGGTGTGGAGAAAAGGGGACTCTAGTACACTGCTGGTGGGAATGCAGACTGGTGCAGCCACTATGGAAAACAATATGGTGTTACCTCAAAAAATTAAAAATTGAACTTCCATTTGACCCAGTGATCCCACTTCTAGGAATATACCCTAAGAAGCCTGAAACACCAATCAGAAAGAACATATGTACCCCCATGTTTGTAGCAGTACTATTTACAATAGCTAAGATCTGGAAACAGCCCAAGTGTCCATCAGTAGATGAATGGATAAAAAAGCTGTGCTACATATACACAATGGAGTACTACGCAGCTGAAAGAAAGAAAGATCTCTTATCCTTTAAGACTACATGGAGGGACCTGGAAAGTATCATCCTAAGTGAAACAAGCCAAACAGAGAAAGACAAGTATCATATGATCTCACTTATTTGTGGAACATAATGAACATAACAGTCTGAGGAATGGGGTAGTCCCAGAGACGTGGAAGTGGGGTACAGACTGACAATACCCAGAAGAGGAGGTGGTGGGGGAGAGATAAACCACAGAACTTATATGCATGTATGCATGAACAGTGGACATGGACAACAAACTGGGGATAGGGCAGGGAGGGAGGGGGAGGGGGGAATCAGTGGAGGGGGGGAAGGAGAAACATCTGTAACAAAAATTAATTAATAAAAAATATGTAAATTAAAAAAAAAAAACTGACCATGGCTCCACGTCAGTGATATATTTAATCTCCTTCCTTTCAAAACACCTTGACCTCAGGTTGCCAAAAATTTGAACAAACTAAGAAAAGGAAGAGTCTATACATATACAGGCTTAAGTATTTAAAATTATACATACATTGTACATTTGTTCTCAACCTTATCTGTGTCTTTGATGACATAAAGTAAAATATCAACTTGTAAATAATTCTTGGAATATTTCTGTCATATTATCCATATTTGCCATATTTCTCTAATTCTTGGTGGCAAAAACTGCTAGTTGTTTCCTGATATCTGTTTTCTTGTTCTTCCCTGGTTATAAAAACCTCGATTTTTTGCTACACACTTGGTTTCCCAAAATAAAAAAATATATATATTTTCCAAGCCTCCTCTGTAGCTAGCTGGGTCATTAACAATCTGGCCAATGGGATGTTGTGTATGACTTCCGGGAGGGAAATGTCCTCAAAAGGAGAAAAGTGCCTGCTTCTTCACCCCTCACTTCTTCCTATTTGCCAGAATTCAGATATGACGGCTGGACCTCGGTAGTCATCTCTGACCATGAGGAGAAAGCTGCATGCTGAGGAGGTGGAACGGCAAGATACAAGGAGCTTGCTTCCCTGATTACGTTGAGACACTGCTTTACTAGCCCTCATCTACCTACTTTTGGGATCCTTTATGCGAGAGTGACAGCCAACAGCACGTGCCTCAGACACCTTCTTCAACAGGGAACGTAACCGACCAAGAGACCCAGTGGCTGCACTTTGAAAGCTATCCCTCCCATTGTTGCTGGCTCCCACTCAGGCATTTCTTTTAATTAGACTCTTGCACATTTAATCCCAATTTTGGTCTCTGCTTCCCAGAGAACCTGAACTAACACAATGAGAAAGGAATAAACTTTTATCTTCTATCTTGTTTATTGCCATTGGGGATTTTCTGTCACTCACAAACCAAATCTGAAATATTATTACACATCAGTACCATGGATAACCAGAAAATCATTGTTCGTTGTTTTTATGTCCAAAGATCACTTCCAGAAGATTAATGCTTTTTGAGTTGTGTACTCTTTGGGGGATTTCACTCTCTCCAGGAGGAAAAAAAAATGTACAAACTCCCATTGTCACATAATTTTGTATATAATTTAATGGGGTCTATAGAACTCTGGAAGCACACAGGAGTTCATAACCGGCAGGCTAAGAATCCATTCCTTAGATGACTTTTATTTAGAAAGCTTTCCTAAGGTAACATTCTCAGGTTTAATGTCTCCATTGTTATTTTTACTTTCATTTCAGGAGATTTCTGTGCTCTCTTTTTCTGATGAGCATGATGATTAGCCCTCAAAGACAGAATGTCAATATTGTGACTCTTAATTCTAAAGGATACTTAATTAAGCCCTTTTAACATCAATTGTTTTCATTCCCATTGCTAGCTTTTCTATTTATACAATATATTAAGTGCCAAAACAGAGATCGGAAAGAACGTTGTTATTCTGACAGTCACAACTGTGCACTGCCTACAAAACTAGGACTTTCTCAAAGAACATAAAGCCATAATAGTATAGGATATGACTCAATGTGGCTTTAAAAATATATTTGAAATATTACCTGATGAGGATGTCAGAATCATCCCCGCCCCCCAACACACATAGACACAAAGCAAAGGAAAGGATACGCTTCTTCCTCAGATATGGTAACAGCATTGTCTCAGGATCCACATCTTTTTCTATCACCTGTATCGGAAAGAAAATAAAATTTATGCACACAAATTTGAGAGAGTTGGTGTCGTTTTCTTATTAGTAGGCTTATTTTAATTTGATGGAAATGCACATTAATTAACTCATATTCATAGTTGCAACTTGATTTATTGTTTAGGGAACATCCATGATATACAAATCACTTCTCTTGAATGTAAAGTCTAAATCTTGGTCCCCGCAACTACTTTGCCACTGTCCCTGGTCCTGAATCATCACAGTTCACTGTTCCGTAAGTCAGTGATTATTCGTACTAATAGGAACGTTGGACTCCTGCCAAGTTTCTCTTAGAAAGTCCAAAGCGGGAAAGAAAAGATATTAGTAAAAAGGGGGGAGAGAGAGAGTGAGAGAGGCTTCTGAAATGGAATAACCTCTGAAAAGTTGATACAGTTTTTTTTTTAAACTCATTAGTTTATCATGTTCAAAGACTGAGTTTCCAGAAAGAGATCACAATCAACCATGGCCCCCAAATAAATAACAAACAAACAGCAACAACAACAAAACAAAGGAGAAGATAAAATGTGTATGTCAAGTGATCCAAAGATGTGTAAGCAAGAAGTCCCTTAAGAAGCAAGTCTGTGTGTGCAGCACAGCAGTAAAACAGAGCGCACAAGAGATGGCATGATTGAAATGTCACAATTGGTTGTTTCCCAAAGTGATTAAGTTGTCTTTATTGATTTTAGAGAGACAGGGAGGGAGAGGGAGAGAGAGATAGAAACATCAATGAGAGAGAACATCAATTGGCCGCCTCCTGCATGTCCCCCACTGGGGATTGGGCCTACAACCTAGGTATGTGCTCTGACTGGGAATCGAACCAGTGACCTCTTGGTGCATGGGTTGATGCACAATCATTGAGCCACACCAGCTGGGCAAATTGTCTTTTTTTTAATTAAAAATTTGGATTTCTTTTAGAATCACAAACAAAAGCATGGTTTGCTTCACAATTTCAAAATAGCATTCCTCTTTCACCATGTTTCACTAATTTTCTTTTCTGGGAAGTAGATAAGAAGGGGACATATGCTTATTCTGTGGATGCCTCCTCACCCTAATTCTAAGTGGCCACATGCCCAGCAGAGAGGCATGGGCCAATTACCAAGGTCAAATATATGCCCTAGAGAAGTTCGCAATATAGCGAGGGAGACGTGAGTGTGTGTGTGTGTGTGTGTGTGTGTGTGTGTGTGTGTGTGTGTGTACACATGCTGTAATACAGTGGAGAGCCCCAGGCAACCCAAACTAAATTGACCCTCAAATGGAACTCTATTATTTCTTCCCTTCTGTTTCATAACTTGTTTAATGGTTTTGCCATCTGCTTAGGTAATCTAAGATGAAAAATCTTAGCTGTTTTCAACTTTTTCTTTCTTTTAGTTCACCACAATTCAGGCCACCAAGTCCTGCCATTTACATGTCCAAAATGATTCTCTAAACACCCTTCACTTCTACAGCCACTCCCTGAAATCAACCCTTATTATCTCTTACTTGAACAAGTATAACAGCTCCCTAACAGGCCTCCTGCCCCACTCCTGGCTCCTGCAATACCACCCTCTGTACCGCCACCAGAGCAACCTCTATAAAATCTAAGTCTGGTCATTTCCTGTGTCTGCTTAAATTCAACACAGGCTCCTGGCTGCCACACTGCCATGCTGGGAATTTCTCAATCATTTTGGGGACTTGTTAAAATGAAACCCTACAGCATCAGAGTTTCTGGGAGAGGGATCCAGAAAATGTGCATCTTGGTGAGCACACTCAGTGGGTCTCAGGTGAGCTTATACTCAAGAGTACCTGAGGTACAAGAAGAGATTCAACTTTGTTGGATTAGCCTACAAGGCCTCTTTGATAAACTTTCCATCATCTCCTGCCACTCAGCCCATGTATCTTGAACTCCATTCACATGGGAGAACCGGCCGGTCCCAGCAGTGCACCGACCTTTATCCTTCACTACATGTGCACACATAATTCCTTCTGTCCTGAAAGTCCTCCGATTCTTCTAGTTTGACAGAACTGTGTATGTCATTCAAAGCCCTGCTCAAATATTCTTTCCTGTTGGGAGTGCTGCCATCTAATATCCCCTTCCCATTCTGCTCCAAGTCGCCATCCTCTGCAGTGCCTCCAGGGCCAATGTCCATGCATCGCTCACAGAGTGTGTTACCCTATGTCATAATTATTTGTGATTTATAAGCCTCTCTTGATCCCTGAGAGAAACCACCTTCTGCTATTCTTCTTTGTGTCAAATACTGGGCTAGGTGTTGGTGATATATCATAGGGACATAATAAGTGCTAATTGATTTAAGTGAATAACTTGAACATGATATGTACAATTTGATACAAGAACACTGAGGAGGAAAGAATGATTTTTCACAGGCCGGGACATCTGAACAGAACAAAAGAAAGATGAGTAGAGAAGTTCCAGTAATGATGGCAGAAACTGTTGGTTGTCTATCCCAGCATGCATTCTCATTTTCTTCCTTCCTCTTCCTGGAATAGGGATGAAATGGCTAGATCTCTAGCAGCCATTTTAGACCATAAGGCAACATATTAATGGCAGCAGAGGAAAAAGAAAAAAGGAAACTGGTCCCAGATGACAGTAAAGCTTTTAGACCAGTTCCATAGTGTCTATCCCCAGATATCCTTTCTTTAACAATAAAACAACAAAACAAAAAACAACTTATCTAAAACACTGTTAATTTTGAATTTGTATCATTTGTGGTTGAAACTAATCCTAATTAATACATATGATGGCAAATCCACAGAGGCCCAATTTTAATGGACAAGCAGGATCTGGGTAGCCTAGATAGCAAAGAATAGTATTTTAGGCTTGAGACATATTTGTATATTTTGGAAGGAATAGAAACAGCAGGCCTTGCTAGTTAGGGTATTTGTTCCAGATATTTCAAGAGATTGGGTTCTGGTTTAAAGTTCCACTGGCTTGAAATGTGTTTATTTTTCTTGATTTGGCGGATGGCATATTGGAGGAGGAAAGTGGACGGAGGGATCCAGCGTGCACCATGTCCTGGTGGGTGTTGGAGTGAAACAGGGAGGTCAGGACTAAGACAGTGGCTGGAGGTGGGGAGGGAATGAGGAACAGAGTTATTCTCACTGACTCAGGTCAGGGTCATCACATATTCCCATCTCAGGACAGCCTTGGGTGTTGCAAGAACAGAGTGTGTCCCTCTGTATCTCCACCAGCCCTTCAGGAGATTTCAAGTTCACACTGAACAGGGCTGAATCACCACTTTCCTCTGCGCAGGTCTGAGGGGGCCTTGCCAGATCCGAGACAGAGGCAGAAAGAAGAAAGAGAAGGAGATAAGTGGGAGAGCGAAAGAAGGGGAAAGAATGGAAGTGAGGAAGAGAGAGGTATGTGTGAAAGGACAAGGCTGACAGGTAGAAGAGGGAAGAAGGAGGTACACACTGTGGGACACTGTTAGTAGAGAAGAGTAATAACCCACACCAGCATTAGAGCAAGGGTCCGAGGGGACAGCCAGCGAGGGCACTTCTGTCTGAGCTTCAGGTTGCTTTAAAATTTAATTGTTGGTCCTTCCTGACTAAAGCCCCACCAACCCCTCCACTTTTCTCTGAATTATTACAGCCATCCCAACAGCTCAGAAATGCCCTCTCCCAGCCCTACAAATCAACACCCCAGGAAACACTGGCCATGGATCGCTCTGTCCAGATTCTTATCTTGATATCAAGACCATACCTTTTGTTGAGCAAATAATGCTCAAAGACTACTTTTTGGCCCCTTTGATACTTCTGGGCAGGTTCTGGCTCTATGCTTGAAGCAGATTATTTTCCAGTCCAGATATTAAAAATCTTTATCAAGTGCTTACTGTGCACCATGTACTTTGCTAACCACTCTCCATGGGATTTAGCCTTCACCCCAGTCCCATGGGAGAATGGATTGTCATTAGCTACATTTTTGCAGAGAGGAGAACTGAGACTCAGATATATAGCGACTTGCTCAAGGCTCTAGAGCCTGCTGAGTGGCAGAGCAGACAGGGCAGGATTCAAACCCATGTCTAACTAGTTTCAAAGCCCACACCTTTGATCTATACATCTCACTGCCATGTAGAATGACGTGCTTTAGTTCTGGAGTTGTATTAGAGAGTGGCACCTAGGGTATAATTCATTCATGGGCTCTTCCCCCATCAAACTCCATGTTAACCAGGACACCTGTTTGGGGGGCCCATGGCAGAGCAAGTCAGACCTCAGAAATCTCTCTGCAACTAAATCTCTGACTGATGGGCAGTGGCTTTAGACCCTGCCCAATGACACCTTTTGGAAACTTGGGGACCACAGGCCAGTCATATCACCTAGTCTCCTAATTAGCTTCTAAGCTTCCTTTCCAGGGAAAGTTTTTAATCCCAGACAAGTTTTTAATCAAGACTTCACTTCCTTGACTGTTTCTCTCTCACACTTTTCTCAATAGCAACTCCCCCACCCCTCCCTGCCTCTGAACCAGAAACGTGATCGTTATTCTGCTCATGTGGCAATCAGCCTTGTTTACCAGGATTAAAGCACACACTTAGCAAATATTGGAAGGGAGGGGAAGAAAGGGAAAGGGTTATATAATTTCTTTTAACAGGGTAATTGCAAAATCAACATCTCTACAGTGTACTTTCCAAATGATCTCAGAACTTTCAGCTTATAAATCAAACCCATAGATAAGAACCAGCTTATCTATTTTTAAAAATCAATAGAGCACAAACTATTAGCCATGATGTTAAAAATCCCACTGCAGTTTGTATAGGAGCTGGATGAGGAGAGAGAAACTAAATTCAAACACCTGCTTTCTCATTTAACCAAAACCCTTACCATTGCCCAGAAAGCCAAAGTAATCTGGCCCCTGGCCAATCTCCAGCCCCACCAACCTCCTTGCCATTTCGCAAACACACAGAAATCCTTGTCTGAGGACCTTTGCACCTGCACTCCTTCTGTCTAAAATACTCTTCCTCCAGATGTTTGCATAACTTGCTCCTTACTTCGTGCCAGTCACTGCCCAAACACCACCCTCTCAGAGAGGCTGCAACATACATCCCCCCTGAAGCACCAGCTCCTGCCCACTGTATGTCCCCTCACTTTGCTTTATTGTTTATCCTAGCACTTATCACCGCCTGACATTATACATTTCCATTTATTTGTTTGCTTATTGTCTGTCTCCTGACAATGCAAACTCCATGTAAGCAGGGACTGTCATTTCTGTGCTCTGCTGTATCCTCTGAGCTGGGGACAGTGGCTGGCATAAAGTAGACCCTTAACAAAAATGTGATTAAATACTCATTGTCACTCTGTGAAGTAAGTAGTATTATTCCCCTTTCACAGAGGAGCTGAGGCTCTGAGAGGGTAGAGTGTCTCAATAAAAGTTAGAGTCGGAACTGAACCCTTATTTGTTTAAACAAAAAGGCCAGGGTTGCACTTATTATACCATTCAATTATGCAAAGGAAGAAAAAGGGACATGTGTCACTTTCACAGCAGTACTGTCAGGGGATCCTAAAATCCAATTACAGATCAGGAAAAATGAGCTCATCTTACCTGGTGTAGCAACCAGACAGTAGGGGTGGAGGAAAGTTTTATGCGACCTAGAACTTGTACAGTTTGAGGGGGCTGGAGGGCAGTCTTCTTTAAGGAAACTAATACAAAACCACAAATGCTTAATTAAGCTCAGGGCCTAAGAACAGGTCTCACAGCAGGAGGCCTTGATGGGTGACCTTCCCTAGCTTCCTGGTGAGTCCCTTGTGCCAGGCAGGGCAAGTGCTGTGGCTTCTGTGAACCAGAAGCAGGGAACACAGGTGGCTAAAGGCACTGTGGAAGGGCAAGTAGTGCGGCTCGGTTGTCAGCTCTTAAGGAAGCCCCTTAACCGTCCTGTCTCAGTTTTCCCCTTGCAAAATTATGTCAATATGCTGGGACATTAAGAGTGAGCAGAATCCACAGCATGTGTGTTGGACGGAGTGCAAGAGGGACCCGGAAGGTGTTTTAAAAGATGCCCAGGGGCTTTGCTTTCCCCAGAGGTGACACTGCCTGAAATTGTCCCAGAGGTTCTGCAGAGAGCCAGGCTTCTGAGAGGACAGAGGCCAGGCCAGCAGTGGTCCCAGTGAAGACCGAGTCCCGGAGCCCAGCATTGGCTCAGCTCTGCCAGGAACTATTTGTGACTTCAGAGTTATAATTTTGTTATCTGAAAAACGATGGGAGTGGTCGGAATTAGTTCAACTCTATGGTTCTGTCCCAACTTTAAATTGCTCCCTGCTCATCCAAACGCACCCCCAGAGATGAGGCTCAGCTAGCTCTAGATTGCTCTTAGTCTGTGGAAAGACATTCTCCTTTCCCACGGGGTTTGAGGGAGGGGAGATTTGGGAGTGCTGACCTTGATGAGTAAGAATAGCTATTTCTCTTCTTGTTTATGGGGTGAGGTAAGGTGGGGTGGTAATCAGCTTCTGCGTCCCGGATGGAGAGGGGAAAGGAACATCAGGAAGATGGGGCCCAAAGATCCCGGGCGGTCCCTAAACACTCATGCTTTCCTTGCCCGGGGTGGAGGTGGAGGCGCACAGGCAAATCCGCAGGCAAACCACAAGCCCGGTGCATTAGTGCTCTAAGCCCGAGCCACCGGGCAGGCACCTCCCCCTGCGGCTCCCGAGGGCCCGGCGCCCCGCAGTCCCCCGGCTGCACTCACCTTGCGGCCGTTCACGTAGAAGAGCAGCTCGGTAGCCCGATCCATGGTGGCCGCAGGTGGTTCCTCGGCGGGGGTTCGGGGTCCGAGGGCTCCGAGGAAGGGTCCCTGGCACCTGGGACCGGCGAAGCTGACCTGATGAAGACCCAAAAGTTCAGTGAGCACCTTCCAGGAAAACTCTTCCCGAGATGTTCGTTCGGACGTTGCTGGAGCGCACGGTCTGCACTGCAACCGGTGACTCCTTCCCCTCCGCGCTGGTGGCGCTGTGTCCGCGCCTCCCTCCTGCCTCTTCGCCGGTCCGGCAGGTCCCGTGACCACCTCTTTGGCTGTCCAGTATTGTTACTTAATTTAACTGGCTTCCCAGCGAGATTTCCAGTCTGGGAACTGCAGTTTTATTTTTTGTACTTCCCCTCCCACCGTTCCTGCTGCGGTCCTGTACTTTAGTTAATAAACTATCACATTTATTCCAGTTGTGCAGGAAAGGAGCTTAAGGACAACGAATGCGTTCTCAGCTTTACCTCAATTTTATAAATAATTATAGTTCATTTTCAAAATCAAGAGTTACCTTAATATGGAGATAAATTAAAAAAAAAAGTTTTATCACTATTTACAGTTTATCTAGTAAATATCAAAAGCAATGTAAAACATCTTGGAAAACCTTTTTAAAAACTTGAAAAATGCTGAAAAGCATAAAAATAAAAATCACCTATAGGCCTACAACTCAGAATTTACTACGGTTAACTTTTCGGGTCAATCTTTATATTTTTGAAATCTGCATTATAACACCTTTTTAAAAATTCAAATGGAACAAAACTAGTTATATTCCAGACTTTTTACACAATCCATACTGGAAGGATGGAGGAGGATGGAGAAATTTCCAACTTCCTGTTTGCTTCCTACTCCTGTGGCAGTCACCACAGAAATGGTTCACCCTGGCAGGAACAACTACTTCAGTAGTAACAGTTGGCTCCAGTTCCAAGATTTTTTCACATTCTCAGATCAGACTTGTCACAGCCTTTCAGGAAAACAGCACCAACCAATTGCGCACCTTCCCCAGAGTCCTGGAGCTCATCCTCCAAGCGTTTAAGTTTCAATTCCATTCTTTTCCCTTTGTTCTCAGCCCGAGGTGGTGGGTGCTTCCTGTAGTTACTTCCTGCATGATATTCCACCCGTCCCTTTTGCCTTTTCAGTTCCTGTCAGTTCTCTAGTATATGGCTAACAATTTACAAAATAATTATGGCTTCTGTCCCTTGGCCGGACCCTACCTAATACAATCTCCATTGATGCCAAAAGTCACTTGACAATATTCAACACCCATTCATGACTTTTTTTTTTTTTTAAAGCACTCAGTAAAGTAGCAATTGGTGTGATTGTAAATTTACGTCACCAGCTCAAAACCCAGCATCTTATTCAGAGGCATTCCCATGAAAATCAGGAACAGACATGAAAATCTACTATTCCTACTATTTACTCAAGGCAGCCACCATGCAATTAGACAAGAGAAAGCAAAAAGCAGCATAAGAATTGAGGAAAAACAAGAGGTAAAGCTAGCTAGTTTTCAGGAGATATGTCTGGAAAATACTACAAATAATACATAGTAGTTAACATACAGAAATCAACAATCTTCATGTATGCAAACAATAATCAATTAGAAGAGAGAATCAAAGAGTAGATCCCATACATATCACCAAGAAAAAAGGTAAAATACCTAGGCATAATTCTATCAAGAAATGTGTAAAATCTATGAGGGCAACTTTGAAATTCCCCTAAAGTATTTATAACTTGAGTATGGTAATGGGGCATAAAAAGACAGATTAGACAAGAACTAGAGAAATGAATGTAAGTGCACATGGGAATACATTTTTAAAAAGTGGCATTTCAAATCAGTAGGGGAAAACATGGACGTTTTAATTGAGTCTGTTGGAAAAAGGCCAAAATTGCACTCATACCTCACACCATACAACTGAACAAAATCTACGTGAATCAGAAATTTAAATGTAAAAGCAAAATGAAACCACAGGGAAATGTGTTTATAATCTGAGAACAGGAAAATTGTTTCTTACTGTGACCAAATTCCACTAGCAACAAAAGGTTGATCAATCTGACAACATAATATGTAAAATAATTTGCATAGGAAGGGAAAAGAAGAAAAGACAAAGCTCATAAAAAGGAGAAAATAAAAATAAGGAATAGGAACAAAAATATAATCTCAGAGAATGACTGGAAGGTCCAAAGGCTGAGTGACAGGAGTACAGGAAAGGGAACAAAGACTGCCAGGGTGCCAAGCTCTTAACCACTGTGTCAAGTGTTCCTTTCAAAAAAAGCCTCTGGCCCCCATTCAACCCACATTGTTGATATGAGTAAATTCTGTGGGACTCTGTACTCCTGCAGCAGTTTTTCTCCAAGTTTGATACTAGGACATCTGACTCAGAATTATCTAAAATACTTCTGGGCCCACGCTTTCAGTTGTCAGATATTGTCTAAGAAAGCTTTTCCACCTAGGCAGAATAGAATTTGACTAGTCATTTTGAATATACAATAAGCAATGTTCAGTGATCTCAGATATGAATAGGATTTATTACTTTTACTAGACTAGTAAGCAATCTTTAAAATAAAGTTACAAAAACCAAATACAAAAGAGCCTGAAAGATTAACCCCTCAGCCAAGTCATCAGATTACACATAATAAAAGTAATACAGAACCTGACACCCAAGTAATTACTGACCAAGTAATTCTGAAAGTATGAATAAATAAAGGATGAGAGAAAACTGGCCAGGGCGGGAATATTGAATGGTTTAAAGACAAAACTAAACAAGTTAGCTTGATAAACAACAAGATAACCACTGCAAAGGTATTTATAATACATTTTATTGGTTAAAAGGTTAAAGCTATTGTTTAGTTAAAGTCTATTAGGTTGAAAAAGCTGAATGAGTAGGAAGATAAGTTATAGGATAACCAAAATGATTTTAAACTTTGTAATAAAATTTAATATTACAAAACAGCTATTTTATGTACATATATCAAAACATAAAAATAGATAAATCAACACTCCATGAAAAGTCAGAAAAAAACCCAAAACTTTTCATCATATATTTCCTCTTCTTCTAATTATATCCGTTTTGAGTCATTATGGTTTCAGAATTCAGAAAAACCAGAATCCATCAATTCATCTTCTCATCTTGCTGCAAAGTAGAAAAAAAGGGGAGATTAATAATAATAACACAAAACTAATACTTTTGCTGTGAAGCATGGAGGAAACTGCTGCATCATACTAGTGGAAAGCAGTTCTCAAACCGTAATACATTTTTCCATGTATCTGAAACACACTGTGATAGAAAAAATTATAAATGAAATTTAAGAAATAACAGATTTTCTATGTTTTACTGCTTCCTTTTAACTACAAATTTTAGCATACATACGAAAATGTATAATTTTAAAACAATGAAATAAGTGTTGATGTACGTACCACCTAAGTTAAATATTACCACACCTCAGACTGCTCTAATGTGTCCCTTTCTGATCCCAGCCCACTATTCCCCAGGAAGTAACCATTAGCCTCTATTATGTTAATCACTCCCTGGCTTTTCCTTACAGTTTTAACAATCTATATATTACACTCCTACAATGTATATTGTTTGGTTTTAATCTATGTTTGATTTTTATATCATTCTGTAGGTGCTTTTCTATAACTTTTTCACTAAATACCTTTAATCATTTTCAAGCCTCTCCTTTATTGAAACATTAATCATTCTGTATCTGGTTCTTCTATCAGTTGCCTTTGCTGATATCTTGGTTCCCTTGTGTGTGTAGCATTCTTTTTGCTGTGAGTGAGCTATTTCATATCCCTTGCAACTTTATCTGTTGAAAATGTGTTGTGAGCTGAGATGAAGGACTCCTCTAGAAAGTATTTGCATTTTCTTCTAACAGACAACAGGGGGTGCTACAAATCATGGGCTAATACTAAATCCACAGCTTGATGTTTTTTGTGACTTCCAGATATTGTGAATTACAGCTACAATACATGATGGTTTGATTTTGGTTATGAATTCTTAGACCTTTTGCTCCTCAATTCAGTACCTGAGTTATTTCCTGGGGCTTAAAAATGCTTGTAAGAAGGTTATTTTTAGTTTGTTCTTCAATTTGTGAGTAGCTCAACTTTACTAAAGGAGACCCACTATTAGACTCTTCATTTTAGCTAAACTCTAGAATCTGCTTTCTGTCTCCAGCCCCATAAGGCTGTGAATACAATGTTTAGGCAAATGCCTTCAGGCAAAAGCCAGTTGCAGGCTCCATTTACCTGTCTGGCTTCCTACTCTCATTCAGTCTCTAATCAGAGCTTTCTTACTTCTCTACTATCTAACAGATACATTCAAGGGGTATTTTGTTTGTTTTGTTTAATATTTTGCCCACTCATTTTATTTTTTCAGTAAGAGGGCTGATCTATTAACCTAATATATAATGTTGCAAGAAGAGGAGTTGTATTTGTTCTTTACATTATATATAGTTTTTGGATGAAATACATATACATGGTTCCAAACGAAAGGGTATAATGGGTAGAGAGAGAGAAGGTCTCTTTCCCTCCTCTGTATCATCCTCTTTAGAGCGAATATGATACTCTTGCCTTGGGTAATTAGATAGAATTTAATCAATTCTTTCAAAAGAGCTATTTATTCTAACCAAAATATAGTAAAATGTTGTAATAAAATAGTATTCTCTTTTGGTTTAGATCTACTGGGCATGCAGATTATTTGATAAATAGGTTGGTAAAAAATTTTTAAAGCAAAAATCACAATGTACATTAGCATAAATACAAAGAGTGATGACAACCGGGCTGCCACTTTTTTCTTTCTGGATTGGGAATAGCCTGTAGCATGTATATCACAGCTTCTGATAGGCCCCCAGTGAGAGTAGATCCCGAATGGAAACTGCCTGCAATATGCTATGGAGTAATTATCACAAGTACTGAGGATAGGAGCAGCAGGAATTATTAGGAAGGTAATATAAATGTACTTTTTAAAGCCTTTATCTCTTAAGTTCCAAAGTCTGAACATGACAACAGGGGACATTTTAAATAGTAAAATGCACTATTCCACAATGAATATATAGTAATTATGGTATTTATGTACCAAATACAGCAACTACACTTATGAAGGTAAAACTACAGGAGATTCATGGAGATAGATAAGAGCACAAAATAGGAGATCTTAATATACTACCAGCACAAGACAGATAAAGTGGACATAGAAGATCTAAACAACATATATCAAAGTCTACACTCTATCTGATAGGGAATACATATTCTTCTCATGTGCTCACAGCAGTTACAAAAGATCTGGAAACAGCCCAAGTGTCCATCAGTAGATGAATGGATAAAAAAGCTGTGGTACATATACACAATGGAGTACTATGTAGCAGTAAGAAAGAAAGATCTCTTATCCTTTGAGACGACATGGAGGGACCTGGAAAGTATTGTCCTAAGTGAAATAAGCCAAGCAGAAAAAGACAAATACCACATGATCTCACTTATATATGAAATATAATGAATATAACAGTCTGAGGAATAGGGTAGACCCAGAAATACAGAAGTAGGGTACAGACTGACAACCCTCAGAAGAGGGGATGGTGGGGGGTGGGAAGAGATAAACCACAGAACTTACATGCATGTACGCATAACCAATGGACATGGACAACAAAGCCTGGGACGGGGCGGGGGGGTTGGGGAGGAGGGTGTCAATGGGGTAAAGAAGAAGAAACATCTGTAACAAAAATAAAATTTAAAAAATAATTTAAAAAAAGCAAATCCATACCACATTATGAAAAACATACACCATGACCAAGTGAGATTTATTCCAGAAATGCAGGTTGGTTCAATATTAGAAAATGTATCATTATATACCATGTTAATAAATCTGAGGAAATAAAGCATATAAATTTTTCATTGATACTGAAAAAGCCTTTGACAAAATTCAACACTAATTCATGATTCAAACACTCAACACTGAGGAATACTTTCTTAGTATAAGAGTTGGCTAATAATCTTCAAATGTGTCAAAGTCATGAAAGAAAAGGAAGGACTGAGAAACTGTCACAGGCTGGAGGAGGTTAAGTAGGAACAGCAACAAAATGCAATATGGGATCCTGGGTAGGATTCTCAAACAAAAAAGGATGTTAGTGGAAGCATATAGTTTAGTTTAATAGTATTGTACCAATGCCAATTTCCTAGGTTGATCATTGTACTGTAGGTAAAGATGGTAAAATTAGGGAAAGCTGGGTGAGAAACCTTTGTACAATTCTTGTAACTTTTTAGTAAGTCTAAAATTAGTTTGAAATGAAAAGTTTAACTTGAAACTCAATAATAAAAAAACCCAACAGAGCCCGGCCCGTGTGGCTTACTGGTTGAGCACTGACCCATGCACCAAAAGGTCACTGATTCAATTCCCGGTCAGGGCACATGCTCAGGTTGTGGGCCCAATCCCCAGTGGGGGGCATGCAGGAGGTGGCCAATTGATGTTCTCTCTCATTGATGTTTCTATCTCTCTCTCTCTTTTCCTCTCCCTTCCTCTCTCAATAAAGAAAAAAGGACAAAGGATCTGAATAGACAGTTCTCCAAAGAAGATGTACAGATGGCCAATAAGCACATGGAAAGTTGACTAACATCATTAGTCATCAGAGACTACAAATCAAAACTATAAGATATCACTTCATGGCCACTCCAGTACGGCTAGAATCATCAAAAAGTCAAATAATAGCCCGGCCGGTGTGGCTCAGTAGATTGAACGTCATCCCATGGACTGAGAGGTCCCAGTTCGATTCCTGGTCAGGGCACATGCCTGGGTTGCAGACTTGATCCTCAGTAGAGGGTGTGCAGGAGGCAGCTGATCGATGTTTCTATCTCTCTCTCCCTTTCTCTCTCTCTAAAAACCAATAAAAACATATATATTTTTTAAAGTAACATAATAACAAATGTGTTGGTGAGGATATAGAGAAATCAGAACACCTATACCCTATTGGTGGGAATGTAAAATGGTACAGCAGCTTTGGAAAACAGTTTAGCAGTTCCTCAAATGATTAACAGAGTTACTATATGACTCAGTAATTACAAAAGAGAAATAAAAACATGTACATCAAACATTTGCAAAAAAATGTTGATTTGGCATTATTTATAACAACTAAAAGGTAGAAACAACCAAATGTCTATCAACAAACAAGTAGATAAATAACATGTGGGGGGTGTGTATATATATCCATATATGGATATATCTATCCATCCATCCATCCATCCATCCATCCATCCATCCATCCATCCATCCAATAGAATATTATTCAGTCATAAAAAGGAATGAAATACTGATACATGCCACAACATGGATAAACCTTGAAAACATTATGTTAAGTGCAAGGAGCCAGACACAAAGGAAGGGCATACAGTGATACCTCGGTTCTCGAACGCCTCGAATTTCGACCAAATCGGTATTCGACCAGGAGATTCGAGAAACTTTTGTCTTGGAATCCGAACAAATATTTGGAACTCGAACTTCCGAGATGAGCCGAGTTGAGCCGAATGGCGTTCATTCGGCCCAGCGCGCCTTGCTTGCGTCATCAGTGTGAGTGCAGAGAGAGAGTCACGCTTTGTGGAGAGAGTCACGCTTTGTGGAGAGAGTCACGCTTTACACTGAATTTAACCCTTAGACATACTGTACACTTTTATTTCTTGTTGAGACTTATGTTTTTCTACATATTATATACAAATTAGGCCAGTAAATAGGCATTTTCTGGGGCTTGGAACGAATTAATCCAGTTTCCATTATTTCCTATTGGGTTTCATTGCTTCGGTTCTCGAACAATTTGGTTCTCGACCGTTCTCCTGGAACAAATTATGTTCGAGAACCGAGGTATCACTGTATATGATTCCATTTATATAAAATGTCTAAAGCAAAGAAATGTACAGATATAGGAAGTAGGTAAATGGTTGCCTACAGTATGGGGTGTGGGGATGATAGCTAAAGGGCAGGAGTTTCTTCTGAGGCAAAGAAAGTTTCTAAAATTGACCATGGGATGATATGCACATCAGCAAATATACTAAAAACCTCTGAATTGAATACACTTTAAGTGGATGAAATGCATGATATGTAAACCATAGCTCAATAAAGTTGTTTTTTAAAAAGAGGCCTTGGGCCCTGGCCAGTATGGCTTGGCGGTTAGAGTGACAGCCTGTGGACCAAAGAGTCAAGGGTTCGATTCCAGTCAAGGGCACGTACCTTGGTTGCGGTTCGGTCCTCAGCCTTGTTGGGGTGGTGTGGGAGGCAACCAGTCAATGAGTCTCTCTCACATCTACATTTCTCTCTCTCTCCCTCCCTCTCTTCACTCTATCTGAAGATAAATGGGAAAATATCCTCAGAGGATTAGAAAGGAAATGAAAAGTAAGGAAAAGAGAAGAGAAGAGAAGAGAAGAGAAGAGAAGAGAAGAGAAGAGAAGAGAAGAGAAGAGAAGAGAAGAGAAGAGAGAGAGTGAAGAAAAGAAAGAAAAGAAAAGAAAAGAAAGAAAAGAAAAGAAAAGAAAAGAAAAGAAAGAAAAGAAAAGAAAAGAAGAAAAAAGAGCCCTTGGTCCTTTATTTCACTTTTAATTTGCTTCTCTTTCACCCTTCCTTGTATTGCTGCCATGTGCTGGTTACTGTTTTAAAAACCTGTCAAAACCATCAAGTCTTTCATTTTATAAAAGAAGCAAATACTAAAACAATGCAAAGAAAGGAAAATTTAAGGATATTTTTCTCTTCCTGCTGAAAATACATCCCAAATATGATCAGGTTCTACAAATAGGCTACTTCATTAACCCTTTTTAAAAATAAAATTTTGAATAAAACACATATAAAGGGCATTTGGACCTTTCTGAGATAATCAAGAAAATGTGAATAAAAATTAGCTATTAGATGACAGTCAGGAATTATTTATAATTTTGTTAGATGTGATCATTTTTGTCTAGTTTTGTTAAAAACTTTGTTAAGAAGTTCTTACTTTTTTAGAGATATATACAGAAGTATATATCTTTATTTGCTTGAAAAATACAATAACAAAACAGATAAATATGGCAAAATATTAATAACTGGTGAACCTGAGGGATGGGTAAATGGGGGAAGTACTATTTTCCCTTTGTTGAGATATGTTTGAAGTTTAAAGAAAGAAAGAAAGAGTAGTATTCCTTGAGGACAAAGGACATATAAACCACTTTGAAAACCACTTCTAGGGAACAAGGTAGAAAATAGATAAATGGAAATAACAGATATGTAAATAGTGGTTTGCAAATCATAGGCAACATCTTTTATAACAAAATGTTCAAAGAATAAAAGATAATTGGACAACTACTTGCAAAAAAATGAAGCTAGACCACCAACTTACACCATACACAAGAATAAACCCAAAATGGATAAAAGACTTAAATGAAACTTGTGAATCCATAAAAATCCTAGAAGAAAATGTAGGCAACACAATTTCAGACATCATATGCAGCAGAATTTTCACTGATACAACAATAAGAGAAACAAAGGAAAAAATAAATACATGGGACTACCTCAAACTAAAAAGCTTCTGCACAGCAAAAGAAACAACCATCAAAATGAAAAGGGAATCCACTATATGGGAGACCATAATTGCCAATAATGCATCAGATAATGGGTTAATTTCCAAAATATATAGAGTACTCATACAACTCAACAACAGAAAGACAACCCAATTAAAAACTGGTCAGAGGACCTAAAATCTCTCCAAACAAGAAATACAAATGGCCAAGAGACATATGAAAAAATGCTCAAAATCACTAATCATCAGAGAGATGCAAATTAAAACAACTATGAGGTATCACTTCACACCTGTCAGAATGGCCGCCATCAACAAATCATCAAACAACAAGTGTTGGCGAGGGTGTAGAGAAAAGGGGACTCTAGTACACTGCTGGTGGGAATGCAGACTGGTGCAACCACTATGGTGTTACCTCAAAAAGTTAAAAATTGAACTGCCATTTGACCCAGTGATCCCGCTTCTAGGAATATACCCTAAGAAGCCTGAAACACCAATCAGAAAGAATATATGTACTCCTATGTTCATAGCAGCACTATTTACAATGGCTAAGATCTGGAAACAACCTAAGTGTCCATCAGTAGATGAGTGGATAAAAAAGCTGTGGTACGTGTACCCAATGGAATACTGTGCAGCTGTAAGAAAGAAAGATCTCTTATCCTTTGAGACAACATGGAGGGACCTGGAGAGCATTATGCTAAGCGAAACAAGACAAGCAGAGAAAGACAAATATCACATGATCTCACTTATTTGTGTAATATAATTAACTAAACAAACTGATGAACAAAACTGACCCAGAGACATAGAGGTAGGGTACAGACTGACAAACCTCAGAAAAGGGGGTGCTGGGGGGTATAAACCACAAAACTTATATGAATGTATGCATAACCAACGGACGTCGACAACAAAGCTGGTGATGGGATGGGAGGGATGGGGAGGAGGGTGTCAATGGGGGAAAAAGAAGAAACATCTGTAACAAAAACAAATTAATAAAAATTATAAAATATATTTCTTCAAATCTTACTCAGATTATACAGCCGTTGTTAAATGTCAATAATATATGTTTTATTGATATTCAGAAGTGTTGTCTACGGCCATACCACCCTGAACGTGCCTGATCTCGTCTGATATTCAGAAGTGTGCAAATACTAATTCAGGAGGGAATTTTTTTAAAGCATGTAATAGCACACTAAAATCATTTTAATATTACTAAAATACTTACTCTCTAAGACTTGGCTCTTTGAAATTGAGAGGAGTGCACCTTCTTCGTTTTGGCAGCTCTAAAGATAGATCTTCTGACTTATTTTCAGATTTAGCAGTGTTATTTGAAACAAAATTAGTATTTGTCAAGTCCTGTAGTGTTGTTCTACCACCTGAAAAGAATATTATTTTCACAAATATTTGTAAATATATAGCGATATGGAAATAGATATGGGCTATTTATTGGTTTGCAAATCACTAGTAGCAAATTTTTAAACTTAACAATAATCAAATTATAATTTGAATTATAATAATAGTACTACAATTATTTGTAAGTCAGTTTTTCTCCAGCCATAATGTTTTAGCCCACGACATTTAAATTCTGAAATCACATAAAGGCTGATAAAAATTCTTCATAGTTCAATTCTATTCATAGAATCCCACAAATTACTACATTCATTCAACATCTGTCATCAATCGGTCACTCTGTGAAAGGCACCATGAATACAGAGATGAGTATGGCCGGTATGGCTCAGTGGTTAGAGTATCAGCCCTCGAATTGAAGGGTCTCAGGGTTCCATCCCTGGTCAAGGACACGTGCCTGGGTTGCAGGTTCAATCCTCAGCCCTGTTCAGGGTCATGTGGGAGGCAACCAATCGATCTGTCTCTCTCCTTCCCTCCTTCCACTCTAACACCAATGGAAAAATATCCTTAGGTGAGGATTAACAATAACAAAAAAGAATACAGAGTCGATGGCTCACATCCTCCAACAGATCCTGTAACTCTGGACCTTTGCACTTCTTTTGCTTTAGTATTCCTTTTACCTGGAAAAGCCTTCCCCACCCAAATCCTAGTATCCCTAACCTGAAAAGATATCTGCTCCCTCATGTTCATAACAGCATTATTTACAATAGCCAGGACAAGGAAATGACCTAAGTGTCCATGGATGGATAAATGGATAAAACTGTGGTACATAAATACGATGGAATATTATTCAGCCAGATGAAAAGTAAGAAAATCCTACCATTTGTGATAACACAGATGGACCTTAAAGACATTATGTTTGGTGGAATAAGTCAAATAGAGAAAAACAAATTGGTATTATCTTACACGTGGAATCTTAAAAGACAACCAAACTCATAGAAAAAGAGATCAAACTATGGTTACCAGAGGTAGCAGAGGTTGGGAGAATGAGAAATTGGCAGAAGGTTGGGTCAAAAGGTACAAACTTCTAGTTACCAGATAAATATTAGGGGTGTAATGTACAACATGATGACTATAGTTAACATTGCTGTATGATATATAGGAAAGTTGTTAAGAGTAGATCCTCAGAGTTCTCATCACAAGGAGAAAAAAAATTTTTCTTTTTTTTTTCTATATTATATGTATACGATAGATGTTACCTGAACCTGTTGTAATCATTTCATAATATGTGTAAATTAAACCATCATGCTGCATAGACTTATACAGTGATATATGTCAATAATTTCTTAATAAAACTAGAAAAAAAGTCCTGTGTCCCACAGATAATGAAATATTAGGCTCCTGGTAGAAACTTTGATATGCGAATGTTACAAAATTTCTAATAATAAAGGAAAATCCATAGGATCCAATGTTAAGGAGAAAATGTGAGATAAGTAATGTTTTATAGAGAATGATTTCAAGTACGTATTTAAAAATCCGGATTGAAGTCTGCATGCATAGGCCAAAATGTTGACTATAGTTCATCTGGATGATTGTTCTTCCTACTATTTTCTGATTACTACTTTCAATTTTTTGCAGTGAGTGTTATTTTAATAACTGGGAGAAAATGAAAAGTAAACATTAAGGTAAAAATCCTATCTATCCTTTAGGGCCTAAAATGCTACCTATTTCATGATGTCTTTATTGGTTCTAGTCAAAATTACTCCCCATTACATCCCTTAGAATAATATGTGTGCTTCAATTAAAGCATTTACCACTGTATTTGTAACTTTTACATATATGTATTCTGAGGAAAGGGAGTTGCTATTGTTTATTTTTAACCCTCTAAAACACCTATAATATTTTAATCACACTAAATATATACTGTTATCAAAGTCCTACCCTAAAGAAACTTGCAAATGTCTTTGATAAAATCCAGCACAATTCCTTATTATATATATATAAAACACTTAATTTCCTTCAAACATATAAAAGAGGAAATTATCTGCTCAATGACATTATCAGACATCTCTGTGGGAAAGACCAATCTGTTTTTTAGGTTATAAATATCTAAGACATTCTCACTGTTATCTTTCCAAAGTATTAAGCTTTCTTTAAATTCCTTCATATTGTTTCTATAAATCAAGCTACACAGTTAGTTTCTAAATTCCATAAAAATATCGGTTATGCCCAGCCAGTGTAAGCTCAGTGGATTGAGCATTGTCCCATGGACTGAGAGGTCCTGGTTTGACTCCCGGTCAGGGCACATGTCTGGATTTTGGACTTGATCCCTAGTATGGTGTGTGCAGGAGGCAGTCAATTCATGATTTTGCTCGCATAGACATTTCTATCTATCTCACTCTATGAAAATCAATAAAAATATATTTTTAAAAAGTATCAGTTATAACAGTAAATACTTTACTAGTTAAATTTTTAAAAAATACATTTAAAACTTGACCACTTCAGGTATTGACCTACCTATTTCTGATCTTTGTGTTCTTTGGTTGACTTTAAACTTCATCCCTGTCATCTTCTTCTGCATATCATCACTTACTTGAAAGATTGGTGAGCTCTCCAAGGCAAAATTTTCTCTTATCAGATTTTTACTAGAAGAAATACTCAAAGGTCTTGAATGCTCATGAACACTGTTAGGGGAAGAATCTTTTATGCTAGGTGAATATATCTGAGATAAAGAACTAGACACCTTTGTGTAAAAGTCTGGCTTAATTTTCTCATTTTCCAATTTTCTTTCTTCATCAGCTTGTTCAGATTCAACTGATATTTTCTGACTGGTATCAGATATTATCTGCACTGCTTCATGGCTACCTGGAGAAGGATCTATTAATGTCTTCCTTTTCTTTGATTTGGATGTCATTTTATTTCCTCTTTTGACCCGGCACTCTCCTTTTATCACTTCCACAAAGGGAATATCTCTTTTCTTATTCAGAGTTGCAGTGCTTTGTTTTGGCTTCTTATTTGGTTCCATTTGGTTATCAGAATCAGAATCTGCTTCATTAGTAACATGTTTTAAACCTGATTCTGAGGAGAGAGATGTCTGTGAAGAATCTGTTAACTGAAAAATAGGTTTGTTTTTACCTTTTGTCAAAATGTTCTTTGTCTTGCCTGATGATTCTTTCCCATGTTTTTTAACTTGTTTGTAAGGATCTGAAATTAGCTCATAATTTTCCTTCTCATTACTGTTGATTTCCATACAGTATTTATTGATAATACCTTGGCATTCAAGTCTCTGTTTACATTCATTTATTTTAAAATCAAGATCTTTTGTACAGCTTTCTTGGCCATGCAAATCTTTATCATTACCCCTATATATCTGATACATTTCTGAAATTATTTCTGTCTTCCGACTCACTTTCTGCCTAAGCTTCTTATTTATTTTTGAATCATTTTGCTGAGCCGGTTGCGTATCAGTTACATGCTTTTTTAAATCCAACATACTCAGAGTCTCATAGTCATATAAATTTCCATTATCTCTGGAAGAAAAATAAGCTGTTTGAAATTCATTTGTGACTTGTGAGTTTTCAGAAACAGTCTCTTTATCCTTTTGGGTTGGGGAAAAGAAATGACCATTTTCTGGGTCATGCACACCTTTGTTATAAAGCTCATTTATTTGGTTCATTTCTAAAATAATTTCTGTCTTCTGATTTCCTTTATCCCTAAGCCTCTTATTTATTTTTGATTCATTCTGCTTTGTAGGTGGTATATTAGTAACCTGCTTTTTCTCCCCACAAATGTTTCCAGTCTCATAACCACAAAGCTTCCTATTACCTCTGGTGAAAGGATCAACTATCTGAAACTCATTTGAGTCCTCTAGGTTTTCAGGAATGATTTCATTATCCTTTTGGGTTAGAGGAAATAAGTTGCCCCTTTCTGTGTCATGCATATCTTTGTCATCATTCTCATGTATTTGGTTGATTTCTGAAATTATTTCCGTCTTCCGACATACCTTTTGCCTAAGCTTCTTTTCTATTTTTGATTCATTTTGACAAGCAGTTTGCATATCATGGACATGCTCTTTCACCCCTGAAATGTTTTGAGTTTCATAATCAGATAGGTTTCCACCAACTTTAGTAGAAAGGGCAGGTGTTTGAGACTCATTTGGGTTTTCTAGGTTTTCGGAGATGATTTCTTTATCCTTCTGGTTTAGGAAGAAAGGATTACCATTTTCTAGACAATACATATTTTCGTCCTTATATAACGGCTTCACTTCAGAAAGTATTACTGTCTTCCGATTTACTCTCTGCCTAAGATTATTAACTTTTGATTTACTTTGCTGAACAGGAAATGCATTGGTGACCAGCTTTTGCAAACCCAACACATTCTGGGGCTCACAATCACGCAGGTTCCCATTATTGTTGGTGTAAAGAGCAGGTCCTTGAAACTCATTAGAAACTGCTAGGTTTCCAGAGATGACTTCTTTATCCTCTTGGGTTTGGATGAAAAAGTTCTCTTTTTCCGGGCCATGCACATCTTTATCATTATCCCCATATATTTGGTTCATTTCAGAAATTATTTCTGTCTTCCGATTTGCTTTCTGCCTAAGCTTCTTATTTATTTTTGATTCAATCTGCTGAGCAGGTTGTGTATCAGTGACTTGTTTTTTCAAATCCAACATATTTTGGGTCTCATAATCACATAAATTTCCATTATGTTTGGTGGCACGGTCAGCTGTTTGAAATTCATTTGTGACTTCTAGGTTTTCAGAAATGGTTTTAACCTTTTCATTTAGGAATAACTGACCTTTTTCTAAGTTATGAATCACAAATGTCTGTCTAAAAGTTTTATTTTTATTATGAGCTTGAGAACTTTGACCTATATCAAGTTTACTCTCTGGCTGGAATTTATCTGAACTTTGGGAGAAAGAGTAAATTTCCTCTTCCTCACCTGTTATATGTATTATTTTCTTCTTCTTCTTCTTCTTCCTATTGTCTGTACTTTGTTTGTCATCTTGATCTAAGTCATTATGAAGGGTTATTGTCTTTAGTTTGTTCAACTGAGTCAGCTGTTCAGTACTGAAGTCAGAATTTGGGTCTTCTGAATCCTGGTTACCATTTAGGCCAACAGGTCTTTTTTCTGCTTCATTGTCAATCTTTTCTTCTACATTCATTTCTGAACCATTTTTAATTTGTCTTTTTGATCTTTCTTTCTTTTTTTCAGAGCCTGAATCTCTCACTTTTCTGAAAGTTTTGATTCCACAGTCATTTCGTTTTGTATTACTTTTATTTTTAGTGCCTGTTGAAACTGTAACAATTTGGCCTACTACTTCACTAGCAGTTAAATCCATGTCAGCATCATACACAGTTTTCTGTCCCTGAAAGTCATCATCACCCTGAACCTGATTCATGTGCTCTCCAGTAGGTTCACTTACAGACTCAGATGAGTCAGGAAGGCACTGTATGTTTCTTTGAATTTTAATATTCATTTCATTAGTATGATCATTTATCTCATTATTCCAATTTAATTCTGGACTTGAAATCCCTTCTTGATCTAAATCTGTCACACAAGGATTGTCTGCAGGATTATTTGATTCCAGATATGATGCATGCCTTTTCCTTTTAGTTATATTATTAAGAGATGGTTTCTCCTGTCTGTGGTTGATAGACTGAGAATTTTTCATCTCACTCATTACAGAATTCTTGGAACTTTGGTCCGAGTGGGCATAGATTTCTATTAAAAAAGGGAAACAAAATTCAGAAATAAGTAATGACAGGTTTATTATTTTAAACAAATTGGAATAGAACTCAAGCTGTTTTACAGAGAGATTTCTAACAATGTGTTCTGTTCAGATACTCATAATCTATACTGTTAAAAAATAAAGTAGAAATGGTGAGAATAGTTCTAAGTCACATTTTACATTTGTATCTATGAAAAATATATACTGAGAATTCATTCTGCCTTGGCCCCAAGTTAGTAGCATATAGCCAACAGTAGAGCCATGAACATATATTTCTAAAGAGGAGGGGGCCAGCAAAAGACCCCAAATAACAGTGATAACTCTGACAAGAACTACTATCAGAAGGCTATCAGCAAACAGCTAGTTTCTGTAAATTATACATATACACTCACATAAATTTTTAGAAAGGAAAATTAATTCTAAGCTCTAAATTCATTATAGTTATAATTCCATATCTCAATTGGAAAATCTATAGCAAATACATAAGCCAGACTATACTACACAATTATTTTGAAATACCATGTAAATAAAATGTGTCATAATTTTCTCTTGCTCAACAATTATGCATGCTCAAGTTTTTGCTTTACCACTAATTGGTTATGATCTATAAAAAGTCACTATACCTACCTAGGCCCCCAATTTTGACATCTATGAGCAGGAGAAAATAAAACTAATATGGTATCTTTCAATTCATAAGCTAGGATACCAAGAAAAGCTCTTCAGACTGGCTCATTTCTAAACATTGCTTCCAAAATAACAGTATCAGGCCACTGTGGACCTGATATTTGTAGCATATTTACTTTTCTTTTATCCTCACCTGAGGACATTTTTCTATTTTTTGTTCAGATAGAGTGGGAGGGAGAGAGAGGAAGAGAGGGAGAGAGAGAAACATCGACGTGAAAGGGACACATCGAGTGGTTGCCACCCACATGACCAACCAGAGCCGGGGACAAACTGCAACCGAGGTACGTGCCCTTAGCGGGAACCGAACCCGGGTCTCTCTGGACCACAGGCCGATGCTCTAACCGCTGAGCCAAACTGGCCAGGGCTAGCATATTTACTTTTAAATTAAAATTTTCACCAGCAGTTTAAAATAGTAGAAATTAGCAAATCTGTAACATAAGAGATCTAACTTATTAACTGTTTACACACCATAGCTATCAAAAAGAAACCCTGATTACTGTAACTATTTAATACTGATACTCAAAATGAATTTTTTAAAAATCTCACCTTTGGGAAGTATATCAACAATTGAAGAAATATGTTCTGAATCATCTAAACTACACACATTTTGATTATTTTCTTTAAGACACGACAATTCCAAATTATACTGAGTTGATAAAGATTGTCTTGTTGATACCAAAGAAGGAACATCAAGTGATGTCTTTGATATAATAATGTTGTCACATTGCATCTTCACTTTATCTTCTTCTTCATCATCATCATCATCATTTGAAGTTAATGGAACCCTAAAGGCAAGTGGGAATAAATGAAAAATTTTGTATTTTACAAAAATTATGTAGAAAATTACATGGATAGTTCTTTCTATATTCTATTTATTTAAGATTCAACCACAAACCCCCTCTGGTACCTTATTGTGTTCAATGAAGACAATTACAAGTAGGAAATAGGTAGTTTCTAATAGTACATAACTTGGAGTAAAACAAGAATGCTTATCTTCACAGCCCCAGTGGGCCCAAAAGGAGATAACTGGCATAATCACTGGTTGGACTATTAGGATAATAATAATGAAATAAATAAAGTTCAAATATACTTTTAAACACTCATATATACATATACATATATATTTATTTATAGTTTTCCTATAATCAATTTTATGGAATACCCAAAACTCTTCCTCTAGTTTCAAACAAGCACAATTGTATGGAAAGTTATGTGTGAAATGAAGTTTGCTATTTCCAAAAGACATCTATGTAAACTAAAGCCATAATGAATTTTTTAATCCCAATGAAAATTCCAGAAGATAATGTGTATGTCCATGTGTGTTATGTAAATTGACAAGTTGATTCTAAAATTCACATGGAAATGCAAAGGGCAAAGATATTATTCATGTACAGAAACATAAATAAATGAAATGAAAATTCACACTACCAAAGAGCAAGACTTAGAATAGCGAGTTCAGAAACAGACATATACACATCAGGTCACCTGCCTTATGATACAGATGATATTGCAGTGAGGTGGGGAAAAGACAGTCTTCTCTAAATAAATGGCGAAGGTCAGTAGGATTTCCACATGAAAAAAATAACGACCCTTCCCTCACATTATACCCCAAATTCTAGGTAGACTAAATGTGATAGGGAAAATAATAAAGCTTTAAAAAAAAAAAAAATAGGAGAACACATCATGACCTTCAAATTAGTAAAACTTTTCTTAAAGGGACACAGAAAGTAGTAACCATAGTGAAAGGGGGATTAATAAATATAACTATATAGATATATAAAATCAATTTTAAAAAGAATTTTGTTCATTTAAAAACACCATTAAGAAAGTGATGATGCAAACTAGAGTAAAAGATATTTGTAATGCACAAAGAATTTATATATAATGTATTTAAAAACCTGTAAATCTTTAGAAAGATGATAGATAATCCAATAAAAATACATATAGAATGTTTAAATTCATTAATTATCAGAAAAATTAAAATTAAAACCTCAGTATAATACCAGTATATATCCTCCAAATGGCTAAAATGAAAGAGACAATTACAAATGTTATTAGAGGTACATAACAGCATGAATTCTCATATATTGCTGCTAGAAATATAGACTGATATAAACCCTTTAGGAAAACTGTTTGGCAGTTTCTCCTAAAGCCAAATACTATATATAAACCCAGTAATTCTTCTCCTAGGTACATACCCAACATAAACGTGTACATACATTTCAAAAGGCATATACATAGCAGCATTACTTGTTATAGGCCAAAACCAGGAAAAAAGTAAATGGTCACCATTAGAAAGATGGAGAAATCATGGTATAATTATTCAATGGAATACTACAGAGCAATGAGAATAACTGATCTATAACTCCATTCACTGATCCAGATGAATCTCACAAACACAATGCTGAACAAAAGAAACCAGAGACAAAATCTTATCTACTATATGATTTCAATATATGAAATTCAAAACTAGGAAAAATTAATTATCTATGATATTAGATATCAGGATATTTATCCTGGAGTGGGTGGTGAATAGTGACTAGAAAGTCCAAAGGAGTACTTGAGATACTACTGGTAATGTTTTGTTTCTTGGTCTGGGTATTGGTTAAACAACAGTGTTTACTTATAAAAATTCACCACCCTCTAAAGATTTCTACACTTTTCTACATGTATATTATACTTCAAACAAAAATGTACTTAAAAATACAATGAAATTTTATAGAGGGCAAGTCTGACACTTGATTTGTATGTTTTCATAAAACAATGTGTGCATAATGATAGCCAGGATATTTTTGGAAAAAACAAACAAACTAAGTAAAGGAACTACAAGGCAACAAAATGTACTATTTAAAAACTACAGCAAGGAAAAGGAACCAGTGCAATGTGGTACTAGTACAGCATAGTAGGCAAAACAATGCTGTACACTAGAAAGAGTAGAAAGTAAGAGAGTATATACAAGAATTTTTTTACTATGCTACAAATAACATTCAATATATAAGTACATTTACTTGTGCATTTAGATAAAAGCAATAAACCTTTAAGTAATATAACCAAAATAACATTGTCTAAAAGACAAGAGGATTTTAATCAATCCTATTAATTCATTGAGTCATTCTACCTCTCTAGACCTCAGAGACTGTTTTTAAGATAACGGGTTTGAAATAAGGTGTTTACTATCAATAAGGTGTTTATAATCAAATTAATCAAGGAATTAAAATTTTGGTCAGGACAATAACAACAATTAAATTAACTTTAAATCTTGGGCAGTATACAAGTTACTAAAGGTTGAAAAAATGATCAGATTTAGCCAAACAGAAAACAAGTCCAGTGGTGACCTGGGGGAAAAGAAAGAAAAGAACTAAAGAGTAGTAGGATATTAGAGATGAACTTAGTTACTGAAGGAGGGTAAGATTCTTCAGAGCTCTGAAGATACAATCTGAGCAACACTGTATAAACCATCTCATTTCTACCTTAGTAGGCAACTATAGGTTGATAATACCCAAACATTATATAACACACACAATTATTGTGTTATATACAAATCTAAGTACATACTCTGAATCAATGTAATTTAAACTCATATAACTAAAGGTCTACATGTGCCTCTTTCTTCTCTAGAGTCTATGGAAAAGCTGAATATTATTTCAAAATATATAACTAAGTTCTATTATATTATGTCTTTATTTTATTGGTACAATGTTAACAAAGTATTTCATTATTTATTTTTAAATGTTTTTCTATGTTTGAAGGAAGTGAACCAAATAAAAACTTTCAAAGTTCAATTTAGGAGTACCCAAGTTAATATTTAACCAAGTTTTGAAGCAATTACCTTGCAAATGGAAGACGCATAGACTTGCACTGTTTACTAACCCGTTTATTCTTGCTGGCTGGCAGTAGAAAGGGACTCTGATGGAACTATTTTTGAAAAAAATAAAATCCACAATAAATTAAAAGGAACAAAATTTCTAATCTCATTAAATCATGTTTGTTATTAAAGCACCAAATTATACAAGAATACCAATAGCAATAGAACAATTCTTGCATTAGTCTTTAACAGTTCAATAATAACATGATAAGGTTAAACACAGTTCAACCTTAATCATGCTATCCAAAGGTAATCATCACTAACATTTTGGTATATAACCTCCAGAGCAGAGGAAAAAAAAATCTAAATTCTTTTTTTTTTTAATATTTTTTTTGTCCTCACCCGAGGACATTTTTCCATTTTTTGTTCAGATAGAGTAGGAGGGAGAGAGAGAGAGTGAAACATCTATGTGAAAGGGACACATCGAGTTGTTGCCACCTGCACAACCCTACCAGGGCCGGGGACAAACTGCAACCAAGATATGTGCCCTTAGTGGGAACCGAATCCGGGTCTCTCTGGACCGCAGGCCGACGTTCTAACCTCTGAGCCAAACCCGCCAGGGCAAAAAAATCTAAATTCTTTTATGAGTTCAGCATATATATTATCTTTATGAATGCCTGAAGACTGTACAAAAAAGAAAACTTCAAAGAAACCTCATTTATGAACAATAAAAAATTCCTAAACAAAATACTGGAAAAAAGAACTGAGCAGTACATTAAAAAAAAAAAATCATTTCTGAAGTTTATTCCAGAATTGCAAAATTAGGAAAGCTACTAAGATAAGTCATCATATTAATACACCTAAAAAGAAAGACCATATGATCATCACCATAGGTGCTAAAAAGTATTGTAAAAATAAAGATAGGGACGAAAATGAGATAGTAGTTTTGGGTGGAGGGTATTAAGTGGAGTAAGAGTTTCTTTTTTTTAAAGATGGGAGATAACATCTTTGCTTCTAAAACCAACAGCAAAGACAACTCAAGTGTCCAACAAGATTAGAAGTCCATTCTAGATCTATCCTAAGCAGCACTTAAAAAGAATAAGGAAACATCCCTGTGATCACATGGAGAGATCTTCAAGACATGCCACATAAAAATGTAAGGCATAAAATAAAATGCTATCTTTTGTAGAAGAAAGAAGATACTTAAAATATGCTTTTGTCTTAATATAACAAACAAACTAAAGCAGTTACTTGCATGAAGTATAGAGAACAGAGCAGAGAGTGAAGAACAAAGTAGCTGGAGACAGCACAGAAACATGTGTGAGATGCTGTTCTATACTTTTTAATATTGTTCTGATATAGGAACCACTGGTCTATATTACCCGTCTTCCTCCCCTCAGCCAACTAAAAACAAAAGGAATTTCAAAACCTGGTGTGCAAGTTAGTCTGTTAAATAATAAGTCCAAGAAAATGGACACTAAAGTTGTATGCTGTCCCTTTATCCTTCAGCTTCTGCATCTACTTAATCTCTGATTTTCAATTTTCCTGAATCCAGATGCTGATCTCAGCCCTCTTCAAGTTCTCCAAAGAGAACCATACAAAACACATCTGAGAACAAAGTTGACTTTACTAAAGAATTTTAAAGGGACAATGGAGAGAAGGACCTTTAAGTCATATAACTCACAACAAACCAGTTGAGCAACATTTTAGGGCTATCTGTTCAGCAAAGCAAAACCTACTCCCTGACTTCCCTTACCCATCCACTCAATGAAAACTTTCTCTTTTCCAAAGTTCCTTGAGATGTTATAATATGACCTTCTCACCTTCCACATCTTGCCAATTAGCTTCTTTCTCTTACTCTCTAAGTCAATTGCTGCATTGACTCTATACTCCCCGCTGCTATATCTGACTTTTAGTAATTTATTCAGAGGTGTTGTGCCTTACACATTTAGCACCCTCTAAGGTTGACGTAGGTATCAAATTTATAATACTAGTTACTACACTTCCTTTAATCATTATTCCATAAGGACATTTCCACAAATCCTTTTTGCATCCAAATGTGGATTAAGTTAGATAATAAAGTACCTATTCTTTGGCTAGCTTTTATAAAAAATTCTGAAGGAACTAAACATTGACCACCTAGGTTGAAAGAGTTCATATCTTCTTACCACCAAGACTGTGCATTTAAGAGACTTATAAATGACTTTTAAAAGTTTTTAAGAGAGATTTGCAGAAAACTTGGAAAACACACAGACAACAGTGTGGTGAAGGTCTGGAAACATTCCCTGTGATCATATTGGGGTGGGAGCGGGGTAGTAGGGGTCAATGAGGGAAAAATGGGGGCACATCTGTAATACTTTCAACAATAAGATAGAGTAAAAAAAAAAGTAATGATAGCTAACATTTATTACACGCATCCTATTGCCAGAATACATGCTAGCCACATTTAACTCTTACACTAACTCTCCATTACTCACACCACGCAGATGACACTGAGGTTCTAAGAGTTTAAGGCCAAGGTCACAGAACCAGAAAGTAGCAGAGCTGGGATCTATATATAGGAAATCCCATTTAAAAAGCTACCCTCTGAAGCACTAAACTATCTCCAGAGCTATCAAATTTACCTACAACTGGGACTTCAGTGACCTTTCCCCAGTTTATGTATCATGTATATTTTGCTTTCTCAGTAGTTATTCATTCAAAAATTATTTTTCTTTTTTTATATAACTGAGTTAATTTCACTAATATTTGGTCCTTCTCCCTTCCTGTTTTTTATTATTAATTTTATTTCTTTGTGCTAGATTATGAAAGCTTTTAAACTATTAGTATCAATGGTTTATCTGTCATATGTTTAACTGTCCCAGTCTGCAATTTACATTTTATTTTCATAATTTTTAGCCTTCTAAATTTTTTTTACAAAATCCATCAATAACTTCCTTTGTGGTTTCTATCTGTTTCTATGCATAGAAAAGGCCTCTCCTACCTAATGTGAATCCATTTGTATTTTCTTCTCTTTTTATGATTTCTTTTTTTTAACCTTTAAATCCATCTCTCTCTCTCTCTCTCTCTCTCTCTCTCTCTTACAAATTATAAGAGAAAGTTTATTTAGAAAGTTGCAGAGGTAGTAGAAGTGAGCCAGTTGGGCTATGTGGACTCAGGAAACGAGTTACAGAAGCAAAAGGAGGGCCTTTGGAGCTTAGGAGAGATAAAGGCAAAGGTAACGTGCCTGAGGGAAGAAGGGGGAAGGGAAAGGCTGGGACAGGCTCCTGAGAGGGAGAGCCGCCTGTCCATCTTTTCTTAATACAAATTCTTTCCTAATTTAAAATGCTACCTTTTACCTAATGTCTTTCATGTTTTTAAAAATGTTTAGGGGCCATTAGGTTCCACTGAGCTGTCTAATCCTGTGTTATTTTTAATCAAAACCTAATTTTTATATGAAAATTACAATAAGCAATTATACTAAATGATAATGTTCTGTTAGCCTGTTAAAATTAATAGTATAATCATTTCTTTGCAAAAAGTTTATGATATAAATCTCTAATCTTGATGCTACTTAACTAACCTCAATTATTCTCAGTAATGCTAAAAAACTGCACTACTTATACACATTCTACTTACCTCAGAAAGAGTGCTCATTTCAATTGCAGTGATCAAGTTATTGTTCATGTGTGCTTCTATTTCTATAAGCTTCTTATTCTGCATAAGTAAAAAAAGATCCCTTTAATCAATTAAGATTTGGAATTTATTAAATCATATACTTATGAATACAATCAGTTGAGAAGACTTAGAAAATAACTGAGATAACATTGGGCTAAAAATTTAGGTTATGTTGAGCTAAAAAGGTACTACCTTGTACAGTTCAAATAGCCATACACACATTTTGAATGCTTTTAAACTAACAATCATGTAAATTTTTCTACAAACATTTTTCTTTCTTCTTATAATAATGCATTACATAACAAGTGAACATAGTTTGTCAGCCACAGGAAATTAACCCTCAAGTGTAGTAGGTCATTTGTCCATTTTTAAATTAATTTCTACTAATTTTAGATTTAGATCTATAGTTGCAGCCTAGCAAATCATGGGTCTTACTGCCCTGTCTTTGGACAGAGTTGGAAATTGGAAGGTAAAGCATCAACTACACTCTTCATTCTATTTGGCTTGTAGCCAGTGAAATGCTGGGCCGAAAGGAGAATACAAGCACTCTGGGAACTCCCCTCCTTTCCATTCACTGAAGGAATTATGTCCATCTTGGTAAAATGTATTAATCACAAAGCTTTCCTTATGGTAAGCAATCAAAGGTTAATCAAGGTATTATACTGGTTTGCAGAGCCACAGGTACACACTTAGAATGTAGACTTTACCTATTTTATTAGTTATGCCCATAAACATGGCACATTCTTACAATGATTTTTTATAATAACTGGAGATTTGAAAAACATATTTAGAGCTTCTATAATAATATAATTAAGATTTTAGTTGTAATTTAGGATTCAAACACAATATAGTTTCCATACCAAATTATTTAGCTTTAGGCGAAGAAATGTGTTCTCAAAATTCAGTTTTTCCACTTCTTTTTGTAATAACATCTTTTCAGTTGTCATTCTTCGAGAATTCTCTTTCTCTCTACTAAGAGCCTGAGCTAATGCCCTGTTGTTGTGCTTTAAAGATATTTTGAAAATAGAAGAATTGTCTGTAAGAAAATTGTAATGGTTAATATTGAACATATACCTTAATAAATTTTCATATTCCTTAATAAAACTATTAACAAAATGCATTTCACTTTATAAGTTTTAACTGAAGGTTTGAAAATAAGGGAATGTCAATACAGATGTAGTTTTGAAAAAAAAAGGACTTAGAGTTTGGAACTGAAGAAATAAAAGCAGATAGATGATGAATAAGAGACGTGAGGAATGCAGAATGTTTGTGGATACAGAGTTAGGAATAAGAGGACACGTCTATAGACAAAGCACTCTAGATAATTAGATCAGTCACAAAAACTAAATTTTGACACCTGCTGCCCTACCTTCCTTTCTGCCTTTGACTAGGAGGTAGAATGGAGAAGCTGATCCTGTAGCTCTAACTGGAGACGAACCATAGAAATTAGGGAGGTCAATCTGTGAAAAATTTAAAGCCAGCTTCGGTGGCTCCTGAATTGAACAAATTAGTCAATGCTCCCAAAGTCCATTCAAAACCCCGAGTGAAAGGGAGCATATTTACCATAATGTTGGATAGCTCATCTAAATCCTGTGGAATATTCTACCTCTACCCCAAATATCCTACACCTCTTACATGTGAGCATCTACTATAATCTAAACCCGACCCCTTCATTTTACAAGCACTATGTAAACATTAATTTAAATCAGAAATGCTTTCCTGTTGTTAGGAAATTTAATTGCAAATTCCTTGGTAAATCTCACCTTAAATATAGTGTGGTCCCTTTGTACACTAAGAGCATACTCATATTTTCATAATTTTGATTTACATGCCACTGAACAAAAGTGTAGTGTATGTAAAAATGTTTATAAAAGAAATAATATTTTTAAATACTCAGGGAAAGTCTGGGCATCTAAAAAACAGGGTCCAAAAGAATACTTTATCTTTGGCACATAGACAGCCACCTCTGACATAGCAAATGGAAATAGACTAGAACCAGTTTAGGACTTCCACAAACTAAAGGTTAATACCATTTTCCTGGTGCAGTCCTCAAACTCAGTACATTCCTTCATAACAGTAGTTGTGCAATGGTCCTGCCAAAGAGAATAGGAAATAGCCACTATAGGAGGTGGTCTAACATACTACATGGCCCTAGAGACCTGGAGAGGAGCAACATTATGATTTAAAGATATTCACACTTATCCTTGGCAGGTGCCTTCCCCACTCCTGCTAAGGTGGGTATGAACCATTGAGATAATTTTCTAAAGTAATGAAAATTTATCTTGGGGAGTTTTTCCCATTTCTGCCCACCCCCACCCCGGCCCCACCCCTTCCCACTTCTGACATCTTAATTCCAAAATCCATGAAATGCCATCTCTAAAGTGCTCAGTGCCCTCCTTAATGAGCTTTGGCTACATAAGATCACTCACTACAGCACCCTATCTGGGCCAAACCCTCTAGGTTACTCATCATCCAATTGCTACAGCATGCCAAAACAATCTCCCACTTTTTTAGCTCTTTTTTAGGAATGTCCCATTGTTCTTTCCTGGCCATGTAGGAAGTAGCTACCTTAGGCTGCACTGGGCTCACTGCTGAAAATTCAGCTGTCACCACTGAGGGTAAATCATCAAAACTACTCAACTAATAGGAGTTGAAGGAAATAGGAAGAATTGAAAGAAAAAAAAGTGTCAGTTAACAAAAAGTTATTTTAGTCATTTTCTATATTTGATGAAATAAAGTACCAAATACTCTTATCAGTTCTCCAGGGAAAAATAAACATGTAAGTATACTTTAAAACCAATGGCACTTACTTATTATTTTTGTTTTGATTTTGGAGGCAAGAGAAACATTCAATTTAGCAGTCTTTGACATTCTTTTGTCTTTCACATTTCTTTTAATTCCTGAGGTAAAAAGTGATCCAGTTTCTGTCATTGGATACTCCATCACTGAAGAAAAAAAAAAGAGGAAAGAAGGAGAGAAGGAAGGAAGGCAAACAATCAATCATAGTATTGATTAATAAAAGAAAAAGAGTAACTAATAAATACATTCTAAAAAGTAACAATTATGACAAATGATATAATTTGTACATAAGTATTTACAAAACCCTCTGTATAAAATCTGAAAGTATGAATGTAATCAAAAGTGGTTTAAAGTAGAATCCAAGAAAAAGGTAAATGACTTTTTCATTTAAACCTGTATTATTTTATCTACATGCCAGGAGCTAGGCTAGGCTGGGAACAGAAAACAGGATATGAATGCATAATTATAAAAAAACAAACAAACAAAAAAGCCCTGGCCAGTTTGGCTCAGAGGTTAAAGCATCAGCCTGCGGTCCAGAGAGACCTGGGTTCGGTTCCTGCTAAGGGCGCGTACCTCGGTTGTAGTTTGTCCCCAGCCCTGGATGGGTCGTGTGGGTGGCAACCACTTGATGTGTCCCTTTCACGTCTATGTTTCTCTCTCTCCCTCCCACTTTATCTGAATAAAAAATGGAAAAATGTCCTCAGGTGAGGATAAGAAAAAAAAAAAAAAAAAGAATGCATAATTATGAAATGCATAATCTAGTGTGGGTACAGGCACTTTATGATACGATGTACAAAGTGTAACCTTAGAGATATGCACAGAAGAGATATGCCTAATTGTATTTGGGGACTGGGGTTGGAGGAGTAGGCAGGACATCTTAAACTTGCCTGTTTATCTATTAGAGTTACAGTCTATTTGATTTTAAAGTCTGACAGTGGAAACAAGGTCATTACATTATGACAAGAATAATGGATATAATACACCATGCATAGAAAGTGATAAACTCTGCCTGGTCTAGGGAAAAGGATTAGAAAAGGTTTTACTTAGAAAATACAGTTGATGTTGAGCCATATACTCAGACAAGACCAACCTCCAAGCCCCCATTCCCTTCCTCAAATCTCCCTGCCTCCATCTGCAGAGATCTAGAAGAAACCCTGTCACCTGCATTTGCCTAACACCTAATACTCAGCCTCTCCACCACTACCTACCCATTGAGCCCACAAAACTAATCTCACTATGCCCTCTACGGCAATCACCACAAGACTCCCCAGATTCCCAGGTCACCCTCATCTCCCTCACCTTATCCATCTCCAGCTCTGTATATCCTCATGTGGTCCTACAATAGAGTGAAAAATGGTCCCCCAAAGATATCGGGTCCTAATTCATGTCATTCTAAACCGAATGTGGAAAAAGGGTCTTTACAGATGTGATTGAGGATCTTGTGATAGGGAGATTATCCTGGATTATCTAGGTAGGCCCCCAAATTACATCATTAATATCTTCACTGGAGAGAGGCAGAGATTGAAGTGATGTGGGCAGAAGTCAAGGATTGCAGGCATCTACCAGAGGTGAAAGAGATAAGGAATGAATTCTTAGAACTTCCAGAGGAGTGCAGCCCTGCAGACACCTTGATTTCAGTTCAGTAATACTGGGTTTGTATTTTTGGCCTCCAGAATTGTGAGAAAATAAATTTCTGTTGTTTTAAACCAGCCAGTTGGTGGTAATTTTTTACAGCAGTCACAGGAAATAAATATAGTCTCCATATCTCACCTTTGCCCAACTCGTAAAGTCCTCTGGAGCTCACAATCCATCAAAACCTCTAGCCTCAATCTCTTCCCTGAGCATTCCTCTCATCTTCTTGAACCCGCCTCTCTCTCCCAGGACCATGTGTATTTCCCTGCAGTCCTATCGGGTGTTGATCATTTTTTCTCCTATAGCCCTCCTGAAGGGTGGCACCACATTCATACTGGCAGACCATTCATCCTCCCTCTTCCCTAAAAACTCCCCAGCCTTGAATGTAATGTCATTAGACTCTATTATCCTCTTAACTCCTTGGTGCTATTGCCAACTACCAACTCTTGGGTCACTCCTCTTAAGTAGATAATTCTATATCCTGGCTCACTGTTACTCTCTGAGAACAATGAAGCGACCTGCAGAGGACTCTCTAAAAATTCCAATTGCAAATACCTACTCATTATCATCTGTATTTGTCCATTTGTCCTCTCTCACATTATTATCCTCACACTATCTATCCTTCCATTTAAGGCCAAGCTTGCCTTACTTAGTTAGGGGTCTGTATACCGGATCTCATACTTCCTGCCTCCTCAAAAACATAACTCCAACAATTCTCTCCTCTACATCATCAATTTTTTCCTTCTCCACTGGATCATTCCCAACAACATATAGACATACTGCTACTTCCTTCATCCAAAAAAACTCTCATTTGTTCCCACTTCATCCTTAGTCTACCACTCTGTTTCTCTGCAGCTCTTTATTGCAAACTCCTTGAAAGAACTGTCTATACTCACAGTTTCCAATTCTCTTGCAAACCTACTTCACCCAGGCTTTCACTGACTACTCCCCATTAAAACTGCTTTGCCAAAGCTTCTAGTGACCTCCACACTGCTAAATAGTCTCTATTTTTCTCTATTTTTTCCCATAGCATTTAAATCATTATCTAATATACTATAGCATTTACTTATTGTCTGCCTTCCCCAACTAGAATTTATTCATTGTCTATCTTCCCTATTAGAATTAAAGTTCCCCAATTTAAGTTCCATAAGGTCTGTTCTATTCACTGATACATTGCCCAACTCATAGAACGGTGTCTGAAAAATAATACAAACACAGTAAATATTTGTTGAATGAATAAATAAGTCTTAAATATGAAGACTTTGGCCCTGGCCAGTCTGGCTCAGCAGTTAGAGTGTTGGCCTGCGGATCAAAGAGTCACAGGTTCGATTCCAGTCAAGGGCACATACTTCGGTTGCAGTTCAGTCCCCTAGCCCTGGTTAGGGTCATGCGGGAGGCAACCAATTGATGTGTCTCTCTTACATTGATGTTTCTCTCTCCCCCCCCCCCCCATTCTATCTGAAGATAAATGGAAAAATATGCTCGGGTGAGGATTTAATAAAAAAAGAAAATAAAGATTTTTTCAGGTATGAAGATTAGAAAGGGTATTCTAGAACAAAGGACGGGCATATGTAAATGCATGAAAATGAAACATTTAAGAAAATATGAGTGATCTCTTGATGCTAGAGTGTTACTACCCTATTTGCGTTTCCCTTTATAGCAAAACTCCTTTAAAGAGTCATCTATACTTGCTGTCTCCAATTCATCCCCTCCTATTCTTTTGATCCATTCCAATCAAGTTTTTGCTCTCACCACTATTATATGCAAATTGATCATTAAAGTCACTAAACTCCTGTGTTGCTAAATCAAAGGCACTAGTCAAAAGGTCCATTTCCCCTTTTACTTGGTCTATGTATAGTATTTAATATCTAGCATGTCATTTTCTCCTTAAAATGCTTTCTTCAGCTGGCTTCCAAAACACCACATTCTCTTGGGTTTTCTCCTTCCTTATTAAATACTTCTTATAAATCTCTTCTGCAACTTATTCTTTAGCCCTCTAACCTCTTATTGGAATGCTTCAGAGCTCAGTCTTTGGGTTTCACCTATTTTCTATCTATATATATTCCTTTCGGGCTATCATCCAGTATGTGTCCTGACTTTTAAATTTAAATGCTATGCCCCGGCTGGTTTGGCTCAGCAGTTGGAGTGTCAGCCTGCGGACCAGAGAGTCCTGGGTTTGGTTCCCGCCAGGGGCACATACCAAAAAAAAAACAAAAAAAAAAACTTAAATGCTATGATGTGCAAATTTATATCCCAAATCAACTCCATACTTAGTCATCCAATTGCCTACTCCTCATCTCCATCTTGAATGTCTAATATGCACCTCAAATTTAACATGTCCTAAAATACCCTCCTCCCCACCCAAACCTGCTCCACTGTGTCCTCTCCTTCTCACCTAATGACAACTCCAAACTTCTAGTTGCTCAGGTCAGAAACCTCTTCTCTCAAATCACATATCTACTCCAAGTCATGCTGGTTTGACTTTCACAACATAGCCACATGGGCCACTTACCATTATTTCTACTGTTATCACTCCGATCCAAGTTGCCATTCCCTCTCATGTACACCATTGCTAGCACTGCCTAAATGGTGTCCCTGCTTTCACCTTCTCCCCTACTATCTATTCTCAACCATGTAACTGAAATGATCCTTTTAAAACAAGTAAATTCATGTCACTCCTCTGTTAGGAACCCTCCAGTGGCTTTCCATCTCACTCAAGAGTCATAATCATTGCAATGGCCTATAAGGTACTACACTATTTGATACTTCTCCCCTCCCCCAATTCTCCATCAGCATCTCTCTGACCTCTTCACTACTCTTCCTTTTGCTCACTAAGCTCCAGCCACACTCTCCACCTTGGCATGCTCCCACTGCAGAACCTTTGTATTCCTTTTTTCCTTTGTCTCACTCTTCCTTCAAATAATCCCAGATTTACTCACTGCCTTCAAGTCTTTCCTCTCAGTGACCCTTCCCACACCAAACTATTTAAAAATGCACACCTAGCCCTGGCCGGTTTGGCTCAGCGGTTAGAGCATCGGCCTGCAGTCCTGAGAGACCCGGGTTCGGTTCCCGCTAAGGGCATGTACCTCGGTTGCAGTTTGTCCCCAGCCCTGGTTGGTTGTGCGGGTGGCAGCCACGCGATGTGTTCCTTTCACATCGATGTTTCTCTCTCTCTCTCTATTCCTCTCTCTCCCTCCCACTCTACCTGAACAAAAAAATGGAAGAGTGTCCTCGGGTGAGGATAAAAAAAAATTAAATAAAATAAAAAATAAAAATAAAAATGCACACCTAACCCCACTTCGCTTCCTGTGTTTTTTTCTGCCATTAACAATGTCTAAGATAAAATTACATATTCTTATTTATTGTCTGTCTTCTCCTACTAAAATGTTAAGTTACATGAGGGCATAGATTTTTGTCAGATTTGTTTGTTTCTGTACTCCCAGTGCCTAGAAGAGTGACTGGCACACAGCAGCTACTGGATAAATGTTTGTTGAAGAAATGACTATGGATAAATGGAATAGATTTCTAATAGTAAAAACTGCCCAATATTGGAATGAGTCTCCTTTGAAAGTGTTGAGCAGATGTTGAGAAATATCAAAAAAATAATAGTAAGATGATTGTAGAAGAAATATCTCAATGGGGAAGAAATTGAACTAGGAACCTTTCAATACTAAGGCTCAATATTTCTTCTAACAGTTTTGCCAAAAAGAATTTTAAGTAAAATTAAAGATCATCATCTACTCCACAGATAGTAGAACACAGAGAACACAGGCACACACAGAAACTCCACGTAAATTGTTGCATCTTACACATACCTGAAAGGGATCTTAACATAGAAATCTAGTCCATTTCCAAAAAATCCAGTCAGGAAGATCTTATTTCATTTTACTAAGTAGGAAACCACAGCTGAACAGCTCTCCCCAGTAAGTGGTTCTTGGTTCCTTAACTTAATAAATGGCACTATCACTCACCAACCCAAATGCTCGTGCCCGAAATCAGAGAGCCTTCCTCAACAGTGCCCTGTCAACACTTTAGGAGCCAAAGCCAGGCCCCCAGAGTGGCATTTCAGGGTGACTTACAATACAGACTGAGGTATTTTAAACAGTGGTTGGGCTGTGTTGGAGTTCCAGTTCCAACGTGTCATAGCTATGTGATCTTAACATCTCTAAGTCTCATTTCCAGATTTAGAAAATTACAGAAAATAAGGGAATCTCATTGTAGGGAATAACAACCAACGTATACACAGTGCCTAGTATTGGATCCATATAGCCGACTTTCACTAATATTATCTAGTTACTATTAGTCTGGAGCTCTTATCTGACCAGCACCTCAGCTTATCTCTAAATCAGAAATACTCACTTCTACATCCAATTCCAAACTGGACCCCTTCCCTACAAAAATCATCATCTCTGTTCCCGACGGGAATACTACCTGTACATCAAGACTCAGGTCAAGTTCTAGTTCTGGTTCTTCCCAGTCCCATCACTCCCCCGCCTTCAGCCAGCCTCCCTTCCGAAGGAGCACTCCAAGGAGAGGACTCCGCAAACACTTGGGTGGGCAGACGCTCACGTTCACTCGGCCGACGTTGGTCTGTCGCACGGCGGGCTGGACGCTGTTCTACAGGCGGGGGCGGGGCAGACAGACCGAAACCCCTTCCTTCAAGGAGCTCCCCTTCTGACGGCGGCTCACCCAGCCGGCCGGTCTAGACCCAGGGACCAGAGGCAGCGATTTAGATGCAAACCAGCTACTCCCCCAACAAGCCCGGCCGAGAGGGCTCTGGGGCCTCGGTTCCGAAAGCCAGAGGGCGGAGGGTGGGCGTGACCGCCGGGGGCGCGGGGCTCCGCGGACCGAAGGCTACACTGGGAGCTTCGGCCCGGATCCCGCCAGACAGGGGACCGCCATACCCAAAGTCACAGGTCACTGACTTACCGCGTTTTCAGCGTTGGGGGACCACCACCCAGCTTCGGGAGCTCCGCGCCCTGGGGTAAGGCTCCGGTTTAAACTCCACAGCCGTTGGCGGTTGCCCCATCAGCCAATCAGGTCCCAGGTAGGCGGCTCAAAGGAGAGCGGCACCAGGAAGTGGGAGGCGGAAGAGGCGGGGCCCGAAGGGGCGTGGCCAGGAGAGCCTGCGGAAGGGAGGTCCCGCCGGCTGGATCCCCGGTCCTTGGCCTGTCGTCAGATGCATTGAGGAAAAAATTACCTCTATCAACCAGATGTCTGAGAGGCCTGGCAGCCGCCTGAAGTCAGTTCGAAAGGTTTTGTTTACGACTGTGAGACTGCCCACCCACATACCATTTCTTCTGCTTCTTTACCCTGTGAAGCCGGCACTGTCACTTGTCACTTAAAAGCTCTCCTCATTTTTCTGTTAACTTTCTGAGGAAAGAGCGGCAATGAAATTTCGTTGAAAATCCTGGCTCTCATAAATATTTAGGCCTTGTACTGATAGTCTGTTTTAGCTAAATATACAAGAATGGCATTTTCCATTATACACAAACTACATTTAAGTCATATATATGTTGTATGCGCATTATATATGTAATATATATGCTATATATAATATGTTGTGTGTGTAATATATATGTTATTATATATAGTTTCCTCGTTTGTAAAATGGAGGTTAATAATAGCATCCAATATATTTTTTATGATTGTTCCAATCAACGGACCCTTTTGTTCAAGTACATTAATATTGCTTTCTCTCTGACTCATTTTGTAGCTACAACTTCAAAAACAAAACAAATAGAAAAAGGGAGATAGGGCAGTCAGAGGTAGGAAAGATATTAATTATATATATGTATATATATATCACTTTATGTTCCAAGAGAATTGACTTAGTTTCCTTTCACAGGTGTCTTTCATAGTCTTTTCAAGTAATTTGGAGAAACTATTCAGAGAATAAAATTTTCTCTCTATGCCGTTAGACTGAAAATGAAAATAGCTTGTTAAATATAGGTCTTAATAATTGATTATATAGCCCTGGCCAGTTTGGCTCAGTGCTTAGAGAGTCGGCCCACGGACCTATGAGTTTCGTGTTAGATTCCGATCAAGAGCACATACCTTGGTTGCAGTTCATCCCCGGCCGGGGACGGGGTCGTTGGGAGGCAGCTGGTTGATGTGTCTCTCTCACATCAATGTTTCTCTCTCTCTCTCTCTCTCCCCCCCCCCTCCCTCCCTCCCTCCCTCTGTATTGGAAGAAAAATGAAAACTTATCCTCCAGTGAGGATTTAAGAAAAAGACAGAGGGAGAGAGAGAATTGTTTATACAACTTTTTACAAAGATGGTGCCATAAGTGATGATGGAAGCCCCTGCCCCTCCCAAAGCCAAAGCCAAAGCATAAATCTTGAAGGTAAAGAAAACAATGCTGAAAGGCATCCAGAGCCATACACACACACACACACACACACACACAGGAAGATCCAGTGCCACCCGCCTTCCCATAGGGGAAGACACTGTGGCTCCGAAGGCAGCCTAAATATTTTTGGAAGAGTGTCCCCAGAAGAAACAAGCTTGACCACTATGCCATCATCAAGTTCCCCCTGACTATGAGTTAGTCATGAAGAAACAAGAAGACAGTACACTTGTGTTCATTGTGGATGTCAAGGCCAACAGGTACCAGATCAAACAGGCTGTTAAAAAGCTCTGTGACATTGATGTGGCCAAGGTCAACACCCTGATTCAGTCTGATGGAGAAAAGAAGGCATATGTTCAACTGGCCCCTGACTATGATGCTTTGGATGTTGCTAACAAAATTGGGATCATCTAAACTGAATCAAGCTGGCTAATTCTACATATAAAATTTTTACACTGTAAAAAAAAAAAAAATGATCATGCAGTGATGCAATCAACTTCATATTAGCAATATTTTGTTCATTTGGGGGACATTTGAGAATCATAACTTTCCATTTTACTTTAGAGAATCCAGAGAAATAAAGCAAAACATGACTTTGAGTTAGACCTTTTAGTGTAATATATTTCAAGATCTCTCCAAACAGATCTGGCTACATGAACCTTGTGTAAATAGAAAAGTATTTATTTTGGGCCAGCTGCTAAAATTACAGTGTATAGTATAGTAAAAATTTCAACACTAGTGGTTTTAAATGTAATATACTGGTTATAGAAATTTCTGGTTATCCAGGGGTTAACTAGCACTATATCTTATTTACCCAGCTTGACACATTAAACGCTCAATATATGTTATATGTTTTTTTTTATCCTCATCCGAGGACATTTTTCCATTTTTTGTTCAGATAGAGTGGGAGGGAGAGAGAGAGATAGAAACATCGACGTGAAAGGGACACATCGAGTGGTTGCCACCCGCACAACCAACCAGGAACGGGGACAAACTGCAACCGAGGTACGTGCCCTTAGCGGGAACCAAACCTGGGTCTCTCTGGACCGCAGTCCAACGCTCCAACCGCTGAGCCAAACCGGCCAGGGCTGTTATATATTTTTGTTATATGTGTTTTTAAATGAACCTTGTCATGGCTCTGCCATTTACTGGTTATTTAAATTCTCCAGGTTGCCCTGCTGGTTTGGCTCAGTGGTTGGAGCACTGGCCTGCGGACCAGAGAGTCCCGGGTTCGGTTTCTGCTAGGGGCACATACCAAAATATAAAAATAAAAATGTGAAGTTGAAAGGAAGGAAGGAAGGAAGGAAGGAAGGAAGGAAGGTCACCAGGTCACTTAACCTCTCTGAGCTGCTGTTTCGTCATTTGTAAAATGGAGGTTAATAACAGCATCCAATATATTTTTATGATGGTTCTAATCAACAGACCCTTTTGTTCAAATACATTAATATTGTTTTCTTCTTGACTCATTTTGTAGCTACAACTTAAATAGCAAAACAAACAGAAAGAGGGAGACAGAGCAGTCAGAGGTAAGAGAGATGTTAAAAATTTTATCAAGACCTGAATACCAACATCATTTTTTTTTAAGTGCTGATTATTTTACCTCAGAGCAGTTGACAGAATTTAATGAACCAAGGGCTTTTAAAATTATAAAAGCTCTTTAAAATGTAAATTCTGCCCTGGCCAGTTTTGCTCAGTGGTTAGAGTGTCGGCCTGTGGTCCAGAGAAACCAGGGTTTGGTTCCCGCCGAGGGCACGTACCTTGGTTACAGTTTGTTCCTGGTCCTGGTTGGGTTGTGTGAGTGGCAACCACTCGATGTGTCCCTTTCATGTCGATGTTTCTCTCTCTCTCTCTTTCCTACTCTATCTGAACAAAAAATGAAAAAAGGTCCTCAGGTAAGGATAAAAAAAAAAAATTAGAAAATGTAAATTCTTATTATATACAACCATAAACTTTAAAGTATAATTAATTGGCCCTGGCCGGTTTGGCTCAGCAGTTAGAGCGTCGGCCTGCGGTCCAGCGAGACCCAGGTTCAGTTCCCGATAAGGGCATGTACCTCGGTTGCAGTTTGTCCCTGGCCCAGGTTGGGTTGTGCGGGTGGCAACCACTCGATGTGTCCCTTTCACATCGATGTTTCTCTCTCTCTCTCTCTCTCCCCCTCCCACTCTATCTGAACAAAATATGGAAAAATGTCCTTGGGTGAGGATAAAAAAAAAAAGTATAATTAATTGAACTGAATTTAACCTGATTTCAGCTGGCTTTCAGGTCATTTGCGTCTTGGTATAATGGATAGAGGCAAGAGCCCTGGACTAGTAGTATGAAGATGCAGTTATTTGTATCTTGAATATACATTATCTATGTGTTTTTTGTTGCAAGCTCCTTATTTATAAGGTAAACCAATTAAATGAGCTCACAGTTCTGTTGTGATACTCTCCAGCATAAGGAACTGATTTTGCTTCTCTCCCTTCATTTTTCTTTATTCTTATACTCTTTAGTTGCCTGATTTCCTCTAACTAAAGGTAGATTCCAGTCAATTAATATTTGATTATCCTGACCCACACTTCCCACACTAATAAAGGGGGAGAGGGAAAGAAAGAAGAGGAAGGCTAACAGCCAGACAACACAACAGCAAAAATCTTTAATGTCTCACCACTACTAAAACAAAAATAATCCAAGGAAAATTGCCTCTGAATAGGAGCCAAATAGAAGACACACTGCAAATCAATAAACTAATAAAACAAAGTAGAAATAGTGTACTTCCATTTTATTAAACTATCTGATCTGATCATCTGTGTTGGTCTGACAGGTTGAATTGCACCAAATAACCCAGGCTGATAGAAGCAGGAACCTGTAAGTAGCTACATATTTATTATAACAGTTGGTTGTAGTAAAGTTCAGCATGTTCATCCTTAAAGCAAATATGAAATACTTTTCTTGATAAAAGGACAACTATTAATTTTTTATCTAAAAAAATATCATGTGCCCTGGCCGGTTTGGCTCAGCCATTGAGCGTCGGCCTGCGGACCAGAGAGTCCTGGGTTCAGTTCCCGCTAGGGTCACCTACCACAAAAAAAAATAATAAATAATAATAATAAAATAAATCATGTATCATTCCTATCACCTTAATTATATTAAGATAGGTAACAGGTGTTTTTCTTAAGATCATATTTGACATTTTTTATGTGAAAGTAATGAACTATATAAGGGGTTATAGGAAATATTTAGAAAAAAAGATAAATAGCTAATAGGTGCTGGGTCCTATGGAATTACAGCCCTGGAATCAGTCAATTGGTTATTTCACCAAGAAGCTCTGGTTTCTTGTACTGGAGAATAAGGGAGAATGGGTTTAAAAACAAAAATCTGAACACTTAGTATACCCCCTGCTACTGAGGTGTCATTATTTCTAGGCTCTCTCAGGGGACAGAGCTTGAAAAATCTATGTACATTTATATATACATGCATACAGGTATATAAACATTATCTATCTATCTATCTATCTATCTATCTATCTATCTATCTATCGTTTATCTATGTATCATTTATTTATTTTAGAACCCATGTATTTACACCAGTACTTCCAATTCCAAACAAAAACCATAGGGTTCATTCATTCTAGCATTTTCATTTTCAATGTATGTAACTACATCTCCAACTGCAAGAAATTTGATTTGTATTATCTGTAATGTATTTAGTTTTTCCTCAGTCTTTTTGCTCAATCACAGGAAGTAATGTGGGACTAAATATATATATATGTATATATATGTGTGTATATATGTATATATGTGTATATATATATTAATACTTTTCCTCTCACCTTCTAAATTCTTCAAGGCTGTGTCAAAAATTAACAGAGACAGATTAACAGGAGAAAATCAATTTTTAATACATGTGCACGGGGAATTTATAGTTATAAAAATTCCAAAGACAGTAAGACAACATTAGGTGTATAAGATGTTTTTGGACAAGGGAGAAAGGAGGGAAGATGGGGTATTAGATTTCATAAGTGAGAATGGAAAATACAAGGAAGAGAGGAATGTATGTACATGACAGAAAAATTCTTACAAGGCAACCAGAAACAGTGGGACACTGCTAAGGTGAAGATTCTTAAAGTGATTAAGCCAAGGCTCCCTTCCCAAAGCAGGTTTCTTCGTCTGAATATTTTGGACAGGAAAGGGCACAGGGTCAAAGTCCCCCTCTAAGTCTTGTTTCTTAGCAAACAGCTTAAAATCAGTATCTTAAAAAAGCAGCTTCGGGGTGGCAAAACTGTTCCATTAGTAACTTCATTACTCTGTGAAAACTTGACTAACTAGAATAGTTGTTTACTGTTCTTTTTCAAATCTTTCACTGAAGAGTATATAGTCAAATACTGTGAGCTAAAATTACTTGGATTCATTAATTTCTCCTTTCTTCAGCGTGACTCTGTTATTCATTTGAATTATGGCTAGGTTTCTCGTGTCCGTTTGAATGTAGTTTTAGAGTTTTTCTCTACCTTTATACACGTGTATGTTTATACTCACATTTTAGTATGTGAAACAGTAACTAGTTTCAAAGTCAGAACTTTATAAATAGGTGTATTCAAAAGCATCACTCCTCTTTTCCTTTCTTCTATTCCTTTCCCACCCCTAATTCCTTACCACCTGTATTAGTTTCCTGTAGCTGCTGTAACAAATTCCCACAGAGTTAGTAGTTTAAAACTACAGAAATTTATTCTCTGATAGTTCTGAAGGCCAGAAATCTGAAATGAGTCTTATGGTGCTAAAATCAAGCTGTTAACAAGGATATGCTCCCTCTGGAAGCTTTAGGGAAGAATCTGTTTGTTTCCTTGCCTTCTCAAGTATCTAGGGTTGCATTTTTGATATTCCTCAACTCAGGGTCATTTCTTCATATTCAAAGGCAGCAGCATAGCATTTTTAAATTCAGCTTCCCTCTGTTTCCATTACATGGCCTCCTTTGCCTGTAGTCAAATCTTCCTCAGCCTGCCTCTTACAAGGATATTTGTAATTACATTTAGGACCCACCTTGATAATCCCAGATAATCTCTTCCTCTCAAGATACTGAATATAATGATATTTACAAAGACCATTTTTCTATATAAGGTAGCATTCACAGCTTCCTAGGATTAGGACCTAGATGGCTATTATTCAGCCAACTGTAGGTAATTAATTTTAATACTTTCTTGTTTATGCTCCCTGTGTTTCTATTTGTACAAGTGATTAAATACATGTATGTTTTTTTATTTTTCACTTCCTTACACAAAAAGTGACATACTATTAAAACTCTTGCAATTGGTCTTTTTTCATTTAAAAAACATCCTAGAAATCACTTTATATTACTTCATAAAAAATGACCTCATTCTTTTTTACAGATTTATAATGCTCCATTGTGTGTATGTGTCACAGTTTATCCTCATACTCTCCTATGTATAGAAATTTAGTTTATTCCGGATATTTTGCAATTATAAACAATACTACAGTTGTTATTGTTGTAATTAGCTAGTTTATTAATATTAATAATAGAGAGCAAAGGGAAGGCCAGACATTATAAGCATGGTCAACTGGGCAGCTTCTCCAGGAAGCTACAGCTTCATGCTCCCCAGGGAACCACTGTTTCATTTCCTGTAGATCACTGGGGGAAGGGATCAAACAAAGGGAGAGATGGGTGTGTGCGTAGTGAAGTTGGGGTGACAGTAGGGAAGGTGCTTTCCAGTCAGTCTAACCTGGAAAACAATCATTGGCTAGAAAGTTGGAGCCACAGTGATCACTTGAAATCTTGAAAGGTTAAAATCCCCAAACAAAGAGTTCACTCTCTCTCTTGCCTGCTTGCTTGCTCTTGTATTGTCTTGCTTCATGATCTGCACTCGCCCACCATGTGGCTTTAAGCAGCCACATGGCCATGGCCATGTGAACTCCACACTCAGGATGCTGGACTGGACGATACTTTGAAGTGGAGCAGAAACTCTGGACACTAGTTTTTATTTTGGCCCTGCCACAGACAAGACTGGACTTCTTCCATGGTGGGACTGACAGAGATGGGTCCTTGACAGGGAACCCCTTTAGTTCTACATAAACAATAAAGCTTTCCACAGAAACCCATCCTCCTGTGGCGATTTCAGGAAATTCCTTTCCCCACAGCATCCCAAGAACTACACTTCCACCAATAACACTAACTTTGTCATACTTTTGCAAATGTACTGTCAGAGTAGATTTAATTTGCATTTCATTTATGATGAGTGAGTTTGAACATCTTTTCACATTTTTGAGAAATATGTGAGAAATGTGTGTATATGGAGAGGAAATTGTTTCCCAGTTAGTAATTTATCTTTGCTTATTTTTTGTTTCAAAGTTTCTTAAAACATAGTCAAATTTATCAACTTAATTTTTTTTTATTGCATCTGCATTTTGAGTCATAGTTAGAAAGATTTTTCCTACACCAGACTAAAGAGAAAGTCATACATACTTTCTTCTAGTACTTATATGGTTTCATCTTTGACATTTATATTCATGATCCATTTGGAATTTATTCTTGATTATAGTTTGAAACTTGGCTTAGATTTTATCTTTCTCCAAATGGCAAACCAGTTGTCCTACCAAAATTTATTAAATTGCCCATCTTTCCCCAAGTAATTTGAGATACTATGTTTATCACATATTAAATTTTCATATGCATTTGGATCTATTTTATTCCTCTGGTCTATTAGTCTATTCATTCACCAGTACCATGAGTAGATAAACAAACTAGATTTATAGTGTATTTTAATGACTGGTAGGGCTAGCTTCCTTCATAAACTTTTCTTTTTCCTGTTTTCTGCTATTTTTGGATTTTTATTTTTCCATGTGAATTTTAATGTCAACTAGTCTAGCTCCATAAAAATCTTGTTGGTATTTTCATTGATATTTGTTAAATCTATAAATTAACTTGGAGAAAACTGATATCTTTATGTTATGGAATATCTTTCCATTTGTTCAAGTCCATTTTTTGTATTTTTTAGGGGTACTTTATTTATTTTTTGGTATGTGCCCCTAGCAGGAACTGAACCTGGGACTCTCTGGTCCACAGGCCGACGCTCCAACTGCTGGGCCAGGGCTTTAGGGGTACTTTAAAGTTTTTCTTATACAAGGTTTGCACATTTTGGTTTTGTTTTGTTTTGTTTTATCCTCGAGTGAGGACATTTTTTCATTTTTTGTTCAGATAGAGTGGGAAGGAAAGAGAGAGCAAAACATCCACGTGAAAGGGACACATCGAGTGGCTGTCACTCACAGGACCCAACCAGGGCACGGGAAAAACTGCAACCAAGGTATGTGCCCTTATCGGGAACCGAACCAGGGTCTCTCTGGACCACAGGCCAATGCTCAAACCGCTGAGCAAAACCGGCCAGGGTAAGGTTTGCACATTTCTTTATAACTTCATTCTGAAACATTTTATCTTCATTGTTACTATTCTATTCTCTATTTTCAGTGTACAAAGTAAGTATATCCATAAGATCTATCTTATTGACTATGCTATTTACATCTATATTTATTTTCCTTACTTATTTTTTGTTTACTTAGTCTGCTTGTACTAAAAGTGACATATTAAAGTTTCCTACTAGTAGTGTATTCCCACCAATGTTTCTTTGCAGGTGCTATGATGTGTTGGCTTTATAAATATGTTGCTGAGTTATTTGATGAATGGAATTCATAATTGTTTTATAATCATTGTGAACTGTAATATTAAACCATGTCATGGGTGAAGGACATTGTCATATTCAGTGCTTCACTCCTAGTCCATAGCTAGTGGTCAATAATTATAGGTTGAATAAACCTTCTATCTTTCACCTGACTATTACTGTCTGAGGGGATAGGTGCGTTTACCTCTCATTGGCTTAGTCCCTTCTAAGACCCAGAGGAATTAGGAACCAATTATTATGAACTCTGGGAAAGTACCTTGAAAACAGGACTGCATTTTAGTCTTCTTGAAATACCTAGCAAAGTCTTTTGCCTAAGGTAAGGTGCAGCTGGAAAATAAAAGAACTCTTTTGAGGTTATTGTTAAGAGAAAATTAAATAGTATATACAAAGGGCTTGGAAGAATGTCAGGTGTACAGAAATGTTCAATAAATGTTTGCTCCTGCCTCGATTTTACTTCCTTAAATGGGAATAAAAATATAGGGTCATCTCGCATATTAAACAAGAATGTTCTGTGTGAAACAGCTTTGCAAACCCCAAACACTATACAAATGGACCCATGACATGTTTTAATATTACAGTTCACAATGATTATTAGTAAATCTTGGCACTGAGCAGCCCAGTTTGGAGGGAAGGGCCCTTACCTAGGTATGCAAAAACCTAACTCAGTCGAACTCATACCACTCTTTAAATGGCCCAGGACAATTGCAATTCCGGTGTTCTTTTCTTTATATTTAAAAGCAACCGGTGACAGACAAGACTGTCCCCGGCGCCCACCCAGTCTTAGTCGGTCAGCCTTTCCTTTCCCTGAGGGAATACCAGGACCCCTGACTCCTGCCCTCTCCTCCCGCATGGCAGAAGGCGGCGACCAGCCCGGGGGCGGGGCGGACCAGTCCGGGGGCGGGGCGGACCAGCCCGGGGGCGGGCGCTGCCTGGGTGGTGCCAGTTCGAGAGCGGGGCAGGGCGGGGCGTGTCTCGGGCGCCGCTGCCAGGTGGGGCCGCACGGGGGCGCCGCTGGGGCCGAGCTGCATCCAGAGTTGCTGAGCAGCGGAGGAGGCGCTCACTTCCGAGTGGGGCGCCGCAGTGTCCGGCGGCCGCGCCGAGGGCCGGGCGGGCCGCAGGTCAGTCAGGGAGGCTGCCTACCCCGCCTCGCCCGTGCGGAGGCTCTGGGCTCCGGGCGGGTCGCGGACCCGGGAGGCGGCGGGGCGCCCCGAGAAAGGGCCCGGGCCGCTCTGATCACACGGGCGGCCTGGGCCGTGGGCTCGGGCTTGGGGTTGATCTGGGGTCGCCGGGCCGCGAGGAGACCCCGGAGGGGTTTCTGGTGTCCCAGCCCCTTTCCTCCCACCTCGTGGGAGCAGTGCGAGTTCCTTGAGCCGCTTCTCCAAGTGGGTTCGGCGGGCGGCCTCCCGACCCCTCCTCAGACTTTCTGAACCGGACCCTGCCGCGGCCCGGGAATCTGCGTTTCAGTCGGCGAGCCTGACCGCTTTGATACAGGTGGTCACAAGACTGCACTTTGGGGACACTCCCCAGGGGGCGGGGCGCTTCCGGCACAGTAGAGAGCCAAGTGGGTGCATTTGAGGATGGGGCACCATGACTGGACTTGAAGTGTGCTGACCCTCTGCCTTAGCAGAGATTGGCCGAGGCAGGGGTGCGGCGCCTGGGTCGGGAGCCTTCGGGGTGAAGCAGTGCTGAAGCAGGCAGTGTGGGGTGCAGCAGAAGAACTTGGGAGCTGTCTCCACAACTTACTGGCAGGACAGCCTTAGTGTCTGCCCTGCACATATCACTCTCTTTCTTTCCCCAGTGTCCTCGCCTGTCAATAAGCACAGTAAGGCCTATCCAATAGGCTTCCGTGTGAGCTAGGCAATGTCTGTCCGGTGTCTCCTAAGTGGCTGGCACATAGGAACCACTCAGTAAATGAGAATTGTTAAGAGTGGCACAGGCCCTGCTTTCCAGGGGCTTCTAGTCCCCCACACTAGGAATTAAATAAGTGAGGTAAACCAATGAGAACTGTGGAAAGATTCTAACTTGGGGGTAATTAGGAAGTTTATGCAAGCAGTGAGGTTTGCCTGGGGCTTTGAAGAATGGACAGGATTAGAGGGAACTGGTAACTGGGGCAGCATTGAACCAGTTCCATCTCATACCTCAGTGGTGGTGGTTCTCCCACCTAGATCATTGCGGGGCTGCTCCCAGGACCTATAGGTAGTGCAAGAAGTCACATCTGTAAGTGGATTTTGAAGGCTGGACCATTGGTCCATAATAGTTTCTGTCTACTGACCATGTTTGACACACATGATTTTCCTTACACTAATGGTCTCCTTTCATTGGAGACTGGATTAATTGGAGCATCTATGAAAGGATTAATTGATCACATAGTAAAGTGAATTGCCATGGATGTAATAGAGCCTCTCGGCAGACATTTTATCCTTGCTATGGAATGTGCAGACATGGTGGATCTCAACTGGGAGTACCTTTCCCATCACAGCATTGTTTTAGGTTCCATAGAAATGCCACAGTCACTCGTGGTTCATCCATTCCCAGGATAGATTAAGCAATCAAATTCTTAAAACTTCTATAAAGCTTCAGCCATTTCAGACTGAAAAAGTCAGATGATTTAGATGTGTTATTTGTTGTTCTTCTGGACTAGTCTGGCTACTGGCATACATGGAATTCTGATCTCAGTTGATAAATTATATCTTCCTTAGTTACCTAACTTAAGACTTACAATTGCCATTGCTAATAATTTCTGTTCTTTTGTTTCCTTAACTCTCTAGACCTAATATCAAGTCCCCAATATATACCTTTTGGTTAAATATGGTTAAAGTTATATCATTGTAGGTAATATTTATAATTTATTAAGTACTGACTTTGAGCCAGAAACTGTTCTATATGCTTTTTGTATGTTTTGTTAGTTATTCATCTGATAGACCTTGGAGGCAGGCACCATCTCTACCTCCATTTTGTAGACGAGGACACAGACAGAGGACGATAAGTATTTGCCTGAGGTCCCAGAGCTAGTAAGTGGCAGAGCCTAGCAGCCTTCCTCCTTGCTACACACTCATGTTCTCTGCTATCTCTAGATAGCTCCCTCAGACTTATCGTAGTTTAAAAAGATATGTGAATATTGAAGATCATAAGCACACCTCACCTTTGCTTTATCTTTAGTCATCTCAAAAGCTATGATTTAGTCAGTAATAGTTTATTATTATTTACAGATCTTCTGAGCCAAAGTTTTCCATATTCTCAGCATATCTCAAACTTCTTTCATATTGTATCAAGTCCTTCAATATTACCAGTGCTGAGGAATTTATTTTAAATAATATTGAAATGTATTTATTTTATTATCTATTGTTGAAAATGTCAGTGGTAATTGTCCTTTGTTTTTACAGAGGGGGTACTGGGACCACCATTGTTTGCAGTTTTTGAAAGTATTTCAAGGCAAAAATTTAGTTGTCAGTGGGAGCAATGGAAGATCACAAGGCAGAAGAAGAGCTGTTAGATATTCTCCGACTGAATGTGGGTGGCTGTATTTACACAGCCAGGCGTGAGTCCTTATGCCGGTTTAAGGACTCCATGCTGGCATCCATGTTCAGTGGTCGTTTTCCTCTAAAAAAAGATGAATCAGGTAAATATTTACAATCTGTATGCATGATCATGAATATTCATTGAAATAGGAGTAGTTTAAATTCCCTTTGATTTTCCTAATTACAATGGAATACATTAGATTACCTTACTAGTAGTGAGATCATTAGGACTGAATGGAGATGTATTAAATATTAGTTTCTAGAATGTGTGATGCTCTTTTTTTTTTTAATTTTTATGAGTTTATTTGAGTCAAACTGAGGATATATGCCAGGGAGGAAGATCTCAAATGCTTCAGAGAATAATACTTTTACAGTTTCTTTTATTCATTTGAGATTAAGGAGGAAAGATTACATGAAGATGGGAAAAAGCAAGGTGGAAACAATTACAGGATAGTTAAGATTATGTACTCTCTAGAGAGTGGTCACACTTCATAAGGAGGGGGTCTGAAAGGTGGCATTTCAAAGGTGTGTTAACCTAGATGCACAGAAACAAAGGACAGTGCTTGCTTAAGGTAAAGAAGAACCTTTTACACTAAAGCAATAGGCCACCCTGGCCAGTGTGGCTCAGCAGGTTGGATGTTGTCTCTGTGATGCTCTTGCTGAACATTGACAAAACAGAGTGTGTGAAGGCCAATCATGACTTGATTATAGGGATTAATTATATTTTGAAAGTTGTTACTCCATGGGTAAAGTTATTGAGGCTGATTAAATATATTAGCTTCTCTCTGTGTTTTTCAAGTTAAAAATACGTATCCTGGAAAAAGCAGTTGTCCTCATAACTGACAGGGCCGTCATTGTTAGTGTAGAGTTAGTGTTAAACTTGTCACCTAGTCTAGCGAGGACTGAGGCTTTTTGCACATCTTAACAGGTTCCAGGGTTCATGAAACCCATTCTTGCTTCTGTGTTAGAAGAGAGGAATAGGGGGGTCTTGAGGAGGAGGGGCTATTAGTAAACCTTGGGTCTTGAGAGGTTGCTTTGGCAGCTGAATGGCAGTTGAAAGCATGGGAAACTCACTGATGGCTGGTGCCCAGGGCTTGATGTCCATCTGGACAGAATGATTGCTGGTGAAAGATGATAAGCAGAGATTGAGTTTTTTATTTGTCCCCAAGTTTTACCTTCTTAATCCCTTCTTTTCTGAAAAAATCAAGGGAGCAAAGGAATTACTGAGTAACCTCACACTGAATTTTTTTTTTTAATTCTGCTAAATTGCCTAAGAAAAGCCTTTTATCATAAAGTAGTAGCAGCATAGCACTTTAAAAAAAATTTTTTTTTTTATTTTATTTTAGAGAGAGAGGAAGGAAGAGGGAGAGAGAGAAACATCGATGAGAGAGAACATCAACTGGCCTCTTCCTGCATGCCCCCCCACTGGGGATCGGGCCCACATACTGAGCATGTGTCCTGACCGGGAATCGAACTGGTGACCTCTTGGTGCATGGGTTGACGCTCAACCACTGAACCACACCGGCTGGACATAGCACTTGTTTTAAAAAAATTTTGTTTTAAAAATTGATTTGAGAGAGAGAGGAAGGAAGAGGGAAAGAGAGATAGAAACATCAATGAGAGAGAACATCAACTGGCTGCTTCCTGCACAGCCCCCACTGGGGATTGGGCCCACAACTTGGGCATGTGCCCTGACCAGGAATCGAACCGGCAACCTCTTGGTGCATGGGTTGATGCTTAACCAGTGAGCCACACCAGCCAGGTGATAGCATTTGTTTTTTAAAGTTTAGATTTTCACAGTGCAAAGGGACTAATCTAATAAATCCAGACACATGGCATGCCTGGAGCTGGGAACCCTGGGTTTGTATGTTGCTGCTACAAATCAACACAAACACCGGACAAAACACCCTGCAAGCCCTCATTAGAGAGAAACTCCATAGGACTTTCTTGACTCAGCTGGGTTGAAGTTAGGGGTAAGCTTTCATTTATACCAGCAGTCTGAGGGCTCCATGGTTTTTGCAGGGGTTATAGTGGGAATCTAGCCCACTAGATGGTATGGTAGGTGAGAATGCAGAGGATCATCACGTTTGACAAAACCTATTTGAACACTAGATGTGAGAAACATTTCTACCTCAATCTGATTTTAGTTTGACATGTTGAAATTTTGTCAGTGGTCATATGTATCTGTGCAATTATTTTTGAACTGAATATTTTCTAGGGGCTTGTGTTATTGATCGTGATGGACATCTGTTTAAATACCTTTTGGATTATCTTCATGGAGAAGTTCACATTCCCACAGATGAGCAAACCCGAGTTTCTCTACAGGAAGAGGCTGATTACTTTGGCATCCCTTATCCATACAGCCTGTCTGACCACTTAGCCAATGAAATGGAGACATATTCTTTAAGGTCAAATATAGAACTTAAAAAGGTCTTGGCATTTTCTTAAGTTTTAAAATATGTGTGTGTGTGTGTGTGTTTGTTTATTTATTTATTTATATTTATTATGTCCAAAGCAATGTGTGTTATTTTCCATAGCCTGTGTTGTCACATAAACCAGACATGAGACAGTTTTACTTTTTTGTAATTTTGAAAACACATTTCTTAATGACTACTAGTCATTTTTTTAAGGCCCAAATTCTATTTTAGGAAAGTGCATTACAGTGCCATTCAGAGGTTTATGGAGTTTTTATTTTTCATTGAAGATTTAACACTTTTTGACGACTGTTTTATAGAACTGTTCTCTTGAAATTTTTTTTAATTAAGAGCAATACTGTAGTGTGTAAGGGTATAGTGATATTGTTTTGTTTACTGAAATGATTTTTTAAAAAGAATGATCATAATAAATAAAAGATTGTATAAAATCTCTGACCTGATTTAGTGAGTGTAGAGTTTGTTACTAAAGTTAGAATATCAATTTGATTCACTTTGAGATCAGTATATTTCTTTTAAGATGCTTCTATTTTAAATCACATTTAAAAGATCTTTACTACTTAATTATAATTAGCCTTATTAGCACTTTTGTACGTCTAAGAAAAATGTTTTTTCTAGATAACTGTTAATGTGAAAACTGATCTGAATTGGTATGAATTCTTTGATTTGGTGTCAGTGTTTAGGAGAGCAATCTGGTGCTGTGGTTATTAGGAGTGCTGCATAAAGAAAAAGTTCATTTGGTTCCAGACCCCCTTCAGGAATGTGCATGATTGTATGGGTTCTGCTACTGAAGTGATTATAAATTGAATTGTTAGATAGTCTTAGTGCTTTTTGCTACATCTGCAGAATGAGGCTAAAAAAGCTTGACTGGAAGGTTGGGGTAGGTTAACATTCATCTTGTGAAGTTGCAACTCTGTAGATGTTTATTCCTGGTTTGTATTCAAAAAGGACAGACATGCATGCATGCATTCTCTCTGCTAACACCTATTTATTTCAAATGTTTTTGGCTATGGAGCACTGTTCTAGAGATCGTGTGGGACACAAAGAAATACAACGTATAGCCCTGACCAGTTTGGCTCAGCGGTTGGAGCATCAGCCTGCGGTCTAGAGAGACCCGGGTTTGGTTCCCACTAAAGGCACGTGCCTTGGTTGCAGTTTGTCCCCGGCCCTGACTGGTCATGCAGGTGGCAACCACTCGATGTGTCCCTTTCATATCGATGTTTCTCTCTTTTCCACTCTCTCCCTCCCACTCTATCTGAACAAAAAATGGAAAAAATGTCCTCGGGTGAGGATAAAAAAATTAAAAAAAAAAAAAGAAAAGGAAATACAACATATAGTTCTTGCCCTTGAAAAGTTTATAATATCGTTGTAAATTCTTATAGATGTGCAAGTATGAAAACCAATACAAGGATTAGAGTGTGATAGTAAATGAAAATGCAAGGCATGTCAGGGTCCTATTTTCATTTACTGAGTTCGTAAATATTTAGTATCTCTTTTGTTTCAGGCAGTATTTCAGGCACTATTCTAGGCACGTGGGATATAACAGACAAAGGTGCCTATCCTCAGGGCACTCACAGCAATAATGATGCCATTTTCCCCAGGGAAGGCCCTTGTCACCCCACTGGTGAAACCTTTCTGCTCTGTGCCCCTTAGCACCTGGTAGGCTCACCAAGTAGCACTTATTACATTGTATGCTGATGGCTTATTTAATGTCTGTCTTCTGCATTAGCTGTAAACTCTAGGAGGACCAGGACCCTGTCTCTTATTCAATATTATATTTCTAGGACCTTAGACAGCACTGAGCACATAGTAGATATTTAATATTCAAGTGAATGAATGAATAAGTGGATAAGTGTCAAATGAGTTCAGACAGTATGTATTGAGTTTATGTATTCATGTCTTGCAGTGTAAAAGAGCAACTTAAAATCTGTTTAATCCATGATTGGATTTGGATTTTAAAATATGCATCAATCATAGGGCTAGTCAGTGGAAGGTGAAAGGAAGATTGAGTCATATGGGAAATATGAGGGAAAATAAAGGGAAAAGTAAAAAGGTCTAACTCTTAGTTATTATGTGAAAATTTAAAAATTAAAAGTGATGGTAGTGAGGCTAAAGAAGGAGGAAATAAAATATAATTTCCATGTGGAAAGGGATTCTCTACATGAAAAGGTATTTGGCTTTGGGGTGGTGCTTTTATGTGGTCTATCCCCCAAATTCAACACATGCATGTTTGGTTTTAAAAAACATAAAGACTAGGTATAATCTTTTTATTTCTCTTATGACCAACTGAAATTGAAGCTTTACATGAAAGTAAGAGCAAATTAATTTTTTTATTAAAAATTACTTTCCAGAATTAAATTCAAATAGATATTTATATGTTTTTTTGCTCCAGGCTTTAACAGACTTCTGTGATTCGTATGGTTTAGTTTGCAATAAACCAACAGTTTGGGTTCTCCACTATCTTAACACATCTGGTGCAAGCTGTGAGAGTAGAATTATTGGTGTATATTCCACAAAAACTGATGGAGTAGATGCTATTGATAAGCAGCTGGGAGGAAGAATTCACAGTAAAAGCATTTTTAAAAGGTATGTTCATATTTGAAAATGAAAAAAGAACAAAATTAAGTCTTGATCTTTTCTAATTTACTGAATGGAGTATGTGGTTAACTAGAAAAGACCATCAACACCTCTCACCAGGCAGAGTGAGTCTTCGGAGCTTTTGAGATAGGAGTTTATAATTAAGACCATTTCACAAACACATAAGCTGTGGTCATCTATGTGGTCTAGTACTGTGGTTCTCAACTAGGAGTGGACATCAGAATCCCCTGCGACGCTTTATAAAGAAAGCAAGGCAAAGCCATGTGCCTGGGTGCCTTGACCATAGTCTAAGGGTAGAAATGCTGACCAAGGAGTCAGTAGGCCCACTGAGTGACCCAGGACTGGCCTGTGCCTAGCTCCTGTTCTGAGAAATGATGAAAGACTTAACTGGTCCCTCCCAGCCATGAAATTCAATGACTTAAACATGCTATATTCTTAAGGGTTATTCTCTTAATATTTTTTCTGTAATCTTATTTACACTGGTCAATTCACTTAGCACATTTTTAAAGGTTCTCTGAGATATTGAATTGGGGCACATATTAATGATTAATGTATGACCACATGAGTTTGTTTTTAGATGATTAAATAAGTCATCATTTTCTGAATTCATTACAGGCGGATATGTTTCAATACAGGATATACAATTGCTTGGCAAAGTGCTAGGAAAATTTTAGTCAAAGTTGAGTCTTTTCTAACTTTATTGGAGTTAGGTGATTTTTAGAAAAGTTATTTTAAAGACTTATTGATTTGTCTACGTGGTCTATATTGTGAAATTAACAAATATTTTACAACTGTTAAAAGAGCTCAAATGTAGGTTTGTATATTTATATAGTATATTATACTCATATACATATATATACACACACACACATATATGTATATATATATGCTTAAAGGTCACAGAACCAACTTTTTCCTTAATGAACAAGCACTTATTGTCTATTAGCCACACACATGTACACACACACACACACACACACACACACACACATAACTAGGTAGTATATTTTCATTACCTTTTGCAATATTTCTAGAGAGGCGGGAAATAATGTTCAGTACATTTGGAGCTATTATTCAGTAGCAGAACTGAAGAAAATGATGGACGCCTTTGATGCCTGGGAAGGAAAAGGTACAGTACAATTCTTTTATTTCATGGCAGAAGGTAGACTTATCCATAGTAAGACAAAGTAAGCTTAAATATGCATTTCTTTTTTTTTAGAAAGTATTTTTTTGTGTGTGTGTGGATCCAGCTATTTGTCATTTCAAGGTAATATTGAGATACTTCACTTACAAATCTTTAAACCCTATCAGTTGCTAGATATTATTAATAGTTTATAATTCAGTAACCTAAAATATTCTTGTTGGTTATGCTTATTTAGTTCAATTAAACAAGAGTTTACTTAGCACCTACTGTGTACCTAGCATTGTCCCAGGAAGTATACCTCTAAATTAGATATAAAATGTACCATCAAAAAAAATAAAAGGAAAGGAAATGGAAATAATGCTGGGTATGATGTCTAAAGAACCCTTATAAAACAATTTAAATGATTTTTAAATACACACTTTGAAATTCAGCTATTTTTACCAAGCTGCTTATATATGAGAGTTGCTATTTAATATCCACTGTGATAGGTATTTTACATTCAGTATCTTTTAATTCTAAAACAACTTTTTATGCTATTTTCCATTTTATTGATGAAGAAACTGGGTCTCAGAGAGGCCATAGACTTTCTTAAGGATCAGAGGGGATTAACTGTTCTATGTCTAAGTTGTTTTCCCCCCCTTAACTAGTAAGCATTTATTGAGTGTTAAGTGCAAGCACTACACTAAATCCTAAAAATGGGTTCAACGATAAATAACACACCTCTCAGTCCTCAAGTGATCTTAAAGGCTGATAGAAACAGTGATTACAAGTCATGTAAAAATGACTAAAAAGAAGCTTTTAAAAACTACATCAGCTATTCCTCCTTTAGACGGGGTGCCTGTACCAACCCTTCTTTCTTTCCTTATCTCTGCACCCCCTCACTTTTCTTCCCTTTTCTTTTCATATCTCAAGCAGATAGGTTAAAGTGTAATGAAAGAAGTGCTCTTCTCTTTAAGCTTATTATTTTAGATTTAATTAACTTTGAGACACTGAGTTTAAGTTGAGGAACAAACCCCATGGTGTTCTGTGTCTGCTTTTGTGCCTCCGGACTGGCAGGCTGCCCAGGAGGCTCCAGGAGGGCCCGGCTGGGCTTTTTTCTCTGCTGACTTGGGAAGCTGGAGCAGAGAGCTGGGATCACTGACTTTTACAAAGTGTGCAGCTGCTTTTAACTTTTTAGAAAGCATGTAGTAGAACATCGTTGTTGTTAATAAAGTTCTGGAAGGCCTGTGGAAGGCCATAAGTCAGGGAACAGAAGTAAGAGAAAGACCTATTGGAAGGAAGAAGACATTTATTGTTATTTGTGAACATTATGTCTTTTTAGAAAACTCAATAGATTCAACTAAAGGTATTTTAAATTATGAGTTTTGTAGACTAACATAGCTATATACAATAAATGTAAATAAAGAATAGCTTACTTATCATAAATTAATTAGGAATTATAGCAGGAAATCCCATTCACTGTAGTAATAAATAAAACAAAAAATAAATAGGACTGCCCTACCAAGAAATGCTTGAGTGTTTTATGAAGAAAACTGCTGAAATGTATCCATCCATCCATCCATCCATCCATCCATCCATAAAAATAGAGGACATGAAGATTATGGTGAGACCTGCAATGGTACTGAAAAGGAAATCTGAATATTAGAAGGATGTCAGCTCTTCTAGATTACATTGGAAGTTTAACATGATTCTTACCAAAATATCAATAGGACTCTTTGGGAAGCTTGAAATGATTCTAAAATTCCTTTGAAAGAATAAACAGCCAAGAATGTTTTGGGAAGTAGGGGTCATTAGAGGATGAGGCTAACTATGTTTGATAGTAAAGCTGTAGATAATAAAAATAAAAACCAGGTGTTTCTGGTATAAGAATAGATGCAGAGATCAAGAGTAAATCCCAATAAATTTATAAGAATAAAAATACTATGTAATAAAAAAGTCACATAGTTGATTGACTAAATATCAGTGAAAAAAAGATAGGTTATTTAATATGTAATTGAGAAGTATGCTTGAGAAAAAAATAACTTTAACCACACATCATTTATCAAAATAATCTCAGGTAGATTTATGAATAAAAAAGGAAAGTATAATAAACTAAAAGGAAATTTAAGCAAATTGATTTCTTAGTAGAGAAAGAAATGATAAACTTAAAATACATTATAAAGCTAGATTAATAAATTTGATTATGTAATATTTAGAGTATTAACTTTAAAACAAAAAAATAAAATGAAAAGACTAAATGCCCTGGCCAGTTTGGCTCAGCAGTTGGAGCGTCAGTCTGCGGGCCAGAGAGTCCTGGGTTTGGTTCCCGCTAGGGGCACATACAGAAAAAAAAAAAAAAAAGACTAATAAAAAACTAGGATAAATAATGTTACATTAACTGGAAAAAGAGAGGGTTTTTAATACAGAGAGGGTTTTTATTTTTATTTTTTTTTATCCTCACCCGAGGACAGTTTTGCATTTATCTTCAGACAGAGCGGGAGGGAGAAAGGGGGGAAGAGAGGGAGAGAGAAACATCAACGTGAGAGAGGCACATCGAGTGGCCGCCATCCACACAACCCCAACTGGGCTGGGGACAAACTGCAACCGAGGTACGTGCCCTTAGCAGGAACCGAACCCGGGACTCTCTGGTCCGCAGGTGGAGGCTCCAACCGCTGAGCCAAACCGGCCAGGGCAGGGTTTTTTAATTGATTAGAAAATCAACTCCATCTCTACTTCACAAATAAATGTGCAAGGTTCATGAGCATAAAATTCCCAGAAAGGGCAATAAACATGTGACAGGAGGTTCAAACTCATTATTTATCATTGAAATATATATTAAATGACAACTGTTTTTTTATGTGCCAGATTAGTCAAGATCTCATACATTTTTGGGAGGAGTAAAAATTAATATTGCTTTTAAAAAAATGATCAGTACATATTAGTGGCTTCAAAATTGTTCATATTCTTTGACCCAATAATTCTCCTTCTTGGAATCTACCTTGAGAACATAATCATATGTAGGAAGTCTTATGAACAGAGATGTTCAATTAAGCATTATAATAGGTAAAGAAAGAAAAACAATTTAAATGTCTATAATAGAGCGTTAAATACATTTTGGCACACCACGGGATAATATAGCTATTCAAATTATTTTGAATAACTTTTTACATAGACAAATGCCCATGATAAAATATGAAATGATCAAAAGCAGGGAAAAATTTAAATGTAAAGTGTTTTTCATTATGTACATATCACGTAACTAGAAAAAAGACTAGAATGAAATACATCAAAATAACATAAATCATAATTCCTAAATGTAGGATTAGAAATGATTTTGATTTTCTTATATATAATTTTCTATATTTTCAAAGTTTTATACAATGAGCATGAATTACTTTATAGGCAGGAAAAAAATAAAAGTTTTAAAAGCAAACAGTGGTAAATTCATAAAATGGAATGAATACTACTCAGCACAGAAAGAAATGATCATTGATACATATATCAACAGGGATGAATTTTCAAAGCAACATGCTAAAAAAGTCAGACACAAAAGGCTACATACTATTTGATTCCATTTATATAACATTCTGGAAATTACAATACCAGGCACTGCAGAAGAGTGACTTTTTTGGGGTGATAGAAATGCTCTATTTTGGTTGTGGCTGTGGTTACATGATTATATGCATTCATCAAAAATCATAGAACTGTGTACTTTAAAAAGGATGAATTTCATTTTATGTAAATTATATTCTAATAAACTGGATAAAAATACTCAATGGATAAAATACCAGAATGTTTTGTAGTATAAGTTGGTTTGGAAGCATTATAAAGCGGTTCTAGAAAGTTATTGTCTTAAAATGAGGTTCAGAGAGTTCTTTGAGTATTGGACACTCAGCTTGCTAAGTTGTTTATTATTACCAGACCTTTAATGGTAAAAAAGAAAACATCAAGTTCCTTCTTGGGACTTCAAAGCTATTATTATTATTTTTAAAATTTCTGTTTGTTTGTTTATTTATTTATTTATTTATTTATTTTCTTCATCTGAGGACATTTTTGTATTTTTCCTTAGATAGAGCGGGAGGGAGAGAGGGAGGAAGAGAGAGAAACATCAACGTGAGAGAGATACATCGACTGGTTCCCACCCACAGGACCCCAACCGGGGCCGGGGACAAACTGCAACCGAGGTACGTGCCCTTTGCGGGAACTGGACCCAGGTCTCTCTGGTCCGCGGGCCAACGCTCTAACCGCTGAGCCAGACTGGCCAGGGCTAGGTTATTTTTTTTAATGCTGAACAATTTTTATTCATTTTAAAGCCTTTTTAAAAATGAATCTATATCTGTTTTTATGGTTTTTTTAAAAAAAAATTGAGGTGAAATTCACATAACAATTAATGAAAGTATTTTTCAGTGGCATATACCACACTGACAATGTTGTGTAACCACCACTTCTATCTAGTTCTAAAACATTTTTTGGGGGGGTGGGGGTGGGAATCAAATCATTTTATTGAGGGTTTACGGGGGAGTGTTGAGGGGTTGGAGGACAATGAGATCCAATGTCCTTTGCCCAGCCAGGCTCTTCTCAACTTTACAGCTGCCAAAAGCTAAAACATTTTCATCACCCCAAAAGGAAACTCAGTACTCATTAAGCAGTTACTTCTCATTCGCCTCTGCCCTCAGCCCCTGGTAGCCTCCATGCAGTCTGCTCTCTATCTCAAAGGATTTACCTATTCTGGATATTTCTTACAGGTGAAGTTATTTAATATGTGACCTTTGTGTCTGTCTTCTTTCACTTAGCATAATGTTTTCAACATTCATAAGAATATCTTGTCAGCTTCAATCAGAAACAGATCAGGCTTAAAAATTGAAATGAATTTGACTGGAATTTTGGCCTCATATATTAACTCAGATTATTCTTGTTTGAAAAGGTGCTTCCAGGGTAGTGATACCTCTTAGTCATGTAGTGGTTCACAAAATTTACCTGATTTGATAGTCACAGCAACCCAATGAGGTGACAGGGCAAGTGTTAGAACCCACTGTCTAATCCTTACACTGCTACCATCACCATGACTTATGATAAAGGCAACTAATATCTCTTGAGTGCTTACTCTGTGCCAGGCTCTGTCCTAAGTATTTTACATTTATTACTCATTTAAACATCACAGTGATTCTGTGAGGTGTGTATTATAATGGCCAACATTTTGCAAATGAGAACATTTAGGCACAGAAAAGTTAATTAATTTCCCTAAGTTCGCACGATTAGTGAGTGACAGAGTGGGATTCAGACCCAGGTAGTTTTGACCCCAGAGCTTGCCCCCTTTAATCTGCATACTCTCAGCTGCTCAGGGCTCTCGCAAGACCTGCTGCTTATCAGTGGCAGAGCCAGGGCTGGTAGCCAGCTGCTCCTAGATGCAGGCCATGAGCTGTGCTACCGCTGCACTGGCTCGTCCTGGGAACACTCTATGCACACCTCCCTTCGTCAAGTGGGAGGCCTGAATCCAAAACGCTCTTTCTGGCTTATCTGATATGAAACAGGGTTTCTGACCATCTTGCAGGGGACAAAGGCTCTCTTAATTATGTCGTTTTGTCTTCCAGGTGTTAGCTACTGGCGGGTGCCTCATGAGCTGATAGAATGTTGGACTCTGGAAGAGCGGCCTTTACTGGGAAGCCTGCGTCACATGGCCCCAATTCGAAAGAGGTTATCCGTGCTCTGTTGATGTTTTAAGATTTTTTTTTTAATCTGGGACCTGTATTTTTACTGCCTGTATTGGAGAAATGAGTAATAGTTCTTGACCTTACTAAGCTTATTAATCACATAGATGAATATTCTACCTTACTACCGAAATATAAATCTCCATAAATGCAAAGTTACCAAAACTATGTAAAAGGTGCAAATTGTTCTCTAAAACAAAGTTATATAGTATGTTCTTTTTGGAGAGTGTGCTTTTAATCCTACTAGTGGACACTGTGGGAATGCTGTGGTAAGTTTGTCCCACAAATGAAATCCAGGCTTTATTGACAATATTAAAAAATGTATTTATTAGACTTAATATTTAAAATTTCCTGTGACTTATCCTGAATTCCTTTCTTCTTCTCATTGCCACAAATAGCATTTTAATTTAATGGTATTTTCTTGTGTTCTATAAAATTATTAGCATTCACATCTGTGTCTTTCACTGAGCTTTAAATACATTTAAAATCATCTTCCTTTTTTATTATCTGGGGGTTATTCATGGCTTTCATATGTTCTGATTTCTTAGTCATCTGCTTTAGAATTTCATTCAATGCCCCTGTGGAACTTCAGAATACTTGCTTACTTGTGCCCTCTGGATCTTTCTCAGAAATTTCCGAGTTTATTCAGTTTTTAGTAGTTAATTATCTCTTGTTAAAACAGATATTTTTTCTTAAAGGCCCTCATTTTGATATCATTATTTATTTTTCCCATTGAACCTATAGTTGGCAAATATCATTTGGGTCTAGAGCAGTGGCTCTCAGCTGGCGGTGCTTTTGTCCCCCAAGGGTGTTAGGCAATGCTTGGAGACATTTTTAGTTGTAACACTGTAGAGTGGGGAATGCTACTGTCATCTCATGGGTAGAAGCCAGGGATGCTGTTAAATGTCCCAGAATGCACAGGGCAGCCCCCACAGCAAAGAATTATCTGACCCAAAATGGCAATGGTACCCAGACTGAGAAACCTAGGTCTGGAGTCCATTGGAGGATGTGGACAGAAAACAATGCAGCAGGAATGGTGTCTGGAGACTCTCCTCTGTGTTCACTATCTTTCCTCTGGGATTTTATTATCATTTTTATTTATATTTATTTATTTATTTTTTGTTAAGCCTCACCTGAGGATAATTTTCCATTGATTTGTTTAGAAACTGGAAAGGAGGAAGGGAGAGAGAGAGAGAAACATTGATGTGGGAGACACACATCGATTGGCTGCCTCCTACATGACCCCAACTAGGGCTGGGGATCAAACCTGCAACCCAAGTACGTGTGCTTGACCAGAATTGAACCTGAGACCCTTCTGTCTGCAGGCTGATGCTCTAACCACTGAGACAAACTGGCCAGGGCTTAAGCATCATTTTTGATGCACTGACACAATAATGATAATGATGACTTAAAAGCACGTTTGAAGTCCCAAAGAACCATCTGACTCACCAGAGAAAGTTTAGTTATGTTCAGCAGTTTTAGGGTCAGATATAGTATATAGTAGTCCCACTAATACTTTCAAGTCACCTAGTGGATGCCTGAAACCACGGATAGTACCAAACCCTATATATATGGTTTCACCACTATTAAAGACTTGTTTCGGATGGTATCTTTTTTGCCTTGATGAACTTCTTTAACTCTGCCAGAAATGTGGCAGCACTCCTTCATCAGAAGACATAGCTTTTTCAGTAATTTTTATATTTTCAGTGCAAACCTATTCCTGCATCTGTGTAACCATCCCTTACTTACAAGCAATAGCTTGTTGTCACTGTTTCAGGGGATCTCTTGCTGAAGTCTTTATAAAGGTCCGGTGCTTCTTGCCACAATGTGTTGCTATCATTCAGAACATGTTTTCTGTTCATGTCTTCTACCCATGTTCACTAAACACTGAACACATATTGTGACCCTAACTTTTGCGGTTGGAGGTGCAACAGCAAAACTAGCACAAATTTCTTTTTTCTTCTTCACAATTTCATGGATAGAAGATTTGTTCTTACTGTAGATCTTAGCAACCTCAGTGTATGATATTTTTTTTTTCTTATTAAGACAAGAACATTCACTTTCTCACTTAAAGGAAGCACTTTGCAGCTTCTCTTTGGCATATCTGAATTGTCATCATCACTACTTCTGTGTTTTGGGGCCATTATCAGGTAAATTACGATTACTTGCATACAACGCTGTGATACCATGACAGACGATCTGATAACTGAGACAACTGCTTAATGGGCTGACGGTGTCCACAGTGTGGACATGCTGGACAAAGGGAGGATTCACGTCCTTGATGGAACAGGAGTGGGAATGTGTGAGAGTTTCCCTCACTCCTCAAAATTGCATGCAGTTTAAAACTTACAAATTATTTATTTCTGGAATTTTTCATTGAATATTTTTGGGCCATGGTTGATTGCGGGTAGCTGAAACCATGGAAAGTAAAAGCAAGGATAAGGAGGGATTATGTATTTGCATTCTTGGCTACATATGGCAGTTTTTAAACCACTATGTGGTTGTCCCATTTTCAAGAACCAGAGTTCACTATGTTAAACTCCCCCCCGAAACACAGCAGTGCTGGGTGGGGGAGAAGGCTGGGAGGACTGCTGTGACACTGTGCTCAGGTGCTGGTCTTCATGAAGTGAAGCTGGAAGTGCTCAGCAGTGGCAGGGCAGGCAGTTCTGACAGTGGTTGCTTGAACAGTGTTGAAGTCACTTAAAGCAATTGTACCCCCTTCAGGGTTTTTATAATGAAAGGAAAACTCAGTTGGACTCTTTAAAGATTTGTCTATTGTTCCTGAAATTCAGAGAGTATCTGACTCTACCATGGGTTTGACCGTTCTAACAGTTCCCAAAATGTGCCCCATAGAATGCTAATTTTACTAGGTGCCAGAGGTTTCATTACAGAATGATTGAAGATATGGACCCACAAGGTAAGCAGGTGTCTTGAGTGTAGGCCTTCTCAGAATCTTTCATGTGTTCATAGAGATTTTAAAATTCCAAGAGGAGAGTGAAATGTGTAGCAACATTTCTTAGGTTTATTTGACTGTGACACCCCTTTTTCCTCAGTAAATCCTCTGGATTGTATCAGGATTCTTGGAAACAGAGTGATATGTTGTATAATGCTCACATAACATCTCATTTCCAAGTTTTAACTTGTTGGTTAAAATTAAAATTATATGTGATTTTAAAAGAGTTTGTATTCCAGTTGAAACAATCTGTTATAAACTTGCCAATTTATTTATTGACCATGTGGGAGATGAGAAATGAGGTGTATTGATACTTATAAACCTCTTAACTCAAATTCTTGACCAAAACCCGTTTGTTCACCTTAAAGATGAACTTTGGAGATGGTCTCATTAGTTACTGAACATGTAACTGCTGACAGTGGCGTGCTTCTGTGTTTACAGGAGACTGATAGCATTTGACGAAGAGGAAGAAGGTGTGAACTGTAAGACTGGTCCTAAGCCTGTCAGATATTTGGGCCCTTCCACCAGCACCCAAATTAAAGTCAAGAACTCGGCTTCAATCAGGGTGTCTCTGGCTAGTGCCCTCCAGGCCTGGTCCCCGGCCATGGCAAACCAGTCTTTAGGAGGAATGACATCTCAGAGCTCTGCACTGTCTAAAGCCCTGTCCCCAGTGGGCACTGAGGTACCTGGGCATCTCCCAGCTTCCCATAGGCCTGGGAGTGCTGAAAATGGAGCCACACACCCACCTCCAGCTAAGGTTCTGCTCTCTGACAAGAAGGCCACCCCACACCGAGTGATAAAGCTGAAGCGGACTCCACTGTGTGCCACTGGGCCTTCCCCGCCCACTTGCTCAGCAGCAAGGCCCGCGGGGACCCTGGTGCCACCACCCGCTAAACCACCCACCTTGGATGTGTGGACCGAAAATGGGCAGGGCAAGGCTGATTGAAGGTGGACCCCAGATGTCCTGCTTGCCTCTCAGAGCTTCCAACCTGGTTGATACACATAAGTGACACTGTCGATGCAATAGAGGTGAAAATGTAATGTTTGTATTCAGGATAATTACGGGAAAAATAAATTGTGTGACAGAAGAATGGAGGAGGGGAGACTTTAGGTGGTTGGGGCTATAGTACCTTCTCATTTTTCCAACTTTTAAATGATTATTTGTCTATAGACAGTTTGAATGTCAGGTTTTTAATGGTTAATTGGTATTAAGGCAACAAAACAGTATAGCAAAATCATCACTAGAGAAGTTTATTTTTTGCTGAAATAACTATAGACTTTAGTCACTTTTGTAATGTTCCTCATTGTAGCCCATGGGTAGGAGTGAGTCTGGTCTTGGATGTTCCTGCCTGGTGAGATAGAGAGGGTGATACTGGTGCTTCCCAGGGCTACATCACAATCAGGACAGACGAGAGAAAAACAGATCAAGGTGAACTCACTGCAAGTTACTCTCAGTCTCAAAAGGCAACATGAAAAGAAATGATGGGAAGGGGGAAAAAAGATAATTTGACTTTTACTTACTTAAACTGTTTTCTTTTCTAGATAGGCTTTTCTTTGTATTTATTTATTTTTTAATTTTAGAGAGAGAGAGAAATGTCTATTTGTTTTTCCACTTATTTATGCATTCATTGGGTGATTCCTGTATGTGCCCTGGCCAGGCATTGAACCTTCAACCTTGGCATATCCGGACGATGCTCTAACCAACTGAGTTAACTAGCCAGGGCCTGGATTAGCTTTTTAAACTTTTTTCCATTAGCAGATTTATTTATACATCACAGGAAGATTTCCTGGAATAAGAACTATATAACATCTCTTTGGAATAAATTGTTAAAATGTTTTAATTGGAACAGTGTAGTTTTGAAAGTGCTTTGAAAAAGAAAAGTTAAAAGTTTAACTTTTAAACTAAAGTTTTGTTTTTTAGAAATGACCATTGGAGAGTCATTCTGATGATACAATATGATCTTTATGCATAAAATATCCACTTAACTTGAATTTAGTATTTTTAAATAGATTATTGTGATTAATCTTGTGTTTTTCACAACTGTCCAGTTGTGTGTGTTTACTCATACATGTTGTGTTTTACAGTTGGATCACCTGGCTGCCTTCAGTGAGCAGTGTACCTTCGGTGTGTTAAATCAATTCATAAAGCAGGGTACTTTCTACTCAGTGCTTACCATTGTTCTTGCATTGTTTTGAAAGAATAAAGTAACTATACCCAAACATTACTTTTTATAAATAAAGTAAAACTTTTTCATAAAATGTGATATTTTCTATTACTATAATTATTCTTAAGCCTCAGAGCCCTTTAGTAGTTTGAAAGCTTGTCAGTTTGTATAGGTTATCTATTTCTGCTTACAATATTACTTTCCTGTGTAGGTAATATATGAAATAATTAAACCAATTTTCGATAGCTATCCAAATACCAGCAACCTTTTAAATGTAGGTGATTTATTTGGTTAGGAAACAAAAGAATATTTAACTGAGGAGTTATGAATGACATTCCCTTATAGAATATATAAAATGCTTGGTTACTTTTTAAAAATACTATTATAAAGAATCCAGACATTATGAAAATCAAAGACCACAGTGAATTTTGAGAAATTCCAATGAGGACATTATTATTGCTTGATCTAGGACATTTTGAATTGCTGATTCATATAAGAAAATAATGATATTACTAATAAACATATAATGTTTATTTTATACATAATAAACATTTTTTCTGGAAAGGAAACATCTTAAAGATTAATCATGGTTGATTCAGTCAACAGCCTTCATTTCTTTGCAACAAGCAGTGTAAGAGAGTCTATTTAGCACATTTAGCTTTTACAAGAAGAGAGTCTTTGGAATAACTACTGGGATATGGTACAGCTGAGGTGGGAAGGAACAAATGGACCCTTATGGGTATATTTTTAAATGATTTTGTTTCAATGTTGTCTTATGTTACAGTTTACAAAATATTTTCATATATTTTATTTCATTGTGTTCATCAGGAGTCAGTCAAATTCAGAGTGTTGGAGTAACTTGAACCATACTTTATTTGGATGTGGTTCCCTATGGTTTAGGTTAATTTCACATAAAAACACATTTTCTGAATACCAGACCCGGTAAACATGAAAGAGCTGGTAACTCATCATACCCCCTTTTTCTTCCAGGAAAAAACAAAATTTTTAAAAAGAAAAGCTTGCTTTATAAATAGTGATTCAGTATCATTAGAGCAGTAAGTTTATGTAGTAGTTGAATCTGAGGACACAATAGAAATTCTTAAGTAAGATATTAGGTATTGCTCATATAAAAAAAGATAATTGATTATGTTCTTTCAGGTAATTTCTCTGTTGAAAACTGGTTTGCTCTGATTAAAATTGGTTATTATATCGTGGAGAGTCTAAAGTTGGCAATAGGGACCTACTGAAGGATTTGTGTGTGTGTGTGTGTGTGTGTGTGTGTGTGTGTGTGTATTTAAATTTATCTTTATTATTGAAAGTATTACAGATATACCCCTATTTTCCCCCATTGACCCTCCTCCTCCCCACTCCCACTCCCTCCTGACTTCACCACACTATTGTCTGTGTCCATTGGTTATGCATATATGCATATAAGTTCTTTGGTTTATTTCTTTCCGCTCCTGCTCCCACCTCCTTTCCTCTGAGGTTCACCAGTCTACCAACCAAGTTGTACTTCTTAATCCCTTCACCTTTTTCACTCATCCCTTAACCCTCCTCCCATCTTGCAACCATCAAAAAGTTCTCTGTATTTATGAGTCTGTTTCTGTTCTGCGTGTTCATTTTGTTTATAGATTCATTTGTTCATACATATGTAATTATTGCCACTTTATTGTTCATATTTTTGATCTTCTCTAAGAAGACCCTTCAACATTTCATATAATAATGGTTTGGTGGTGATGAACTCCTTTAGCTTTTTCTTGTCTTGAAAGCTCTTTATATGTCCATTAATTCTAAAAGCTAGCTTTGCAGGAAAGAGTAATCTTGGTTGTAGGTCCTTGCTTTTCATCACTCTGAATATTTCTTGCCACTCCCTTCTGGCCTGCAAAGTTTCTTTTGAGAAAGCAGCTGACAGTCTATGGGAACTCCCTTGTCGGTAAGTAACTGCTTTTCTCTTGCTGCTTTTAAGAGAAATTTTCTCTTTGTCTTGAACCTTTTGCATTTTAATTATGATGTATCCTGGTGTGGGCTTCTTTGGGTTCATCTTGTTTGAGACTCTCTGTGCTTTCTGGACTTGTATGTCTATTTTCTTCACCAAGGTAAGGGAAGTTTTCTATCATTTTTTCAAATAGATTTTCAGTTTCTTGCTTTCTCTCTTTTCCTTCCAGCACCCCATGATGTGAATGTTGGTATGCTTGAAGTTGTCTATGAGGGTCCTTATACTATGCTCATTTTTTTTATTCTTTTTTTTTTTTTGCTGTGCCAATTGGATGTTTTCAGCTTCTTTATATTCCAAATTGATGGTTTGCTTCTTGGCTTCACCTACCCTACTGTTGATACCCTGTAAATTATTCTTTTTTTCAATTAGTGCATCCTTCATTTCTGACTGATAATTTATTATACTCTTGAGGTCCTCACTAAGTTCCTTGAGAGTCCTTATAACCAATATTTTGAACTCTACAACTGTTAGATTGCTTACCTCCATTTCACTAGAGTTTTGTTGTGTTTTTCCTTTGGGACATATTTCTTTGTCTCCTCATTTTGGCTGCCTCTCTGTGTTTGTTTTATATGTTAGGTAGAGTTGCTAATGTCTCCTAGGCTTGGTAGGGTGGCCTATTGTAGTAAGTGTCCTGTAGGGTCCAATGGCACAGCCTCCCTGATCACTCCAGGCGGGCACTCGAGGTGCACCCCCCTCCCCTTGTGTGGACTGTACACCCTTCTGTTGTAATTGAATCTTGATTGCTGTTTGTATGTCAATGGGAGGGATTTACTCAGACTGATCAACTGCAAGGACTAGCCGGCTGTGCCCACTGACCACCGATCTCAGACTACTTTGGAGGATCAGCTGTGCAGTGCCCACTACACAGAGCAAGACTTACTTCAGCAGGGCTCTGGTACCCACTGAGTTCACCCTGTGAGTGTGTTGCTTGTGGAGGTGGTTGGATGGTGGTGCCTTGATGTGGTCTGAAGCTGTCCACTGGGTGTGCTGGCTCTGGGGCCTCCCAGGAGGTGCAAGCCAAGGTTAGCCACTGCCCATGTTTTACCTGGGGCCACCAGACATAAACTACAAAGCTATCTTTGCACATGGCTGCTGCTTGTGCCGAGCTCGGAGGTACACAGAAGAGGGCCAAGCTGTGAACCAAGGCTGGCTGCCTCTAGTACTAGGCCTGGGTCCACTTAGCGACAGGTATGGGGCTTGCTGAGGCCAGATGCTGCTTGTTTGAGAGATTTTAGGAAAACTCGAAGCGTGAGCCAAGACAGGTCATTCCTATGGTAAAGCCACTGGAAACAGCTTAGGTGGGTGTGAAAGTTGGGTGGGGCAGGGCCTCAGGGAATCACCAGAGTGGGGCAAACAGTGTGGGCCAGGTACTGGAGTCCCAGATATGGCGCCGTGTCTGCCCACCCCATGGGGGAAGGACTCAACAAAGGAACAGCGACCTAGTCCTGACCGGTTTGGCTCAGCGGTTAGAGCATCTGCCTGTGGTCCAGAGAGACCTGGGTTTGGTTTCTGCTAAGGGCACGTACCTCGATTGCCGTTTGTCCCCGGCCCTGGTTGGATTGTACGGGTGGCAGCCACTCGATGTGTACCTTTCACGTTGATGTTTCTCTCTCTCTCTCTCTTTCTCCTGCTCTATCTGAACAACAACAACAAAAATGAAAAATGTCCTTGGGTGAGGATAAAAAAAAAAAAAGGAACAAAGCCTTCACCAGCACGTCTGTCTGAGGGAAATCTCCTCAGCTCTTGCCCAAATGCCAAACAACTCAGTTCTTCCCTGTAGGTCTCTGGTGCCTTTTGAGCTGCCTCCTCTGCTCTGGAGTCTGGAGGGAGCAAGTCCAAATAAGTCCATGTAAGGACCCTTTAAGAGGAACTGCCTGGGACTCCAACAGCTGCAGCCTCAATTCCTGCTGGGTTTTTACAGCCTGAGTTATTGGGACTTCTCTCCCTGGCACTGGAACCTTGAGCTGGCAGTCCTGGTGAGGAACAGGGACCCCTCACTCGTCAGGGAGGACCTTCCCAGCCAAGGTGTCCTGATTTTTATCCACTACACGTGGGTGTGGGACCAGCCTGTCCGTGCCTCCACCCCTCTTACCAGTCTCGATGTGGCTTCTTTAATTTCATAGTCCTAGGACTTCCATTCAGCTCCATTTCAGGCGGTTCTGAATGATGGTTGTTCTGTAGTTTAGTTGTAATTTTGACGTGGTTGTGGAAGGAGGTGATTCCATGTTTACCTACGCTGCATCTTGCCACCATTTTGACCAGAAGTCCTCTGTTTTGTTTATATTTTTAAATGGTTTTGTTTCAATACTGCCTTGTTATAATTTATAAAGTATTTTCATATATATTTTATTTCATAATGTTTATTATGCGCTTTAGTTTC